CGGAAGTTGAACCTGAGCCTGAGCCCGAGCCTGAGGTCGAACCGGAGCCTGCAAAGCCTGCCTTTGAAATTCCAGATACCCCTCTATATAATAACTGGCATACGCTCTCGTCCAAAGACCGGAAGAAACGTGAAAAATCACTGATTAAAGCCGGACTTCCCATCCCCGGCAAGGATTTTGATCTTCCTGATCCAAATGCTGAGCCCCCCAAGGAGCCCGAGCCAGATCCTGAGCCAGCTCCTGAGCCTGAGCCCGAGCCCGAGCCCGAACCGATAGCTGAACCTGAACCTGAACCTGAACCGGTTATTGAACCAGAGCCCGAGGTTGAACCGGAGCCCGAAAAGCCTGCCTTTCAAATTCCAGATACTCCTCTGTATAATAACTGGCATACCCTCTCATCTAAAGACCGGAAGAAACGTGAGAAATCACTGATTAAAGCCGGACTTCCCATCCCTGGCAAGGATTTTGACCTTCCTGATCCGAATGCCGAGCCCCCCAAGGAACCGGAGCCGGAGCCGGAGCCAGAGCCAATTCAAGAACCTGATCCAATCCCGGAAGTTGAACCTGAGCCTGAGCCCGAGCCTGAACCCGAGCCCGAGCCGGTAGTTGAACCTGAACCCGAGCCTGAGCCTGGAGTCAAAACTCCTGAGATACCTGACAGTCCTCTGTATAACAACTGGCACACACTCTCATCTAAAGATCGGAAGAAACGTGAAAAATCATTGATAAAGAGTGGCCTTCCGATTCCTGGTAAAGATTTCGAGCTTCCTGACCCCAATGCTGAGCCCCCCAAAGCGCCGGAGCCGGAGCCTGAGCCAGAGCCGGAGCCAGCTCCAGAGCCAGAGCCAGTGCCAGAGCCAGAGCCACTAGCTGAACCTGAACCTGAACCGATCCCGGAAACTGAGCCTGAGCCTGAGGTCAAAGGTCCTGAGATACCAGACAGTCCTCTTTATAATAACTGGCACAATCTGTCATCCAAGGACCGGAAGAAACGTGAGAAATCATTGATTAAGAGCGGACTTCCGATCCCGGGTAAAGATTTCGACCTTCCTGATCCGAATTCTGAGCCACCCAAAGAGCCTGAGCCTGAGCCAGTGCCTGAGCCTGTTCAAGAAGAGCCGGCACCACCTCCAGCCCCAAAATTGGAGCCTGAACAAGAGCCTGAACAAGAGCCAGCTTGGGAGCCACAGCCCGAGCCTGCGCCCGAGCCTGTCCCTGAAGTGGTCCCAGAACAGACTTATGAGGAGGAGAGCTGGGGAATATGGAACGCTCCGAAAGAAAAGAAGAAGAAGAAGAGCAAGATCGCAGCTGAGCCTCCACCGCCCGCACCGACACCGCCATCTCTGGGGTGGACTGCCGAGCCGGAGGGATACGTACCCACTGACCAAGTCCCCGAACAGCCTCTCTGGGATGACTACGACAGCAAGCCTTCGAAGAGCAATAAGAAGGGTTACAAGGAGGAAGAGACACCTAAGAGTGGCATGGGTTTCTGGGCCACCATAGGTGCTGCAACTATGGGCAAATCCAAGACTACAAAGAAAAAGTCATCAGAGAAGACTAAAGCCATAGAGGCAGCACCAGAGCCCGAGCCTGAACCTGTACCAAGTCATCCTGCAGAGGATGATTTACTCATTGACGTTGACGATTCAAAGATGCCCGAGGCGCCCGAAGCGCCAATCCCGCCAGTTGTCGACGAACCACCCGCGCCAGCCGCGCCGCCAGCGAAGACTCCCGTTGTCACCTCGAAGACCAAGTCATCGGCCAAATTGTCCGTCTCAGAGCGAATCAAAGTTTTGGAGCAAGGGAAGAAGGGGAAATCAAAGGACAAGGTTGCTAAGGAAGAGCCTGCCCCACCCCCAGAGGAACTCCCTGCTCCCCCGCAACCCGAGCCTGTCGAGTTCTTTGACTCCGAACCGGTTCAGTTTAAAAAGCCCTCGAGGGATTTGGTTCCAGGCAGTTTCCCAGACGCATTCGACGACGAGGAGGACTTTTACGATATACCCCCGCCACCTGCCCCGGAACCGCCTGCCCCAGAGCCGGAACCTCAGTTTGAGCCAGAACCTGAGCCTCAACAACCTGAGCCCGAGCCCGAGCCCGAGCCGGTGCCTTTGTCAAAGAAATCAAAGAAGAAGGACAAAAAGAAGGCGAAGGCTATTGTGCTTGAACCTGTGCCTGAGCCGGTACCTGAACCAGTTCCTGAGCCTGTACTTGAACCACCGGCTCCTGAGCCCGTGCCTGAGCCGGTCCCTGAGCCCGTTGCAGAACCAGAGCCAGAACCCCAGCCCGAGCCGGAACCCGAGCCAGCCCCCGCACCTATTCCCATCTCAAAAACTGAAAAGAAGAAGAAAAAGAAGAAGATCGCTGAGCCAGAACCGGTTCCTGAGCCAGTGCAAGAACCGGAGCCTGCTTTTGAACCTGAACCTGAGCCGGAGCCAATAGCTGAACCTGAACCCGAGCCCGTACCTGAGCTCGAGCCTGAATTCGTTCCTGCTCCTGCTCCCGAGCCTCCGATCGAGCAAGCACGGGAGATAGAGCCGGTGGTCGACGAAGCACCTGTTCCCAAGCCCGAAAAGCCGAAGAAAAAGAGCAAAAAGCTGTCTAGTCGAGAAAAAGCACCCCCGGTCGTGGAACCTGCCCCTGTCGATGCTGAGATTGACGAAGCAGCGGCAGAAGCTGACGTTGGCGCGGGCGGCCCTCCTACGCCTCCACCAGAGCCTGCTGAACCTGCCGAGCCTGAACCAGAGAAGCCGGCCAGGAAGGAGCGTGTTCGTGTTGAGCGCACTCCTGGTTCAGCATCTTGGGGATTTTGGGGTGCCACGCCTCAAAAGCAGCCCAGCACTAGGGAACATCGGCGTAGACGGGAACGTGAACGGGAACGAGAACAGTCACCCCCGCCTATGATCAGGTCGAGATCGACCAGACAACCAAGGTCTAGGGATCTTGAGAACGAGGGAGAGAAGTCGACCTCTGACAAGGACAAGCGCAATAACCGAGGTATGACTCTTGCTGATTTTGTCCTGGGCACGCCGCCGCCGCCTAGTAGGACAAAGTCCAGTCGAAGACACGGAACACACGCGTCCAGGAATACCTCAAGACGTCCATCCGTGGGTATGGAAGACGCCGGGTTCCCCAGTCCTCCACCGGACGATAGCCGGGATATGCCGGATAAAGCCGCCAGGATGATGGGCGTAAACGGCTCCTCCCGGAGAGAAAGAGAGAGACGGCATGAATCTCGTAGAAGATCTCGTATGTACTCTCTTATATAACTGCCTGTAGCGCTGCTAACAGTTTTTTAGGCGCTCCTGACCCGTATGCGGTTGAAGACGAGGACATCGTCATGGTAGACCGGGACGACATTGATGCCCCGAAGGAGGGCTCAAGGGGATCGAGGCACTCCGACAGACGATCGAGGAGAAAGGTAAGCGAGGATACCAGTGATATTACCCGGAAAGCTCTCTCACGATGCTAACCTCGTGCTTAGTCTCGGTCTAGACAAGAAGAGCATTATGAAGATGCTGAAGTGTTTTCGGGACCAGAAGATATTGCTTTCGTGGAAGCACCAAGAGAGCGACGTGTGAGACGATCAAGTACTGCTCCCAAGAAACCAGAGTCCACTGGTCTCATGGGCTTCATCGGCTCTTTGCGGAAAAATGCTCGTCCGGACCCTCCAGAGCGCCGAAAGTCCAGGTCTCATCGTGATGAGGATGCTAGGTACATGACAGATCCAGAGCGAGAGGAGCGGCGTGCAAGACGCGAAGCTCGCAGGAGACGTGCCGAAAGGGAGGCTGAGCTCGACGGCTTTGTCACTGAGGGCGGTCCAGTAGGTGGGTTCCCGGAAACCGACATGGACGAAATTGAGGCTAGACGGGCAGCCCGTCGAGCGAAACGATCCTCTCGACAGGCGCCGTCTGATCAACTCCGTGAGAGCGAGTGGCGCGACGCCGAAGAAAGACGTGCTCGACGGAGGGAAAGAGAGAGAGCTCGTGAGCAAGAGATGCAGGAGAGAATGCTCCGTGAGGAGGAAGAGAGGGAAGCAAGACGCCAGGAAGAGCGAAGGCTTCGTAGAGCAGCTCGTGAAGAGCGCCGTGCTCGAGAAGAAGCAGAGGCCCGAGAGGCAGAAGAGCAGGCCGAAGCCGAAGCCAGAGCAGCAGAACGGCGCGAACGCAGACGGCGGAGGGAGGCAGAGATGCAAGAAGCCGCCGCGTACGAGCCCCGGTCCAAACGTCGATCCTCTCGTCACCCTGTCGATGACAGAGCAGCCCGAGAATTCTATCTCGGCGGCTACGAGGGCGAGAGGGCTTACCGTCCGGAACGGTCTACTGAAGAGGGGGTGAGGCCCAAACGTCGCAAGTCCAGGGCTCCAGAACTGGAGCGCGCACCACCGATGATGTCCGGAGGACGCAAGGATAAAACTTCGTCCTGGGTGCATTCGCAAGCCAGCGACCCGCCTGAACCACCACCGGTCGTGGCCACCGTACTGGACATGCCACCTGGTCCAGGTGAGCCGGCTCAGGCGAACTCGGTCTCTTCGGACGAGGAGGCCCGACGTGAGCTGCGGCGTCGGGCCCGACGACGAGCCAGATATCCTGGTATGACGGATCAGGAAATCGACGAGTTGCGGGCACGAAAGCGCGAGGCAAGACGGTCTGAGCGTAGTTCAGGCAGCGCTGATTACGAACGGGTCCGGGGCATGAGGTCGTACGACGATCGTTATGCACCGCCAGTCAATGGGCCCAGGATGCCGAATTGGTTCAAGAGACTGACCAATTTGGGTTGAGCTGGTGGTTTGGAGCATTGATCTGAGGATGTTTCTTTTCTTTACGAATGGAATGATGAATGACATGAAGCGATATTTGCCATTGAAGGGATATACGATTTGGCTATGATGTACGATTAACTTACTGAGAATGGACTCTGCTTGATGGATATACCAGAGTGAATGAACTGATGACTTTATATCCTCTTTACACTGTAGTATAGTAGTAGTACAACTTACCAAATTAAGATGACGATGCCATTTCCCTCTCCCTCCGTCTATTCTCCAAAAACCCTCTCCCACCTTCATACACACAAAGATACACCCCAAACGAAACCGCGGTCCACACAGACCGTATCGCCCCTCCCTTGAACAATCCCCTGACCCCTTCCTCTCTATACACCTTCTTTCCCACTTCCCACGCCCCCCACCTCCTCCTTTCTCCCCTCTCTTCCCCACTACCATCAATATTACTGCTAGCAGTACTCCCAGCCCCCAACATCATCCTCGTCTTGACCACATCCACCGGCGTCGTCACAACAGACGAAACCGTCCCAGCAATGGCAGCAGAAACCCCCGTAATAAAAGCCCTCTGCACATTCCCAAACTGTCCCAACACATCCCCTCCCACTTTCCCATCTCCTCCATCCCCCTTCCGACACCGAAGCAAATACCCCGCCCCCAACCCCCTAAGATACTCAAAGAGAGGAAAATTCAACCCCGTAAAGGGCAGATTCCGGCCCAGGAGCGCGGTATATCCACTCCAGAGGGATAATGGCCTGTGGCGGAACTTGCGTAGCGTGAGGAGGGTTATATTTGTTTTTGATGGAGTTTTCTTTGGGTCATTGGTATTGGTATTAGTATATACCTGCGCATTCTGCTTAATTACCTCCGCCGGAGTCAAAATAAAGCATGAGACGGATTCAGCGACGCAGGAGGAGAGAGAATGGATTATTGGTGTTGGAAGGGGAGATTGTTGTGTAGTGGTGAGGGTGTGTTTTAGGCTTTCGTAGGTGGTGAAGAATGCTCCTGCTATCACATCGTACATATCAGTTATCTTTTATCTATATAGTAGTATTCAATGTGAATGGTTTGGGGGGTATGGTATGGGAGGGCCATACAAGCAGGTAAAGTAGCGAGAATGACGCTCCCTACACCTTGGTAGAGACCCCTGAAGAGGAGTTTACGGTTGATTGACCTCGTCGTAGCGTCTTTGTATATTTGGTTGTAGGTTGGGGATTGGATGCGCGTTTTGAGCGTGTCGATGGGGTAGACGAGGAAGTCGACGATTAGGACGGCGAAGGCGCCGGACTGTACATACTTCTCTTTAGTTTCCTTGGGTGCATGGGTTGCTGTTGGGTATTTGGGGTGGACGTACCAGCCAGATATCGGTGTTGGTATTGTACATCATGCATAATATCTATTGAAACAGGAAATTGAGTCTATGTTCATTGGAAATACTAGGTAAGGCATGATCTTATCTAGTAGTATCTATCTCGTTATCGATGAGGTCATCACCACGTGCCAGTAACTGGCCTTGCCCTAAGGCGGAATTAGGGCTGGATCAGCTACTCTTTAAATCATAATCAATACAATAAGAGGTAAAGAGCAGCAGCAGCAGTAGCAGCAGTCAAAAGTAAGGAGGTATGGTATCAAGTCATGCCCGTTCTAATTCTCATGGAAGAAGCAAACAGGAGTCATATTAACAGCCCGTCAGATACAGAAGTTTTCCCTCCCTACGCCGTAAGGTCATGCAATTCCAAGAACTAATCATCATCGCCCGCCTTTCCTATTTTCCTTTCCTTTCCGTTCCTCCCGCATCCATCTATTTGGCCGTCTCACCCGGAAGCAGGTTGCCCTTGACGGCGAACATCTTACCCGTCGTCGCGGACACGAAGCTGTCGACCTGGCGAGCGTACTGCTCGACCTGGCGGCTGTTGAGCATGCTGTCCAGGCGGCTGGGCTCCTGGGGCAGCTTGAACAGCCGCTGCCACTCGTCCTCGGGGAGGAGGGGCTGCTTGAGAGCCGCGCGGCTGGCGTTCTCGGTCTTGCGCTTGTTCTGCCACGCGGTGATCTTGGCCTGCTCACGGGCGAGCGACCGCTGGTAGTACTGGAAGTTGTTGGTCTCGGTGTGGTGCACCTCGATGCTGTCAAGCAGGAGGTCGCAGTTCTTCTCCAGGAACGGGTCGATGCTGAGAGAGAGGTTGTCGAAGTTGGGCGCCAGCACGGACGACTTGGCGTACTGAGACGACTCCAAAGCGGCCAGGGACGGGGGGAGATCGGAGGGAGTCGCCTGGACGGGGGTCTGGAGCTGGTGGATGAAGGAGGTGATCAGGTGAGAGTTGTGGATTTCAACGGGGAGCTCGACCAGGATGTCCTGGTACCTGAGGTTGGACTTTTGCAGCCTGCCAGAAAATAAAACAATTAGCATACGTCTATCATCCCTGCGAGTCAAGGGTATGAACGTACTCCTCAGAAGTGAACTTGTTCTCCTTGAAAGCCGCCATGAACTTAGGGGACAGGCGGAAAGCGCGCAGGCTCAGGCTGCCCTGTGCGCTGCGGCTGACATCGTGCACCAGAGCGACCGTGCGCTCGTTCATATCCTTCTGGTAAAAGAACTGGTTCTCGATCACGTTCATGTTGACGAAGTTGCCCATGTTGGCGCTGGTGTACCAACCGACGTTGTTGGCGTCAACGTTAACCTCGCGCATCATGCGGATCATCTCAGCCTCGTAGGCGGCGTTGGCCTTCGCGCGGGGGGCAGCAGCCGCCGGGTTGGGAGCGGCGTTGTCAAAGTGCGATTCGGCGGGCACCTCAACGACGGGGAAAGGGAAGCAGTTGGTGATCTCCAGGGTACCGTCGACATCCATACCAACGATCGAACCGGTCGCAGTCGTCGGGAAGGCTTGAGAGCCGTGCTTGATGATCTTCATCACGACCTGTATGCCACGCTGTAAGCATTGCTGCCGGCCGTGAAAAAGGCGGGTGGGGGAATGGGGAGATTTTCATGGTGTGCATACCAAGGCCTCGACCTTGACGGCCGTGAGAGGGACTTCTTTCCTATTGCAAGCATTAGTATACAGATGCCCAGATCAGATCGAACAGACCAGGAAAACTTACTCCGCCATGTTGAATATGTGCCTGGGAATTGCGTATACAGACGGCGACAATGAGATGGCAGTCGGCGGCGAGGTTTGTGTGGATGGAATTCAGCATTTCCCACCGCCTAGCCCCCAAACCGGCTAGCGTGCCAAGCCCCATACGAGCCGCCGGTCCGCTTGCCTTTTTGGGCGCTTTCAATCCCCCTTGCATAACTTTACGCTCAAAAGCATCGTTTCTGCCAGAGGATATCTACTCTCACTATAAAAATATTCCGTCATGAGGTTATAGACTTCCAATTGAGGCAAATATGCTGAAAATACTCCACCTAATGATGCCGTACCCGGGTCCCGGGGTTAACACTAACAATGACCTTATCTACGGAGTTACATCCGCAGATTCCCAAGCCAACTAACTAGTAACGCTATCACTGACCCCTCACTAACCAGCCCAGCACTTCTACATTAACCAAGCAAGCATCTCTCATCCACAGACAATAGCACCTCAAATCATATCATACAGTAAACAACATCAACAATGGGCCAAACACACCCCTCCTCCAAACCCACAACACCTTCTCCCTCCATCGAAACCCTCCCCTACGGCACCGATCACAGCCTCCAAACCGTCACAGTGGCCACACTCAACAACGACAACAATGAAGGCTACTGGGTGATGTAAATTCCCCCAATCTAACCCTCTATATACACAAATTAACCAACGAAACCACACAGTCTAATTCACGGCGGCGCCTGGCGCGACCCAACCCAAACCGCCACAAACTACCTAACCCCCGCCCTCAGCACCCTCACCACCAATCCCTCATACACCAACACCAACACCTCCCACCTCAAAGGCATCGCCTCAATCTCCTACCGTCTCAGCCCGCACCCATCACACCCTCAAGACCCTCAAACCACCGAGCCCACACACCTCCGCGCCGCAAAGCACCCAGATCACATCTCCGATGTCCAATCCGCGCTGTCCTTCCTGCAAGAGAAATACAACATCGGGAGGAATTACATCCTAGTAGGACATAGTTGCGGTGCTACGCTGGCGTTTCAGTCTGTGATGGGGAGGTTTAGGGACTTGTTGAACGGGGAGGTCATGCCTCCGGTTGGGATTGTGGGGATGGCGGGGATTTATGACCTTCGGTTGTTGAGGAATACGCATCGGAGTGTCAGTGCGTATCAGGAGTTTAGTGAGGGGGCGTTTGGGGCTGATGAGGCGGTTTGGGATGAGGTGTCGCCTGCTTTGGGGAGGGGAGAGGAGGGGGTATGTGGTGGGTGGAGTGGGATTGGGGATGGGGATCGGTTGGTGGCGGTGTTGGCGTATTCTGAGGGTGATAGTCTGGTGGATCCGGGGCAGAGGGAGGTGATGAGGAAGGCTTTGGAGGAGGAGTGGGTGGGTGGTGGGAGTGGGAGAGAGGAGAGGGTGGTGGAGATGTTGGATATTGAGGGGGATCATAATGATGCGTGGGAGAAGGGAGAGGATTTGGCGAGGGCGATTGTGTTTGCGATTGAGAAGGTCAGGGGTCAGTAGGCAGGCTAGATGGATTACGTAGAGTAATGGATTGATGGTTGAATGACGAGCATGTAGTTCATTATGTCCCCTCTGTCTCTGTTCCTGACTGAAACTAAGGTATTCTACATAAGAGCCGAACCCGCCATGTCTGAGTGATCTTGAAGTCACGGGAGACAAACCCGAGGAATAAACTAGTACACATTAGAAGCAGAGGAAAACAGACCCGCCATCTTCGAAACTTCCAACGCCCACCAGTGTTCGTGATCATTATTGCAGTGCACATGAGATAATGAAATTGTAAAGACCCGTCATACGCCCGGGATTTCAGAAAGCCGTTAGCCGGAAGACGCGTATGTGTTTAGACGAAAAAAGAAAAAAAAAAAAAAAAAGGAAGTGAAACCGGAGAGAACGATCCAGACGCGCGATGAAATGCAAGTTCATAATGCTGCGCCCATGCCAAGTGGATATGAGAGGAAAATGAGGAAACTCCGATGAAGCAGAAAGATCATGCCAGGGAGCGTCAATCAGTTGCCAAGATCCATACGGCCAGAGGCGGCATCGCCGGCGACTCTCTCTTCCTTGGTCTCCGAGATAGGCTCGTCGTCGTCATCTAGCTCTTCCTCCTCACTGTCGTCTTCGATGTATTTGGCTTCCACACCGGCTTCACGAAGGGACGCCTTTGTCTCCTCCCGGTAAGCATCCTGCCAGCGCGCAAGGGCAGCCATGGCGTGCACCTTGAAGCCGAAGCAACGGGGCTGATAGCGGCGAATGCTCTTCTCGGGAAGCAGAGCAGGATAAACCTGGAAGAGCATGCTGTGGAACGAAGTGCCGAAGTAAGCGCCGTCGATAGAAGCATGACGAGACGACTTGGGGTTGTAGATATCCTCGCACTTGGGGCAGTACAGGCGAACAGTGCTCTGGTTGGCAACGTCGTGCTGGCCCATGGGCAGGAGGGGGTGTCCATCACACATAACACGGGGGCATTTGCCGAAATCGCAGCGCTTGTATTTCTCAACCTAGATTGTCCGTCAGAACTCCTTCACATACCCTTCACAACCCCGTAGTGTAAGACATACCATCTTGGCAAGACCGCGAGTTGTGACAATGTATCTGGCATGAACCAGACCGTAGAGGTGACGCGCCGACTTCTCAATTTGCTCGCGCAGGTCGTCGTCCGCGTCGAGGTCGAACACGTCCGTCACAAGGTCCAAAGCATACTGGTAGTAGGCGACCTCGGTGTTCAGGCCGGTAAGGTTGAAGCGATCGGTCAAGTAATCTTCGTCGATTTCGCAGAAGTATTCGTTTCCACGAGATGAGATGAACTGATGAATGAAGTCAGCATATCTCTGAGGCAGTACCACGCCATATGAATAGCTAGACGAAGAGCGAATATGTATTTGAGGTCGGGGACGAGGGCGAGCCTCGATGGGTGGTCGTAGAGTAGCAAGCGACGACTCCTCACTAGTAGAACTAGTAAACTGAGCCATCTTGTCTCACTGGTGAGGGAGTAAGAGCAAACGCGCAGCTGAAACCAACAAAGAAGCTGAGCAAAATGATTGCAGCAGAGAAGATTTCAAGCATGAGAGCGTGTTATTCTCACACCTGGTCCCTCACCAGCCGCAACGACATCGTCGAGAGCAGGCGCGGAGCCACGCATCTATCTCCCTTCACTTGCAAAGCCGCCGTCGTCCCCGTTTCGCACAGAACTCACGAAGTAATTGGTAGACTCACCCAATCTCTCCAGTAGCTAGTGTAGTCACTGTCGGTTTCGCTGTTGAAGTCCTCCATGGTTCCTTTCCACTAGCAGACTCCGCCGAGGGGGATGTGATTAAGAAAGACTAGTAGTAATTCGTGCTTGGCCTGTAGCAGTTGCTGAGAGAGCCGGTCGGACAACTCCAGTGCAGGAGAGCCCCCAGAACTGTACAGTTGGAACAATCCTTCTTAAAGCATCCAACAGTCACGTTTCCGGAAGAAAAGCAGATTCGGGGTTCGCGAGCGATAATGAGGGTGGTTTGGCGTTGGGGGGGAATGCAGTGTGTGTTTCTTCTCCATCCAGCCGGACTGTTATCAGTGGATCGCCTTCTTCCAGTTTAGCGCGGGGTTGGCGGTGAGATTCTTCGTGCGACGGTTCACCGCCTTGCATGCTTTCACTACAGCGTTGGTGACTACTCATGCTGCACTTCACCAGATGATAACTAAGTTTAATGTGTGCACTTAATGAAAGACTTATGGAAGCTGCTTTGATTTTGCATCCTCAATGTATTGGGATCCTGCCCACTTGTTCCATCAACCCCAAGATCTACATCATCATCACTTCCCCTATATAACTGTGAAGATCTACTTCCAACATGCAGTAGATCCAAATACTCAGCGATTGACTCACAGGGAAGGGTTGGCATTGGTCAAAAGCTGCTCAAAGTATGCCTAGAACATAATGTTAGCATAACCTCTCATTAACTCTTCAACCAACACCAACCTGGAACCAAGTACCAGCCTCCGGGGCAGGCTGCAAAGCATCACTATATCCGCAATGCGCATCGTAGCGAGAAGAGCTAGTATCCGATGTCCCATCGCTCTCTCCGCCAGGCTTGACCCAGACAAAGGCATCAGCCAGCTCGTCTCCAGTATCGGTTGTCGGCTGAGCACCGAAGCCGGTATCCTTGACATTGCACCAGTCACCCCACGCGCTCTGTCCAGTAGGCTGCTTTCCATTGCGACCTAACCCAGTGAGTCAGACTGAACATATTGCTACAGATACATTAACACTCACCCGTATCGGTAATAAAGTGGGCATCAAATCCAGCACTAGAGAGCTCCGGTGCAAAGGCATTGATGTAGCTCTTCTCATCACAGACATCGTTGCCCGATGTATAAGAGGGGCAAGTGTCGATGCTCCAGGCGTTGAAGTTAGCTACGTTTGTAGCGAGACCACGAACAGCTGCTGGAGATGATGCGTTCTTATACACCGATGCGTAGAGTTCCGCCGCGGGACCGATGTTGGCAGGCCATCCCAGCCATCCCGCATGGCCTGTGGACATCGTTAACTGCGCTCAGTATCTTCAATAAACAAGACGTACCAGCGTCAAGATACATAGCCACGTTCGGCAAATTCAGCTGCTCAAGTGCATAGTTGGTGCATTCCAGGTAAGCAGATTGGGCATTGGCGCATTTAGCCACATCGAGATTCGTCACCAGGTTAGCCAAGCTATCGGGTTCTGTGAGGACCAGTCAGTATCCTGTTTCAGTTCAACATCTATCTATCAGACAAAGCAAGCATACCAATAATCAAGATTGTTTGGACATCCGAGTACGTCTCGACCTGCTCGCGAATAGAATCAATGTACGCCTTATACTTCTCCACGCCGCCATCACTAATCGCGTATTCCCCATTACTAGCCAAGGCAGCGCAATCCCGATCCGGCAGGTCATAGACGACGAAGATACCAGCAATGGGAGGACTTGCTCCAGCGGCGTTTTGCGTCTGGATGTCATCCAGATATTCACCCATGGTAGGCACCTTGTCCGCCGTGTCTCTGAACATTAAGTATCGCATCATCAGCTCAACCCCAAGAATATCTGAGGGGATACTCACAGCCAGTAAAACGAAGGCACATCGGCCGCAGCACTCGCCTGCGCGACCAGAGAACTAGCAGACAACGATGGAATAGCCGAACTCTCCACTTGTGACTTATAGTAGGGGTTCACATAGAGCTGGTATCCCTCAAAGGGATTGCCGGTAGCAGAGGCCGTTGGTGCCGGAGAGCTCGAAGCAGCAACGGACGCTGAAGTAGTCGCGCTTGCGGCGGGGAGGGCCTTGACGGCAGAGAAGAGAGAGACGAGGGGCCAGATGGCTCGCATGTTGATGGAGTGCATATTCATGAGATAGCCTGGTACTGAGCGGAGTGAACTCGTGTGTTTTGGCTCTGATTCCTGACTACTATGCAACTATGCTGAATATATGAGTCTAATTTATATCAGTCCACTTCTATAGACACGTTTATCCATTACCAAAAATAACAAGGAGTGGTGAAGTAAATCCGGCTAAACATCTTCTTCCGTAACAGGCCAAGACGCCTGAATATATGGACTAATTGTTCCTGCAGGGACATTGTCGTGATGAGGAAAACTGTTCCGTGTCTCGAGACGGAATCTCCGTAGCCGAAAGGGCTTCGGTCCGGTCGATCTTCATCTCTACAAGGCTATGTCCGCTCTCCTGGCAAAGCTACGGATAAATGGTTTATATTGAGGATTGTTTCAGCTGCATTAGTTCAGGGTCCTATCCTCTTCTGTATAACGTTAGTGGTCGCAGGCACGGGAAAATTCAATGTCATTCCTTCCAAAAGGTCCCTGGAATCCGGTTGCATTTGGTATCAGATTGAATTAAACCAGAATTATACTAGGTAGTGGTGACTACAAAACTCCGATCACAAAATATCACAGCTATAGCCATCCGGTCCAACGGTCCGACGCTCCATTTGTTAGTGTGAGGAATTCCTACTAGAGGGAAGTTGGCATGTCCTCAAAACAGTTTTGGAGAAAAGATCAGGTTTGTTTGAACTATATCTCTCCTAAATACATAAATGACTGTTCGGACTAAATGCAGGACTCTTCAAGACGAAGCTATTGATCAATAATGTCCTTTGGTCTTTTCGTTTGTTAACGTCATCTGTCACTTCGTGTTTAAAATAGTAAGGTATATGCATCAAATAAAATCACAACAATAGGAAATAAATGACTGTCAAAGTCTGTATGTTATACGTATCACGGCTAAAAAGCCCGCCCATAATGTCGCGAAGCATGATCACACTCTGCTATGAATTTGCGTATTCCATCCGATCCATCGTACTCGGAGGCACTTTCGGGTAAACCAATGCTTGCGACTTCAGCAAAAAAGGCCCGATCGCCAAGTTCGCTGACATTGATGCTGGAATATCCTGACGGAGAAGACATCCATGGGTTCTCACCAAACATGGTAACATCCTCAAAGCTGAGCTGATTCAGGGGCTGCTTGCAAGGTTCGGGAGATGCTTCTGACACATCCTCCGGAGACATCATGGCATGCCAATCAACCTCCTCAGGAACCTGTGACTTTATGGTCCCAGAGCGGTAGAAGTACTCATTCACGTCAGGAGAAGCTGGCACACTAGGGGCAAAAGGAAACAAGAGAGCAAGATCGGCACCTGTACGAATGTCGAAGTCTTCATCCTGCACTATCTTGCCCCTCTGAACCCCAGCCTCGTCACACAGACGTTCAACAGTACTAGCATCGCAACCAGGGAACCGCACTCGAATCGTCGAATTGTCATGTAGCAAAATGGGCAGGTCACCCAGTGTGGATAGCCTCTTCAGGTCGTTAAGCACGGCAGCAAGATCCTTGAGAGCACGGGCAAAGTCCGCGGACAGGAAATCCAAGAGACCGTCCGAGTTAATGGTCTGGGCGTCACCAGCACCAGTCGCTGCCAGGTTTTTCTGCAGACCGAAAGCGGTGATAGTTGGGGAAATCTGGAAGTCGACAAAGGAGCCGGGTGCCGTGCGAGGGATCGCCGCCATCTTGCGCTCGGCCTCATCTTGAAGCTTGCTCACAGTCTTGAAGCGCTTGTTGCCAGTAATGGGATCGACTCCATCAAAGCGAGCCTTCTGTCCCGAGAGGAAGAACGCCCGGACACCGACAGAAACATTGTTGATGACCTGCGCAGGGGCAGCCGCGCCATGGGAGAAGTATCGTGCCCCACCGATGCGGCCGGCACCAATTGCATAACCACCCGCCGTGCGGCCTAGGGTGCCGCCCGTCAGATTCGGACGAAGTGTTGATGCAAAAGGAGCATTTTTAGTCAAGCGACTGACATTAGCTGCGACTCGAGATGTCTTGTAGGCAGTACGCTCGCCCTGTAGGCCACTGCGAATGTAGGAGACGAAGGAGCTTGCTGCACGGGTGGAGTAGTAGTGGCGACCACGAGCTTGACGGATAGCAGCAGCCCGGTTGATAGGGTGTCTGTTGACTACACGCACATACTCAGGCTGAAGGCGAAGTGAGCTTTGTTGGAATTGCTCTGGGAACCTAGACTTGATAGTCTTGTAGGCCTTCTCGTAGGCAGACCTAGAGGCCGTTAGCGGAATGAAGTATATCCGAGTGGCGAATGACTCACCTGGCTGCTCTCCAGAACTTGGGGAGCAGCAGGTGCCCGTTTGAAGGCGGCATCCTGACTGCAATCGAATGGAGAGATTTATAGATGTTTCTCAGATGGAATAACCATCCTAGGATGATGGTAGATGGAAGAGAGATAAGGGGATGACGGAGGGACCTGGCCTGATGACGGAGGAGCCCGGGGTGGCGGTGCGGCATGTGATCCGGCGCCACGTGCTCCCGTAATTTTGGGTCATCCCAGTATGTATCCTCATGCTATGGTAGCAATTGTTGGATGCTATTTAGCATATTTTTCTGATCATTCACATATGTGATACAGCATATTTCGGGCCAGTAGCAGGCTTCTGGAGTTAATTGCATATAAGTGAACAAAGACTAGGTCGATCATAATTCTACCTTCACATTCCAGGGAGGGTCGCCTTGACACTACAGGAAGAGTTGCCTCGACATGAGGATCCTGCTGTCGGCGGTCTAGTTGTGCTTCAACAACACATTCTATGTTTGCGCACAAATCTACATCAAAAGTATGTTCAAGCGTATGTACATTTTATTTTGCTTTCTATAGCTCTATTTCACATGGATATCATCATAGTCTCGTAGATAACAGTTTACTCGTCGTCACCGAAGAAAACCTTGACGGGGAGCCAGTCGTCACCGCAGACCTTGAAGCGGTCCTTGAGGTTGTCCAGCTGGTCAATCTCCTCGGCGGTCAACTCCCAGCCATCAAGCTCGAAGTTGGCGTCGATGCGAGACTTGCTGACCGACTTGGGGATGACACTCCAGCCCTTCTGCACACCCCACAGGAGCAGAACCTGCTGGGGAGTCTTGCCCTTCTTCTCGGCCAGCTTGAGGAGGGTCTCATCCTTGTAGAGAGGAGAGTTGGTGGAGCCGAGGCAAGAGTAGCCGGTAGAGTGGATGCCCTTGGAAGTGTTGTAGGCAACCAGCTTAGGGGAGGGGTTGTTGGGGTGCAGTTCGATCTGGTTGACAGCAGGGATGATCTTGCAGCTGGGGTCGTTCAGGAGCTTCTCGAGGTTCTTGATGCCGAAGTTGGAGACACCAATGTTACGGACCTTGCCGGTGGCGGGAAGCTTCTGCATCTCTTGCCTGGATGGTGTTAGCAACGCTAACTACTGTATTTTCAAGAAAAGAAACTGTACCAAGTCTTGATGAAGTCCCAGTCGGGGAGGTGCTTCTTCAGGTCGTTGGGGTCAGTGCAGCTGGGCCAGTGGACAAGGTAGAGGTCGACATAGTCGAGGCCAAGGTCCTTGAGAGAGGAGTCAATGCCCTCGGTGACACGGTGGTGCCAGGTGTTGTCAAGCTTGGTGGTAACCCAGATCTCCTCGCGAGGGACACCAGAGTCCCTGATACCCTGTCCAACCTCGGCTTCGTTGCCATAGGCAAGAGCACTGATTATGGAATTGTCAGGTTGAGTTCTTCTAGATTGTCCGGAAATTGGTGGCTGCTTCCAACTTACGTGTCGATGTGACGGTAACCCTTCAGGAGAGCATTCTTGACGGCCTCTCTAACCTCGTTGGGCTTGGATTGCCAGGTACCGAGACCAACGGCGGGGATCTTGGCGCCGGTGTTGAGGGTGTAGACCTTCCTAAGGAGCGGAAAATGATTGTTAGTAAGTTCAACAATCCCTCATGTGCTGCACGTTCAATGTATTTCAACTGAAGCTCAGTTAAAGAGAAGGGATAGCTCACTTGGTGTGCTCGAGGTTCGACATGTTGTGCGATTGATTGGTGAATCCGAGGGGTATGGAAGGAGGAATAGGAAAGATGATGAATGGGGGATCAAGAAAATGAAGAATTGATCAGTCTGGGTGAAGGTGGGCTTTATAGCAAGGTGGATGCAAGCTCCGAGGGCGGACCGGACGAGAGAGGAGGCAGGTCCATCCAGCACACCATGAGCGGGACGATGACGATGGAGGGGCACGACCTGCCCCTCCTAGAGATAGTGGGGAGCGTCAGAGGCATCGCTGGCCAGTGATCACCCAGGCATTCTTTTAGCGGACGGACCCAAGGGTCGGGTCTCCTGCATTGGAAGGTCGGTTTCAGCCAACGATAACTACGGATTCAGTCATTTCCGATCTGCAACCTGGGGCTCCTGTTTTGCCGTTATCAAAGGAGTTACCACCGAGCCCGAACGGGGATGAAGCCCTTGACATCGGTCAGTTGCGCTTAAACGAGGTTGTCCGAGTGCTGTCTATCACTCAGGGAGTAGTAGGTAAAGGCGTAACTGAGTTGATACCAGGCTAAAACTTTTGGAGAGAAGAGTATACAAGAGCATCACATTGCCAATTGAACCATATCGTGGAACTGCTACTGTTCAGGAAATCGAAACATCGGATTACCAGGGCTCATTGTGCCGATAACTTATGAGAACGTACTGAAGACATCGGAAGGCAAACTCTGGGTCACTCAGGATGAAAGTCGTCCCAGTTACTCTGTACAGTAGGACTTTCTAGGTAGAGGATAATATGGACAGTCTTTTAGCCAGCCTGGTTCTTCTGAGCCACAGCCCCTCAGATGACTAATGAGGCATTTTGCCTAAATTGACCAAAACAGCAGAACTCCGCCGCTCCGGCGTGGGTCTGCCTCAGGCCCAATCACCATGAACCACATGTGCTTCACCGCCTGTTTCTGCCGGTCCACTACTGTGGCTCTCGGTTGGCAACGGTCACAAGTGAAGGAAGAAGCCGCCGGAAGTTAGCAAAGCAAAGCCGCCCGTGACGTTGCTCGCCGCCGTTTACAATATTCTCGCATTGGATCCATTGCCGGAGGCTCTTGTAGATCCACGGCCATTGTGACCTCCGCCAACGAGATCACCATGTCGTCTGGATTTGTATCCGCCGGAACGGATCAGGAGCCAATCGAACGCGACGATGAATGGCGTCGTGTACAGAATGAGCTCGAGGAGGAGCGCAAGCGCAAAGCAGAGCTAGGGAGGCAGGAAGATGGCAAGAGCTTATACGAAGTACTTCAGCAGAATAAAAGTGAGTCTCCACATTGTGCGGAGATGCCATGAGGCGCGTGTGCTAGGAGACGCCTTGGATTGACATGTTAGGGTGATGTGTTTTGTCGCGCAAAGTGGCCAAGCAGGAAGCTTTCGAAGAGAAGATCAAATTGAAGAATCAATTCCGTTCGCTGGACGAAGACGAAGTCGAATTCCTCGATTCTATCATGGAGTCCACCCGGGCCAAGGAAGCTGCGGTCAAGAAGGAGACTGCCGAACAGCTGGAGTTGTTCCGTCGACAGCGGGAAGAGGCAGAGAAAACTCTGCTGGAGGACACATCTGCGGATGTCGCACCGGCCGCTGAAGGAGAGGACTGGAAGATTCCTGCCCGCAAGAGACGTCGAGAGAAGAGTAAAGACCTTCTTATACCTGGCAAAAAGCGCAAGTCTCTTGGGGGTGACACTACTGGAAACTCCTCGAAAGAACAAAGTGCGGACAAAGAATCCGGAAAGGTCGATAAGAGTGTCCATGAAAGCAAGCCGGAGCCAACGCAAAAGCCGGAAGAGTCAAAGCCAGCAGCTGCATTGCCTGGAGCAAGCAAGCCTGTACAGGATTCAAAATCAAGTCCAAAGCAGACTGCATCGAACGCAGCAACAAACGCACCTTCGTTATCCCTTGGATTAGCCGACTACGGCTCAGATTCAGAATGATCTTGATGTGTTGTACAATAGGCACTTGGTGTCCCTGCTCTTTACGTTCGTGCTCTCCGTCGCTTGGGTTTCTGCGCCTGCGGACTACTGATGCGGTCTCATTAAAATGTACATGATGCTTCGTCTCTCTGGACTCGAGGGATACTAGCTTGCTTGCACTGAAACATCAGCAACGGGGCCTTTGGATCACTAAAAGCGTTTAGGTCTTATCTATATCGCATATCTTATAATATTACATGCTAGCTTTCAGCAATGGCGTTATTAAATTTTTGTAGGCTTGAGATTCATGTGTATCAAGTTTAAAATACCAATACTTACAGTACTTGATGTTACATTTCCCATCAGGTGGTCAGGAGGGCCACGTGAGTCTGTTCGCTTCAAGAATTACACTTCTCCATGCTCACTTAGCTGTGTATTAATCTCAAGCCAGTGCGAACTACAATTACCGTTGCAATCAATATAATTTGGTGCCAGTAAGAACATATCCTCTTACTCGATCCTCTGATCAAAACAAAAGACACATAATGGGCTGGCCATCGATTCTCTTCGTTTCCACAGCTCAGCTCACCTCATTGTGGGTAGCAAAAACCTCTCTCTTCTCCGCCTCCTCCTCCAGCCTCCGCTGTAAATCATGAGGAACATAATCCTCCTTACGTTTTCCCGCCACAATCCACGGAGAATTCGAGAACAGATAGTTCATCTCTTCCAGCGGTAACTTCTTCGTCTCAGGAAGCAACAGCCAGAAGAACACCGCATTCGTGAAGTTGCAGATGATGAAGAGGAAGTAGTATCGATAGCGCACACTCTCCATGGCAATGGGCGTCACCTGCCCAATCATCGTGTTGAACGCATACGATGTCATAGTAGCCAACGAAACGCCCTTCGACCGCGTTCGGGTGTCGAATACCTCTGCTGGAATGATCCAGGAGAGAGGGCCGCATGTGCACGAAAACGAGAAGTTGTACAGCCAAGTCATGATGATAAAGCCCCAGTGGGCTCCGGTGTTGTGGCTTTCTGGGGGGAACTGCGCTAACAGGATGCAGGCAACGATGAATGTTACCATGTTTCCTAGGTTACCCCAGATCAGAGTCCAGCGGCGACCGACTCGGTCGATGAAGAGAATGCAGAGGAACTGAGCTACAAGGGCGATGATGGAGTTGATAGCCTGGTATTGTAGCGTTTTGTCGCCGCTAATGCCAATCTGACCATATATGGTCACAGAGTAGTATCTAGCAGATGACTGGTGAGTCTTTGGGGTTATTATTAATAAAAAATTGAGGGAGTACTCACTGGATTGCAGACACGCCGGTCATCTGTACGGATGCCTGCAATGCGCAACAAAGGAACAGGCGACGGAAGGACGACCGTGATGTAAAAAGTTCCTTGTAGGACTTGGCCTCGTGCTCATGCTCAAAGACAATACTTTCTTGGATCTGATTAAATTCCGCACGGACCCAGGGATCCTCTTCGTTGCCATGCGCATGAAGCATTGCCAATGTCTTCAGGCCTTTCTCGGTCTGGCCGTGGTCAATGAGCCATCGTGGTGACTATTCCTTGTCAGTATGAAAGCAGGTTGACGACGAGACATTGCGTACCTCAGGGAAAAGCATGATTAAAAGTCCCAGGAATACCGCTGGTGCAATCTGCAGTCCAAGGGGTAGCTGCCATTGTGTGTCATTGGTTTCGGAGAATCCGATATATGTGCCGTACGAGATCCAAGCAGCACATAAAGACCCAACTCCTAGCATGAATTGCTGTAGAGCAGTGACACGACCACGAATGTCCGGATGGCAGATCTCGGCCTGGTAAAGAGGGATAATCATAGTAAGGAAACCGACCCTGCAAACAGATTAACCCATGGTTTTGAACGGTCGCTGAGCATAGAGTAGCATACCCCAGGCCGGCAAAGAACCTTCCGCTATAGAGGAAGGCAACAGTTCGTGCTCCAGTCTGAAGACCACCTCCGAGGCAGAAGAGAACACAACCGACAGTAATGGTCCATCGTCGGCCTAGCTTGTCACCACTAGGGCCTGCAAACGCTGCACCAAAGAAAGCACCTGCAGTGAACATGGACACCACAAGTCCACTAGGAAATGTCAGAGCACTTCAACATACCAGGAACTAGCGACTCACGATTGAGTGTCATTCAAATTGAATCTGGATATGAACGACCCGCAGGCGATGACTTCAGCGATCACACCGAGATCATCTGCGGAGACTAGTGTTAGGCCCAGTGGATCCACAGCAAGGAAGAAGAGTATACACACATCCATACAAGAATGAACCCAGCGAGGCGAAAACGCCTACTAGGAACTGGAAACTCAGTTAGTCCATACATCTTAGCAGTTAATCAGAAGGTTGACTGACTTGATACCATGCTGGAGAGAGACGCATGATGGTAGAAAGCGCTCCTAAAGCTTTAGTGTCTCAGATCACTAAGCCGAGCTAAACGACAGAAATGCGGAGACCAAATCTGGGGTACAGGACCCTCGGCCATTTAAGAACATCTGGAGATTGAGCCGCGCATTCCACGTGTATAGCCATTCTATGGCCGTATTAACCTCATATTCCATGAAAAGGACATGCGCATCTCGGTTAATTGAGATTTAAACGAGGCCGTCGGCGAGGAAGCCATTTAGGATCGTGTTGTAGGAATCTCAGGATCCAACACAACCGAAGCCACTGAATAACATGCCATGCGTGACCTATCGCTAACGACTACCCTGGTCAAGCCAAGTAACGCTTTGTCGATACGGGAATGGTATCAGTATGCACGGTTTCTGAACCAAGAAAAGATTCCCGTCTGACAAGCGTGCTGATTGATGGAATATTGCCGTGGCGTTGCCTCGGCTTGATCCCCAAGCCAACGGCGTAAGAGCACCATGCATCTCATCCACTCCCGGCGCCCTAACAGACCATCATCGCGTGGTGCACACGAGAGTCAGTCGCAGGTCTGGAATCACCCCGCAGGGGATTTCCCCGATTTATGCGGGACTCCAGGTAATAGCTCCCGCACATTAATATCTGTTGCTAGTCTGCCATCGTACTGGCTTTCGACAAATCCTCTCTGGTAGAGTTTACCGTCTTGATTTCCTCTATACCAATTCAGATTAGGTTATTACTTACCCTACTTGGAACCTTGTCAAATTATTCGCGCCATGACCACCTTCACCAAGCTTAGTGACCAGGATGCGCCTAGTATTTCCATCCACCCAGAGAGGCGTCTTTCCAAGATCAATCCGAATATTTACGCGGGGTTTACAGAGTAGGCCTACTGATCAAGACTCATTTGCCCTTTGGGCAACTTAGCAGTGAGCTCACGTATTGTTAGGCACATGGGCAGGTGCATTTATGGGGGCATCTATGATCCAGGCAATCCACTGTCAGACGAGAATGGTTTCAGGAAGGATGTCCTTGAAGCTCTGAGGGAGCTCAACATTCCTGTCGTCCGTTACCCCGGTGGAAACTTCATGGCGACTTATCATTGGATCGATGGGGTTGGGCCGAAGGAGAAACGGCCTGCTAGGTATGTCCACATGATCATTAATCCCTCCACATATGTCTCGTACATGTGCTTTGACTTCGTTGCTGTTAATTCCCTCCTGGGATAGTAAATACCTTTCTTTCATTCTTACTGATGTTGTAAGGCTAATCTCACTGCTTCTATAGACCTGAGCTGGCATGGCTGGGAACAGAGACCAACCAGTTCGGCACTGATGAATTCCTGAAATGGTGTGAAGTCCTAGGCACTGAGCCCTACTTCTGCCTGAACTTTGGAACTGGTAATGTGATCCGTCCTACTTGAAGCACAAGCGCTGACGTATAGCCAGGTACTCTTGACGAAGGTAACTTATTTTAACTCTATATATGGCACATTGCTAATGGGCTCTGGGATAGCGCTGGCGTGGGTCGAGTACTGTAACGGCACTAAAGATACATACTATGCTAACCTTCGGCGGAAGAATGGTCGCGAGGAGCCATACAATGTATGATCCCCTATGCCCCGGGCTTCCTATGTACTCATTCATGCTCCAGGTCAAATACTGGGCCCTGGGCAACGAGACTTGGGGTCCCTGGCAGGTCGAACAGATGACCAAGGAAGCATATGCTCACAAAGCCTATCAATGGGCCAAGGGTAAGCCATCCGTTGCTCTACTCATAAACACCTACTGATACGGTGAATAGCCTTGAAGCTCCTTGATCCCAGCTTGATCTTGGTCCTCTGTGGACAAGACGGCACAGCTTCATGGGACTACTACACCCTTAAGCAATGCCTGCTTCCAGCACACTCCCCTCTTTCTACCAGCACCGTACCTCTCATCGACATGCACAGCATCCATCTATACACAAGCTCTCCCTCCCATCTCCCCAATGTCACCGCCCCACTAGCCGCAGAGCGTGCCATCGAAATCACCTCATCTCTGATCGACCTCGCCCGAATCGAGAACGGAGTTCCACCAGACCAACATCGTCCCACCATTTGCTTCGATGAATGGAACGTCTGGGATCCCATTCGTGCAGAGGGCAGCAAGGGTGCAGAAGAGTCCTACACTCTCTCCGACGCATTAGCAGTCGCCGTTTACTTAAATGTATTTGTCAGGAAAAGCAAAGACCTGGGCATGGCATGCATCGCGCAGAGCGTTAATGTCATCTCCCCACTCATGACAAGCAAGGACGGCATCACTAAGCAGACAACTTATTGGCCTTTGTACCTGTTCTCGAAGTATATGCGGGGATGGACTATCAGTGTGCATCTATCTTGTGCTTCGTATGAAGGGGAGACTTCTCCCAAGTGGGTGCGCGGAGTCAAAGATACGCCTTGGTTGGATGTTAGCGCTACCCTCGGTGAGGATGGGTATGTGAATGTTGCGGTGGTCAATATTCACGAGGAAAAGGATATCACGAGCAACATTGATGGGCCGTCTGGGCCAATCTCAATCTTTACTGTTACTGGAGAGAGTGTCCAGGCTTGTAATATGAATGGCAAAGAGGAGGTCGTTGTGACTGAGAGTACAGGGGAGGCGAAGGGACAATTTGTGTTCCCGAAGCATTCTTTGACGTTGCTGAGATGGAAGCTGGCGTAAATTGCTACTGAAGTTTACTAAAGGGATAGGTTACACCGTGCCGTCTGATAGAATGCTATATTGTTCTTCGGTTCATATCACAGTATGTTGATGCTTCGGTGGAATGGAAGACTACATCACTCAAGCAGATGTAGAATATCACACTATAAAAAACAACATTATTTCAATAGATCCCTCTCAGAATAGTACATATAAAATATCGTCCCATAATATCGTAACAAGTCACATCACATCTTTATAAGTCGTAATCCAGACATCAAGTATCACCCTCTAACCAAAGGTCACATCATGAACAGTGCCATCGTCACCCAAGTGGATGTTCATCCTAAGACACGAATCCATTAGCATGAGGACAGTATACATATAACAACAGGGGCAAACTAACCGCTCTGGCCTCATATCCATTGTCTTAGCATCACCAGGCTTAAGAACACGATGTTGCTGGGGAAGGTCCTTCTTCGCGAATGACTAGATTACGCCATACGTTAGCATCAGTCAAAAGGTCCCATACACACACAAGAGACAGCAACATTTAGTTCGGAAAGAAGGAAGAGAGTCATACAGTCACATCGCTCGACGACTCAGTGAGTTTCTTCCCCGCCAGCTTGTTGAGCCACTCCTCTTGGCTGGCACCACCAGAGGTGTTGTTGATTCCGGGGACGACAAGAGGCATGGTTGAAGTTTGCTTTGTATCTTCGAAGTCGAGAGAAATTCTTAATTATTTTGTGTAATAGAAAAAGTAAGTGGAGATAGATTAGTCTGGGTTTGAAAATGGAAGATAAGCCTGACAGGAACCCTTCATTACTTATATATACTTTTAGTTACATTGGGACCCTGGCGATGACATCATGCCGGTGGAATGGGGCTTGGTGTGGCGGTGCTGATGACGTCGATCTGTTTCGGGATTAGCGCGATTGGGAGGGCGGCATGTCACATGCGAAGTGATGAATGGGATTTGTTGATGGCTTCACTATTGGGTTTAAGTCTCCATTAAGGAGGGTCATATCATCAATCATACAATTTAGCTGCAGTACTTCAGTGTGTCAGGAATTTGTACTGATTCCAGGTGGTGTCCGTACCCACTGCCCCAAAAGGCAGAATATATCGCCAATATATATATCAACATCTATATTGATCGTTCACTCGACTTTTACCTAGTACTTGAATAACATCATACTAGCACATAGTACTAATTTGAGAACTTAATGAGAAGCTCCTCACTACTAGTACTGCCATTAGAGAAATACCAGTTTCAGGCGCTATTATGCTAACTACCTTAGATTCCGTGACATTTATACTTGAATATAGGAAACCACAACCCAGTCATGTTTCTCTGAGCAGTTGCCTCCATTATCCGCCGGTATCATTTGAGCCATGCTACAGTGGACAGATCACTTATCCTTCTATTCTCTGGAATATCTCTGACATGATACTGACTCGACGCATTTGCTCTAATGGCAGCGATTATCAATATACAAGCTACCGTCATCGAACAGTTGTATTGCACCTTCGATCTTTATAGACACCACGCATCCCATTCTTAGACTTTCTTGCCTGCACCGAAAGAAAACCGGCAAACTACACAGCTGTTTGCTTCACAGCCCCGCTTTCCCGATGCTGTTAGCTTCTATTGTGCCCTCAAGGGCCACTACCACATCCAGAAGGGCTGTGGGGCAGCAGTCACGAACATCTGCCGGGATATTGGAAAGCACCTATAGCCCGCTAAACAGAGGCTATAGGGGCATGCACTTGTGGAACAGGAACAGTGAGGTCGTCAAACACCGGCTAGACACTGTTCTTGATGGTCTTGATTATGCCAGAGACTCCCAGCTTGCAACTCGTTCAAACACTTCATCGCAGGAAATGGCTACAAATGAGGACGGTGCAGCACAGGCTGGGAAATCTCAGGTAAACCTACATGCAAGTCCTCGGAGACCAGAGTATATGAATCGGAATTGGATACCGCATTGGAGCTACCAGAAAAGCTCCATTGCTGCCGCGTGCATATTTACAGCCGTCACAGTAATGGCTTTGACTTTCTTAGCTATCCTATCCATCAAGAAGGCTAAAAGAAGCTGGGAGCGACACAAACGTGAAAAGCATGATTATGCAAACTCCGGATACTCTGCTCTCACCTTGCTCGAGGAAGGCCACAAAATGACTGCGACGAGCAGCAAGCAGATAAGCCGAGAGACTTTGATGTTCAGTAGGAGTCGCTCGCCATCTTCGACCTATCTCATTGAACAAGACGGTCCTTCCGTGACAAGAGCTTATCACACGAGCAATAGCGTCTCTACCGTTACGCTCGACTCGCCCAGCTCTACCCTGGGAGATGCAGGCTCTACAACCGAGTTGAACGCGATACCTGAACGTCCAGTCAGCGCGTTAAAACGTTCCCGCCACGAACGTCATGGCTCGAAGGCCAGATCAATCGTTGTCGTCCCGTCACCCTTGAGGGCATTCTCGGTGAAGCCGATGATACACCACACAGACCCAGCCTACGGCCTGGAGCGGACTTCTTTGAACGTTGAACATGAGGGCGGTAATGTACCGTCGAGCAGCAAGCGTGACTCCGCTGGTGGAAACAGCTTGTTTAAACTTCCAGCAATCCAAAGAACAATGTCGCCTCTTTTCTCCTTTTGATCCACAGGACTATGGGATGGTGTGCTTATTGGGTACGTGTTTTGTCTAGTCACATCCGACTTGAAGTTGTATTTTCCAAGCCGGAATTGGAAGTCAGGGACTTTTTGTCTTCTTTCTTTTTTCCTTTCTGTCTCTATAGAATTGTTATTCTCGTCATGATACAAACAGCTGTACGGGGCCTTTTTGCTCTTCGAGATTGAAGTAATAGGAGGCCATGCACCTTCTCAATAGCCAAAAGTTACTGAATACAGGTCCATTTCCCAACTTTCCCATCCAGAACCAGTGTAATCCAAATATTTGGAAAAGCTAAGGTAAAGCAAAAGACCAAAACATGATATAATATATCCAAAACTGGCAGCAAGCATCATCCGCCTTAGCCATCTAGTACGCTCCCAAAGCAAAGAGATCATCCATAATAACTAGTACCCAGCTTAAGAGAAAGCCAATCGGCACTGCTTTAGTGCTTAAACAAGCCACCACTCTCCTACAAAACAAACCACGCATATCATCACATCGTCGGATTTATATTAGTAATATATGAATATAGGTTAGGTTAACAACGCAGCTAAGCAATCCTCTAGACGCATCACAAGCCGAGTGACAAGCGACCAGACCAACCAACACAACACAACACAACGTCAAAGAGCAGACCAAGATCATAAATGGCAACACAGCACACACAACACCGGTCAATCAATCAATCAATCAATAATAAGTCTACAGAGCTTGCCATTTATAACAGGACCGGAATGATGAAATGAAAGATACCAGGTGAATAGAGTAAAGCAAAACGCACTCAATTGAAGGAGGAAGAAAAAAAGCAAATACACCGCACCGCCGTACATGCATGATTTGTAGATAATAATAGGATGATACAACAGAGTGAATGGATAAATGAATGAAAGTAAACAGATCTATCGCATCTCACGCACTCCACGTAAACACCGCTCTAGGCGCTTCCCTCGTTCGCGTTCTCGGACTAAGGTTGCCCGGACGAAGGAGCGGATGGCATCTCGTCCGACTTTCTCGCGCCAGGTGGTCCAGCCTGCTAGTTCGCCGACAACCACATCCTTATTCCATGTGATTTCGCGGGAGAGACGGGCGATCTGGAGTTCGGAGTCCTGGATCTTGGTTTCGAGGTCACGGACGGACTTTTGGCGGGATTCTTCGAGTCCTGGGAAATTGATGTTGAATTTCCGGGGGAGGGAGGAGGATACGAGTGATGAGCGGTTGCGGGAGAGGTTTCTGTTTGTGGATGATAGGTTGTTTATAAGGGAGATGGGACGAGAGAGGGATGCTAGGATGGCGGTTGTGGTGTTGTCGATTGAGGTCAGGGCCGTGAGGAATTGAAGGAGAGGAGAAGAGTCGGAAGATGAAGTGGAGAGATGGGTTGCATAGCGGGTGAACGCGTCGACATAGGAGGCTGGTAGAGCGTTGGTCGGTTCCTTGAGGGTTGAGACAACGGAGGCACAGAGGGCCACGGCGTCTGCAATGTCGGATGCAGAGTTTTGGAGAGCGTGGCCGCGACGAAGCAGACTGCGAGTGTTAACGTGGACGGCGCGGACCATGTCCTGGGCGTGAGAGACGAATTGCTCTGTCTCGCGCATGCCTTCGGGTGTGACGGGTTCGTAGTCGTCGTTGATGGACTCCGTGAGAACCTGGGCTTTGCGCTGCGAGCGGTCTGCCATCATCTCGGGCTGCAGTTCGGGAACCAGAAAGAACTCCCACAGCATCTCGTGAGTGGCGAAAGTTGGATGCGTGAGCAAGACCTTGAGGAACCTGTCGAGCTTCTCTTGCATGTCATGGAGCACAGAGCGGGACGGTTTGGAGTGAATCTGGAAAGGGCTACGGAAGTCGGACAGAGACGGCATATAGGAAGCCGGATGCTCGATGGACAGGCACCTGGCAAGGTTCTCGAAGTCAGAGAACGTGCGACGGCATGTGGTGACTGTGAAGGTTGTCCCTGACGCAGGACGGGACTCTGCTGAGTTGATGGTTGGGTTCGGGGCACCGGACTTGAGAACAAAGCGCACTGTCGCATCCTCAACAAAGTATGAGCGCACCACCGTCGTGACACGACCAGACTGCTCGTCATAGGCTGACGGAGGGTTAGAGAGAAGGATGAGATCGTCAATGCGATTGCGCACTTCATCATCTTTAGCAAGTTCGACAGCAGTCAAACCACGGCTTTCTTTCAGGTGAACATCAACTCTGGGGTCCATGAAAAGGATCCTGACCTGATCGATGCGGCCGTACTTGCTGGCCATCATGAGAGGAGTGAACCTTTTATCATTTGTTGCATTTGGATCACAGTCACATTCTTGCAAGAGGCGGATGGTAATTTCCGGATCGCTAACGATATGCAACAATGTATTGCCTCTAGAGTCGACATGATTATCGAGGCGCAAGGGCTTGCCATCACCTTGGGCAATTTGGGCGGCCGTGAGTGCTTCTTTCACCATCGAGTTGTAGTCCGGGTGATCGTAAGACCTGCATAGAGCGAAAAGTGGCGTCTGACCATGCTTGTCGCGTTGACACCACGGCAGCAGTCCTTCCAACCTATGCATTACCGATGGCGTGCTGAAGAGGTAGTGTGCAACCGTGCGCCCATGCATGTCTGACTTCTGTAGGTACGATGCAATGGTGTGTTTATCCGTTGAACTGAATAGGAAGTTCAATAGAATGTCCACCATTTCGACATGAGCAAGCTGAACAGCAGCACTAAGTAATGTTGTCCCATTTGTATTTGTGTCCTCGAGAATATCCGCCAGCGGATAGTAATCTTGAAGGCTCAGCAGGTATTTCAAGGCGTCTGGCTGGCGGCACTCTACGGCCATCATCGGAATCGAATCGCCTGCAGGATCTTGCGTTTTTGTCAATGTCTCAATTGAACTGTCCCCCTCAATTGCGCTTGAAATGGAGCCCATTCCCGTTGTCCGGGAAGCCAAAGATATCCCAGATGATTCAGACAGGCTGCGGACATCCATGGAAACCTTCTTCACAGGGCGTCGGATCTCTTTCGGAGGGGCCGTGTTCGTCCACGTCTGGAAAGGAAACACATGAGAAAGGGGAGGTGGCTCAGAGGGTTCTTCATCATGCGCTGTCCCACTAGGAATATTCATTTCGAACGGTGCATCCTGCAAAAGCAAGGGCTCATGTGGACTTTGACATAGATTATCCTCGTCATGCGTCCGAAACGCAACAGTTCTTTCTTCGGGCTCACATGGGACTTCGTCTAGCGACTCCTGATCGCCATTTGGCTCTAATATGGCTTTCATGTCCACGACACGTCCGCCTTTAGTTGCATTCCATAAGCGCCTGTTCCGAATACTGGCTCGCCGGAGGCCCGCGGAATCAGTCACCAGGTAGGTAAGAACAGCTTCGAGAGTGCTCAGCGCATAGCCCATTTCACCACTGTCAACATCGTCGATGTATATGAAATGTTGCATGTACATCAGCCTTGCCTGCAGGTTCTTCACTTGGGATCTGATGACCACAACCAGCAGCAATGAAACCAGAATATCAGCGTTGATCGTTACCGGCGCGTATTGCTTTTCTGATGCAAGAGACCCCGCTCTATCGTAATTCCCAGGATAAGACAGGAGCTTAATTGTCTGAAGTAGAGTGCTCAACATGTCGTGGGGGCACTTGGCGTCTAGCATTTTGCGGAACTCTTCCACTGCCCTCCCAATGCGCTGTAGCAATTCGCGTTTACCCTCTCGTCCACCATCGACAACTATGCCCACTTGCGAGATGTCGATGTTTTCCATATAACGAATCCTAGAGTCTAGCTCTGCGTCTTCTGGCTGGCGGAAACTGCAAAGACGAGGGAATAGAAGAGATTCGTGCACCTGCTCAGCGACGTAGCGCTCGATGAGCCTTTCCACCAACGGTCCCGTTAGATCGGTGGTGGCACCTAGAAAAGACAGCTGCTGCTTATCCACTAAACGAAACAAGTCAATTGCGGCAGTAACAGCTGTCTCCAGACTTCGACGCATCAGATCCTCGTCATCCTCGAAGTACTCTTCGGAGTTGAAGGGTAGGCCCTCCCTATTGCGAGAAGCTGAACTACGGATAGAAGCAGATTCGTCGGCGGTTATCTCGTTGTTGTTCTGCTTCCGTTCGTATTCGTCGAATATGAGGGGCGAACGGGACGGCGGAGGTGGCAACGGTTTCCCCAGCTCCTTTCCAAATTCCTTGAACAATCTCTCCAATCCAGGTTGCATCTGCCGGGCAATCATCGGGAAGTGCGCGAGGAGTTCTCCAAATGTCTTGATCTCCTTCTTCGGTGGCGACGAAACGGACTCGCTAGACTTCATGCCGTTACCTATGATATCGCGCTTTGGTAACATGCCCGGCACTACAGCAGTGACGATCTTTCCGGGGTCGAATGAGCCGATCAACGGCCGTGAGATGTAGTAGATCAGCCATGGTTGAGAGTCGTTGCTGTTATTGTAGTACAGCGCATCGGATAACAGCTGGGCTTGGCTCAGGGACTTGAAGCCTAAATACAAGGGTCAGCGCATGTGCCACTCAGGAGACTAGCCGGATGCCTTCCCACCTTTGTTACTGTACACCGAATTCTCCTTGATAATAACCGTGCGCCCGTTTACCGTCGTCACTTGCTTGGCTTTGCCCCGGCTATCCCGTATATTTGAGTCATCCTTTCCCCCGCCGGCCCCGGTGGACACTGGTATTCGCAAGGTATGGCTTCCCAAGAATTCTTCGGATACGACGAGATCGGAGTAGTAGAGGGATGACTCGCGGTCGCGCGAGCCGACCAGCGATTCCGTGACAGGTACTAGGAGGACCTAAAGTGGGCATGTCAGAAGCTGGGCTCAGACCGGAGCCGATAGAGTTGGCGGGACATACATGATTCTCGGTGGGTATACACTGCCCCGGAACTGTGCTTCGGAAGAAGGCACGGAGGAAGGGATTTAGAGGGTGCATCCAAACGGTCTTGGACGACGGCCCAACACAGAATCACAGGCACTCATGAAGCCGTCTAGACCGGTCTCGAAGGGGGGGATCCGCTGCTCGATCGTCGCAGAGGAGCAGCTCCGGCGCATGCGCCCGCAGGTAATCGGATACAGTGCAGTCTCAACGAAAGAGCTTAGGAAGCAAGCGCAAAGAACCAGTCGGAAGAGACAGAAGTTAACGTCACGATGGACAGGCTAGAAGCATAAGCTGAACGACGAGTGAGAGTGAGGGAGTTGTTGAGGACAAGAGGGGGATCTCAGCCAACAGCTTTCGGAGTGGCAGTCCTGGGAGCTCCTCGCGCTATCCCCCTTTGGGTCGGCCTAGATCTCAGCCTGCCTCGCCTTTATGGAGATTTCCAAGACAAATTGCCCAACTACACGCCTTCATTCATAACATTCTTGCTAGGAGAAACTTTGAATTGATATACATTGCACCCGTAGAAACTCGCATCCTAAAAAAAAATAATCCCATATATGCCGGGAACAGGCTGGCTAGTATACAAATAGAGAAAAGGAGCTGGACCCTGAACCCTGAACCATTGCCCGAACTATTGCCACCCAACAAGAACGGTTCAGTTGATACAGTTGTAGGGTCGCCATATGGTTGGACTGAGAAGAACCTATTCCGGGGCATCTCTGATCAATCCCATCCCATCATCAGGTATCATGAAAGCATGCCCATGTTCTTGTCCCAGACGTTCTAGCAAAGCACTTCTACCCGCGTCAGAACGACATAACAAACTTCGTCAACAGAATGCACCCCCTTAACCAAGACGGCGAACCCTGGGGCTTCTCGAACCACCAAACTTGAGTCTGGTGGAGTCCGTCACCCGACAAACCAAGCCGCGGATGTTCCTTCCTTCGTTACCGAGCAAAACCTTGGTGACAGCCTCACGGCCTTGTCCGAAATCACGGAAGATGATTTCCAAGCGCTTGATTTCCAACAAAAAACCCCTTTCTTGTATCTGGCCAAAGACGTGCGACGCCAGCTGGTGGGCGGCTTCGTAACCCGAACGCTTAGACTTGCGGAATCCAAGGTGACCGCAGCTCTTAGCCAACATTGGGTCTCCATTCGGCCGTGTCAATGTCATGATGGTGTTGTGCTTGTGGCAGTAGACATGTAGGTGGTAAGGAGGAGACCGATCGGCATACGGCTGGTTGATCAACTCTGCTTCCAGGCTCTCGGCCATCCGGGAGTAGTCACGACTCACACCCTGGTTTGAGCGAACCTTCTCGCCCTGCATCATCTTGGTGATCGCAGAGAATGACGCATTCTCTTGGGCGGGTTGCTTCTCCGCAGGGGTGTTCAAAATCTCTCTCTCGATTTGACGGGTCTTCTCCTTTGCGCTTTCGAGAATTGCGGGAGTCGATGAGAAGGGTCTCGTAAGACGGAAAGCAGGGGCACGGATCTGACACGAGCGGCCAACGGTAGGCAGAGCCCTCGACAGGGCAGTAACGAATGTCGAGTTCATCTTTGCGGTGTCGTCAATCGAGGAGGATGTCGGGGAGATACGGCTAGGTGGCGGGTGAAAGGACCGAACGTGGCCGTTATACCAGCCAACGGAATTGAACGCGGAGCAAGATGAAAATCAACTCCGGACAGACAATGGAAATTGTCGTGATTGCAAATAGCCGGAGGTGGCTCCAAGTCGAAGATGCGGCGCAAGTCTGGGCCGGAACGACAGGGCGGCGGAAAAGGGCCGAATTTTCGACGGGCTTGGCGTCCAGCATCTCAACTTTTTTCCCTTCTCGCTCGTTCTGACACCAGCTGCCGACATCGCTTCCTCGCTCTTCCTCATCCACCTCCCCCCTTCAACCTCAACCTCAACTCAGTCCTTCCACCTTATCTTCGGGGTTGGCGAACACGCCGATCTTATCTCTTTCCTTGGCTTTAATTCGGTTCTTGTTTTAATAGTCGCATAGCATGATCTCGGCTACCAGGATGTCGGTCACCGCGCGGGCGGCCACCCTACGGTCTCAGGTGCCGACTCTGATGACCGCTGCTGTGTCCCAGCGCTCTTTGATTCAGTCCTGCTCTTACGCTACATCACGAAACACCCTCTTGAACAGCCAGCGCGCGGACCGTCCCGTTTCTCAACTCGTTTCCCCGTTCGCTGCTCTCCCTCTGACCAGATCCTTCCACGTCGTCGCCCCTCGCTTGCAACAGCAGCAGCAGAAGGATAAGCAGGAGCAACAAGAAAAGCAGGAGAAGCAGTCGGAAGAGCCCAACCAGGAGAAAGAGGAGAAGAGCGAAGGGGAGTCCAAGAAGGAAGGAAAGAAGGATGCGCCTCCGCCGCCGCCCCATGGTGACAAGACTCCCTGGCAGGTGTTCAGAGAGACTCTCCAGACGGAGTTCAAGGCTTCGAAGGAGTGGAATGAGTCGACAAAGGCTCTTGCTTCGTCTGCTCACCAGTTCTCCGAGAACGAGAACATCAAGAAGGCTCGTGCCGCTTATGAAGCCGCCTCTGGAGCCGCCACCTCCAAGACTGCGACTGCCATTAAGACCACCGGAAAGGCCATTGGCACTAGCGCCGCATGGACCTGGAACACTCCTGTTGTCAAGGGTATCAGAAAGGGTGTCAACGTCACTGGCTCTGGTATTGAGAAGGTCACAAGACCTGTCAGAGAAACCGAGGCTTACAAGAGTGCCGTGGGTGGTGTGAAGAATGCCATCGATGATGGTAGCAGCTCCCGCTACGGTGGTTACATCGAGAAGGAGGAGCGTCGGAAGCAGCGCAAGCTGCGTGAAGAGGCTGAGCTCAAGGCTGGTCGCCATGTCGAGCCGATGGTTGAGGATCCCAAGTGAGTCATGTTCAGTAAATTATGTCACAGATCTCTCTAACAGTTATCCACTCTAGTGCCGGAACCCACGTTACCCTCCACAAGGACTCTGCCTGGAAGGAATCGTGGCGCGACTTTAAGGACTCCAACCCTATGATGCAGAAGCTCTTCACCCTTAAGGAGTCCTACGAGGAGTCGGAGAACCCCTTGATCAGCACCGCGCGCAGCATTTCCGACCGTGTTGCTGGTTTCTTCGCCGAGAACGAGACCGCTCGTGTCATCAAGAAGTTCCGTGAGATGGACCCCAACTTCCAGATGGAAGCCTTCCTTAGAGAGATGCGTGAATACATCCTGCCCGAAGTGCTTGACGCCTACGTCAAGGGAGACGTTGAGACCCTGAAGCTGTGGCTCTCCGATGCTCAGTTCCATGTCTACGCTGCTCTTGCCCAGCAGTACACTACTGCCGGCCTCAAGTCGGATGGCCGTATCCTCGATGTCCGTGGCGTTGATGTTTCCCACGCCCGCATGCTGGAGCCCGGCGACATCCCCGTGTTCGTTGTGACTTGCCGCTCCCAGGAGGTTCACGTTTACAAGAACGTGAAGACGGGCGAGCTGGCTGCCGGCATGGAGGACAAGGTCCAGCTGGTCACCTACGCCATCGGTCTGACACGGATACCCGAGGATGTCAACAACCCGGAGACCCGGGGTTGGAGATTGATTGAGCTGCAGAAGGCCGCTCGTGACTACATCTAAGCCATTCGAAATATCCTTCTTACACCTCCCTCGCCTACCTCGACGCTCAACGATCACAACACCTGCTTGATTTTGGTCTATGACATGCCTCTATTCTCTTCTCGATTGTTTTGATATCATCCGACTGTACAATATTGATTTTTGTTAAAATAGAGACCAGGCGGAACTGGCGCTTCATGGAACCGTCTGTGATAGTAACTTGATTAATCTCGCTGGGCGCCGTTCTTACCATCCTTCTCCCACTTTTGTGATATCCTCACTCACCCTCTGCTGGACTCCGACCCAGCTTCACTGGCGTCCGCTAAAAGAGTATATCATATATATACATCTGCGCAGTGGGCCTTGTGCTTCCATTCGGGCGTTTCGGGAGTCATGTTTACTCGCTTTGCAACCTCACCCTCCACTCTTCTGATGAAATCTTTGCATTGGCTCAGTGCTTGTTGTCTTGTTCCTTTATGTTGAGTGGCCGTTAGGCCTCTCTGGTGGTTTTGATAAGCGAGTCTAGGTGTTATGTGGCCTGAATCTGGCGACATGAAGTGGATCATTATGAGTTTTTGTAAATACAGCTGTGAAACGAAGAAATATGTTCCTCATAACAAGACAGATTTGTCAGACAAGTATAGCGGTGTGTCTATTCGCTTCCATAATTAAGATGATCATACATTGCACGTATACGAGATCGAGAGCGCGACAATGGTTTTTGATGAAATGAACAAATAAAGCTCCGAAACACTAACACATATAGGATATCCCGTTTACTGGTTTCCACGTCCGGCACCACCGCCCATCATGTTCCGAGCCCTGGGAGATACATGTTAGTTGCAATGCAGTAGACCAGGTATGCCATGTCACTTACATATCGGCAATGTTGGGGTCACTCATCAAAGAGGACATGTCGGGCATACCACCGCCACGACCGTAGTTCTCAGCCATCTGTCTCAGCTGGGGGTTGCTCATGAGGTTGTTGAGCATGTCAGGGTTGCTCATCAGGTTCTGGGCCATGCTGGCGAACATAGGGTTGCTCATGATGGAGCTGAGGTCGGGCATACCGCCGCCGCCGCCACCTCCACCTCCGAGCATGCTAGCAAGGGAAGAGAGATCGGGCATACCGCCACCACCACGGGAAGCACCAGCAGCATCATCAACAGCATCAGCGGGAGGCTCGGTGCTACGCTTAGCCTCCTCGATCTTGCGCTTAGTAGTCTCCAGACCCCGCTTCATGGCCTCACTACCACCGTTGCCCTCGGCCTCAATACCCTTCTCGTAGGCCTCCTTGGCACCGTGGTAATCAGCCAGGTCGAAACGAGCCAGTCCCAGACGGCTCCAGGCCTTGGAGTACTTGGGGTCAACAGCAGTGGCGAGCTCGGCATCCTCGGCCGCCTTCTCGTGCTGTCCAGCCGCGGAATAGGCAGCAGCCCGGTTGGAGAGGTAGATAGGGTTCGAGGGAGCAATAGCCAGAGCCTGGGTGTAGAGATCGATAGCGGTGGTGTAGTCCTTGCGGGCCATGGCACCGTTACCCTCGGACTTCAGCTTATCGGACTCGGGGGTTGGAGCGCCAGCCGCGGGCTTCTGGCTTTCGGCAGACTTGGCAGAGTCGCCGGTGGGCTTGTTGCGAAGCTTCTCGTAGACACTGTAGATGCTGGCCAGAGACTGTCCACCCACGGCATCCTTCACAGCAGCCTCGTTGGAGGGATCAACCTTGAAGGTATCGGCGATACAGGACTGGGCGATCTCGATGGATTCGGCATCGTCGGCGGTCAGGGTGCCATCCTTCAAGCTGGCACCGAGGAAGTCAATGATGGCGAGCGCGAGGCGCTTCTTGGACTCTGTGGGAGCCTAGAGAGAGGGAAGTTAGGTTCTAATCATAGCTACAGAATGACCGGCTGCGCAAAAAATCAATCTTACCATTGTGTGAGGTATAAGGGGGTATCACAGAGAACGGAAATGTCTTATCACGAGCAAAGCAAAGGCGTCGCGGGGGGAAATTGGATGCGGGGGCTTGCAGGCTGTTTGGCCTGTTTGTCACCGGAGCTTCCCTGCACGTGATACCCCGTGCTCCCGAGCTGGATCCAATCCATATCCACGTCCCCAACCGTCATCTTCATCCATCGCTGTCAGTGAGACTCTTGGGTGGATATGGTCGGTACTCGCGGGATCGCATCTGTCCCGACTCCGACGGTTTAAGATTTCCGCGTCCGACGAAGATGACTCGATGTGAACTTGTTGATATACTCCGTGACTCTCGCGCCTGTGTCGAGCCATGTACTGGCCCAACGGAGTTCCCCGGGTCTATGCGATCAATGGCCCTGCAATCCCGGTTACAATCTCCGAAGATGATGATTCAATAGAATACGAGAGCTCTGCGGAGCAGGGCTTGTCGTTGAGAGAAAATGAAGCCGACAAACCGACGGGGACGACGGACTCGGCCTGGGCGGATGAGCCCATTACGGGGCTTTGCGTTTCCAGGAGTGGGTTCATGTTTGCGACGATGACTGATTCATCAATTGCTATATGGCAGACTAGAGTAGGTTCCTATTCTTGAAAACCTGTAAGATGCGCATGTTGACTGGCAGTTAGCCCACCGCTGTTGTAGCTGCGGTTGCTCGGTCCGCGTCTTCCCTGGAGAACTATGGGCCTAATGTAGCTCTCCTGATGCACCCGGATTCGACCATTCTCGTTGCTCAGACGCTGAATGGATACCTTTTGACGTATACGATTGCTGTGGGCCCTACCACTCGTGTGTATCAACACCACTTCGATCAAACCAGTTCGACTCGCCGTCAGCAGCTTGCGCGCTTAACAGCCGAGGAAGAGGCCACTGGGATTCGAGATGTCAGCATTCGCTTTAGAATGGCGATCAAGATAGAGTCGGGCATTGCGAAAGCCCTTGCGTTGGACAATGAACTCGTCGTCGCCACGGTGAAGCCGGCTGCCATTCAGTGCATTCGGTGGATGCCTGATGCAGACGGCTCACAGACCCAGTCTGAGCTTCTGAGCCGTATCCTGGGTGTGTCCAAGCGCACATCTATTACGGATATGGTGTATGACCGAGCTATCAATCTGCTAGTATGGATTACCAACGAAGGTCAGGCGTATGCCGTCCAGCGCACTCCGGAAGGCACAACGGATTCGGAGACTCCCAAGAAGCTATTCCAAGGACATTGCTTCCACAATCCTGAGGATGAGGGCACGAAAGCCATGAAGGTTGCGGTCAATGCCCGCTTCTCGCTTCTTACTGTCAACTGCGCAAACGGCGATATTCTGGTATACACGGCTAAGGACTACATGGGGAATCTTCCTCTCTCGCATCGGCTTCAACTACCAGCTTCCCTTGCTACAACTGGTAATCTGTCGTTCATGTCCTATTCGCCCGACGGCTATTGCCTCTTTGCAGGCTATGAGCGTGGATGGACGACATGGAGTGTGTTTGGCAAGCCCGGTGGGACCAGCTTCACGGCAGATCGGACTCTTGCCAAGTCGAACGATGAGGACTGGGTGACTGGGGTATCTCACGGCTGCTGGATAGGCGGGGGAGCTGAAATCATCCTTACGGGTCAGAATGATCGTCGATTGTGGATACTCGAAACCGCTCGCAGCGCTTTGACAGGCTGCTACTCTTCTGCGAACCTGGCCCGGGGTCTCTTGCAGACCGGGACGGAGATTATTCTCTACCGCGGCCACGATCTACCCGATCTCATGACCATCTCGGGTAAGGATTCACTCTGGCACCATGCGCAGTACCCGCCATCCTATCTGCATTCCCAGTGGCCCATTCGCTCCAGCGTCGTCTCGCAGGACGGGAGGTACGTAGCCATTGCTGGCCGGCGTGGACTTGCACACTATAGCGTGAACAGCGGCCGCTGGCGAGTGTTTGAGGACCCCAAGATTGAGAATTCGTTTGCCGTCAGAGGCGGCATGTGCTGGTACGGACACATTTTGATTGCTGCCATCGACAACGATGGATCTTATGAGGTGAGTTAACAGAGATGAGTGTACGCCAAGTACTAATTGTTGTCAGCTTCGGCTCTACTCCCGAGAGAGTCCCTTGAACAACCACACGATATTGCATATAGAATACCTTCCTTCGCCTGTTGTCTTCATTGGACCATCGGGCGAAGACTCCCTTCTTGTCTATACCTATGATAATATCCTCTACCATTATATCATCAACTCTGCACACTCCCGAATAACGCTAGTCCCGGTTGGTCAGATTGCTTTTCATGGCATCGTGCGGGCACCGACCCGCGTGCGAGCGATCAGCTGGATCTTGCCTGAGGATCAGATGCGTAAGTGTGCTGCTTCTGGGTGGTTACGTTTACTGACTGCAGTAGGTAATGGCGATCCATCACAGGATGTCAAGGTTGCATCAGTGCTCTTGTTGGTCGACGGCAACTTGGTTCTGCTGCAGCCATCGACGTCGGAGACTGGAGAGCTAAAGTACGACATGCGTGTGGTATCGCACGAAGTCGAGTACTACATTCTGATGAGGGACCAGTTGTCCTTCAACTTTGCGCCATCGGTGGACGAGTCAGTCCCAGCTAGTCCAGCAGCAGAGATGGCATTGAACATGTATCACAGTAACCTGTCGCTACGGGACTCGCTGTGGACGTTCTGCGGGAAAGAACTCCTTTCATGGAGCGATGTGCAGGATGTGCTGCACCGGGAAGACGTAGCGAAACCGCTCGAGGTACCGCTAGACTTTTACCCTCTGTCAGTTCTACTGAATAAGGGCATCGTGCTGGGAGTGGAGGCAGAAATGACCCAGCGCCGCGATGTCACGTTCTCCGTGCTGAAATTTGCCATCCGAGTAAGTTGTCCTCTGGTCTTCAAGACTGCTGCTGACTGTATAGACACACCTATTCCTTCCATACTTCCTCCAACATAGCCTGACACATGGCGACATGCCAGCAGCACTGTCGTTATGTCAGCATTTCTCCCACCTCTCCTACTTTCCACACGCCCTAGAAGTCCTGCTGCACCACGTCCTCGACGACGAGGTCGACAACGCCAGCAAGGACAGCAAGACCGACGACCCATCACAGAAACACAGCCCCCTCCTCCCGACGGTCATATCGTTCCTCCAAGCATCCCTACCCGCCACCGTATACCTAGACATTGTCGTACAGTGCACGCGGAAAACAGAACTTCGATCCTGGCGCACCCTGTTTACGTACCTTCCTCCCCCGAAGGATCTGTTCGAGCAGGCACTCAAGCTCAACTCGCTCAAAACAGCAGTAGGCTATCTCCTAGTGCTGCAGGCATTCGAGGACGAAGACGACGACCACGACTCGCCTATCGAGGACTATGTCGTCCGTCTGATGTACCTCGCATCGCGGAAGAACGACTGGGAGCTGTGTGCAGAGCTGGCTCGGTTTTTGATAGCACTCGACGGATCAGGCGATATGCTGCAACGGGCCGTGACGCGCGCGGGATTGAGAGATGGTAATCTCCCAGGGACGGGGCTGAACGGATCAGGAACGAGCGTGAAGGGGCTAGGACTGGCGATCCGCACGCCATCATGGTCATCACTATCACCGACATCATTGTCCCCGCGACCTGAATCAGACCGCCATGCCTAACCTTATACAAGTGTACATAATACCACATACAAGAAACAGCAACAGAACAGAAGACATAGACACTTTTACTTTCATTCACATACAAACATAATAATAAAAAGTCATATCATAGCCACACCTCAACCCCAACCCCAACCCCAATCAAACTGGTATAACCCCCTCTCCCCCTCCCATACTCCCCAAACACCCCCCTCCCCAAATCCCCTTCGGGGAAATACCAATTAATCAAGATGATACCTCCACAACCCATCCCCAAGAAAATGCCCCTCATCAAGCACGACCCCCTTCCCGACCTTCTTAATCTCCTCCGTGCCCACCTTCAACACGCCCACCAGACAAACCGTCTCCTTCCCCTCGGCCTTAACAGCAACCACCTCCCCGGCCTTAATCTCCTTCTCCCCACTCTCCACATCCGGCAACCGTCCCCCAGCACTCGTCAACCCCGGCGCCATGAGCGCCGCACCCGACAAAACAAACCGAATAGCTCCCCGGTCGATCTGGATCGTGGGAAGCGCGTCCGGGTAGGCGTGGATGAGTTTCAGGTGTGGGATGGGTGGGCCGTCGAGCGGTTGGTAGAATAAGGGGGTGTTTTCGTGGGTGTAGAGGGTGGATCTTTCTGGTCTGTTTGTATTCCCCTTCCCTCCGGGAGGAGGGGGGAGGGGGGAGGGGTTAGTATATCTGTGGTTGGGTTTGTGTGTTGTGGAGGGAGGTATGGGGAGCGTACAGCTTCACGGCATCCAGTTGGGCCTTCTTCGGTAGGACTTCTTCAATGTAGGGTTCGAAGCCTGGGTATGTGTCTAGGAACCGTTGGCGGAGGCCGCGCTGCACGGAGGATTTGACTTTTGAGCGGTTGCTCGGGGGGATACTGGTACTCTTTGTTAGCTTTGCTTGTGATGGTGGTGGGGAGGAGGATTGTGGTGAGGATTGGTAGTGAGGGATTAGCTGGGAAGAGGGGTGTGGTGGGAATATTGGGTAGACTGGGTAGGTGGACGTATTCTGATAGCTGCATCTACTCACTCCTTTTTAAACATCTTGCTGGTGGTGTGGTGTATGTTGTGAACTCGGAGGCTATCGCAATCTTCACGCAGATCTGTTGCGGGGGATGTCACGTGGTCGGTGGGGTAGCTAGCTGCAGGTCTGCTATATGTACTACGTAGAGTATGAACTACAGAGTATGGCTATGAATTACGGTTTACTTGATCACTGCTTACTGGTTATGACTACTACAATGAAACATCAAGTTGAAGGAAATGATAATGGTATTGGCTATACAGTCTGTTTAACCAGATGCTGTTCAACCACGGGCAGCACCCGCCTTGATCAACAGAATATCACCATCCTCCACAACGTAATCCTTACCCTTGGTCATCACCTTACCAGCGGCCTTGACGGCACCTTCGTCGCCGTACTCACGCAGAGTCGCGTAGTTGTACACAACGGCCTGGATAAAGGTCTTCTCAAAGTCGGTGTGGATAACACCAGCAGCAGCCGGGGCCTTGATGCCCTTACGGATGGTCCACTGGCGCACCTCGTCCGTACCGGTGGTGAAGAAACTGGCCAGGTTCAGCACCTGACGCATGGTGGTAATCACCTTGGGCAGGGCCGACTTGGTGTTCAGGCTCTTGCACTCCTCCAGAGCAGCCTCATCGCTCTCGAAGCGGGTCAGACGCTCCTCGAACGAGACGGAGATGGGGATCAGGGAGTCACCCGGAGAGTTGGTCTTGATCCACTCGAACACCTTGGGCAGGTACTTGTTCTTCTGGCGGATGTAGTCCTTCTCACTCAGGTTGACCAGGTAGACAACCGGCTTGGCAGTGAGCAACATCAGGGGGTTGATGGTTTCAACCTAGACAAATCAGCATGTTGCGAAAACAGTGATGCAGATGATAAAATAAATGATAATCAAGTAAATCAGACGGGACGTAATCTCATGATGCCTCTACGTTGGAAAAAAAATTTGAGACATTCGACGAGCTGGGTTATTTCGAGTAAAACTCTTATTCATCATAAAAGGGGTGCAGGTGCAGTGCAGGATAGAAGAAAATGATAATAAACGTACCTCCTTGGGACCCCACTCGTTCTTGCGGACGTCCTTGCCGTCCTTGAGCCACTCGAGCACCTTGGCGACGGTGGCCTCCTCCTCACGCAGCTTCTTCATCTCCAGAGTCTGACCACCACGCTTGGTCTGCTTCTGAAGGTTCTCGAGAGCCTTCTCGACGAACTCGATATCCTTGATACGCAGCTCCTCGCTGATGATGGTCAGATCACGGATGGGGTCGACGTCACCCTCGACGTGGATAATCTCGGCATCATCGAAGCAACGAACGACCTGGAAGATAGCATCGACGGCACGGATGTGCGACAAGAAAGCGTTACCGAGACCGGCACCGGTGGAGGCACCACGGGTCAGACCGGCGATATCATAGACGGTCAAGTTGGCGGGAACCTGAGACTTGGGCTTGTAGTGCTCGCACAGCCAGTCGAAGCGGTCATCGGGGACAATGACACGAGCCTCTTCGGGGTCAATGGTAGCATAGGGGAAGTTGGCGGGGTTACCAAGAGACGACTTGGTAATGGCCTGGAAGAGCGTGGACTTGCCGACGTTGGCGAGACCAACCTAGAGAGGAGAGAATAAACATTATTATTTCCCTTCTTTGGCAATTACATTGTGTGTGGTGATTGCATGTTGAGAAGGAAGGAGAAGAGAAAGAAGAAAAAGTAAAAGGAAAAGGAAGATATTTATAGGGGGGAAAGGAAACAAGCGAGGGAGTCTGGAAAAAAAAACAAAAGGGTAAAAAAAAAAGACGAAAAGGGAGGAGGCTGGGAGGGGCAGAAAAAAAAAAAACACATAGTGTATGGTGGGGTCAATGCTCACATACGATACCACTCTTCAGGTTATTTCCTGGACGGCCCAGTAGGACCTTTTCTTGAACGACGGCCTTCTTGGGGGGCATTTTGGACTTGGATGCTTTCTTCTTCTTGCTCGAGTAGGAGCGGCGGGAAAGAAAGAGGAAGGGCGGGGACGGAGAAGAAAGAGGAGCAGCAGCAGCAGCAAGCGAGAGTCGCAAAGAGGGGAAGGTAGTAGCAGCAGCAGCAAAGGATGAAGCAGGACCAGCTGCGGAGCGATGAAAGCGGAGAGACGAAGAAAGGAAAAGAAAACGGGTGCCCGGAAGGGAAGACAGGATGGCGACGCCCACTTTGGCCGTGGGCAGAAGATTGATGGATAGAAGGATAGAAAAGGTAGGTATGGTAAAGTATATCTACAGTGGTCAAGGTGAGTGGCAGTTAGGATGACGGGCTGTAACTCTAGTGATTCAGTTCCTTCCTTGTATTCGGTGCTCTACACAGTAAGTAACTTTGGCATCCCATGACGACTTGACTGACACCGGTTCTTCGCTAATTTCATGTGTGCCTTTTTTTTCACTTTCACCGCCCACGTGAGAGCCCTGCCCTTGTATTGATGCCTCAGATCTGAGGCAGTATACAACTCAGAACTATATCTTCAGCTCATACCAATCCTCGTTACTTCTGAAATTCAGTAAATATCGCGAATACCGTATATTTAAATGCGCCATACAGTACTGCTCTTTCTGCTTGACCGTAAGTTTGGTCATAGAAGAATGACTCTTATGGTCAGTGACAGTAGCAGAAGGTCCCCTATTATATATCCCTCCAGTCCAACATGATCAAGTGCATGAAGAGTGCTGAAATAAATGGTATTCGCATCGCACCCATCTCCAGTAAACAAGCATCAATGCTATCAATGAAGAAAAACAGGAGACACCATCAACCACACAGGCATCACCAACATAATATGATATAATACAGAAACAATACACAGTGTGCAAAGCAGCAGCGCAAGTATGACATGAATGCCCTCCATATCCCAACCCATAAACCCAGTCATTCCAGACTAGTATAAAATAATCAATACCCAGTTAAACGCCAGCATAACGCCAAGCAAGCAATCAAGCACGATACCCCACCCCCAACTTAGGTTTCCATGGCATCTCCAGCCTCAGACTCGTTGTCCACAACTCCCAGCAGCTTCGCATAAGGCACCGTCACACGTTGCAGATCACGATGTTTGCCTAGATCATGTTAGCTACAGGAAAATGACAAAATAGAGCAAAGCAACATACCAAGAGCAAGGATCACCTCCTTCAATAACACCTCCCGTGGCCAGCCACAGAGGGTCTCGGAGCTTTCGCGCCAATTCCGGTCGTCCTGCTCGTTGTCCTGTAACCGCCGGACCGCGTCTGCATCCTCCTCTTCAAAAAGCCCACCAATCAATCCCTTCAGCAGCTCTTCGACCTTCATCTTCAGCCCCTCTGCCCCGATCCGCTTAGCGTACATCGACAGATACAGTCGGAACTCTTCCTTGGCGCCTAGAGACAACGCGGCAGCAAGGCGATTCTCGAGGTGAGCGATAGAAACGCTGGACTCGAAGCTCTCATATCCCTCCCGCGACAGCAGTACCTTGATCAGTCGCTGAAGGAAGTAGGCACGTCCACGCAGCAGCGTCTCATTCGTGGTGTTGCGCTCCAGGAAGGGAACAATTCCTGCCGACACAGCTGCCTTGGCGTCTTTGTCCTGCGAGTCTGTCGACTGGAGATTGCCCACAGGGGCTTCCGTGGTGTTCCAGTACTGACTGCCAACTGCCCACCAAGATTCCGAGATCCGCTGCCAGGTGTACATGGACGGTGAATAGGAGTATCCCTCACCATTCGACAAGGCAACCACCACACGACCTTCGGAGTTGATTCGGGCGTTTGTGATCGCGGGCGCAGCGCTTGGGTGTGCGCCCAATGTGTGAACGGCAGCATCAAGCACTGGCTGCAATGAAATAGGCGGATGTGGAGAGGAAAGATGTTTCACATTCCAGACATAGCACATGCCCACAGCTGAGATACAGAGAATCCAAGGACCATTGCACTCCAGGATCACTGGCTGTGCCTCAAGTACCAAGGCACTGACCAGCCGACGCCCAGCTGGCGTCCAGATGTACACCGATCCGTCTTCGCAAGCTGCAGCCCACATGCTCAAATTACCTGTTACCAGAAGAACAGTGCGCGGGAGGAAGTCCTGCCACAGGGGCTGCTCGCCACGGAAAAGCGTGAGCCGCACCGGTTCTCGATCAATCGCACGCCCCGTCAAGCTGGCCGGAGATGGATTGCGTGCTTCGAAAACCACGTCAACCCGCGACTTATTGGTTTCCCCCGGCGCATTGGGCTCTGTCGGTTTCCCAGTCGGATCGATGGCTCGTACGATCTGACTGCGGACCTTCGGTACCGCCAACCGAAGCTGACTGATTGCCATGCAAGGATTCATAACAGCTGGTCGAATGAACTCTGGCGTTTGTTGCTGACCAGTGGGAGCGGGCTGCGTTTGAGCAGGAAGTAGACCGTCGGGCGTGCTTGCCAGAATCGGGGTGGCTCCGTTTTGGCTGGCCAGTGCTACGCGCTTCTCAACCTGCCCATCGTCATCCCCTTCTAACTGAGCGAGTTTGCGCTTGTTTCCGAAAAGCAGGGCTGCCAGACCACCCTTGGGTAGCCCATCGAAAGGCTTGGAGAGGTCCATAATCGATTGCGGTGTGTCGGCCTTGACTTGGCTACTGACCGACGCCATGAGTCGGGCTTGTGGAAGAGAGGATTCAGCCGCTCCAGCACCCGATACCAGAAGGGGGGCGATTCGCTTCTTTCCATCCTTCGTATACGTTGGACGCTGCTTCAGCCTTTCCAGCTTTGCCTGGTATGGGTCGGGCTTCTCCGGCTCCTGTGCTGCGGGCGTGCCTGCGGTTCCGTTCGGCTGAGACTTTTGTGTATCCGGCGTAGGGGACGCTGCTCGAGCTGGCGTGACACCATTCGATGCTCCTGAGCCAGGCTTTCCATTGGCCGTGCTGTCTGCAGCCGCATGGTCGTCACCCATCAAAGCACCCATGCGACCTTCGACTCCCTTGATCTCTCCAGCTTTACTCTTCTCCTCAAGAAGCAATCCGTCCGTGGTCTCGGTGATGCCGGCGCCTTTTCGATTCGTGCCAAACTTGGTAAGCGATCTTTCATTCTCCTCCATCTCCATTGCATAGCCTAGATCCCCATCTTCGAACCGCACTGCAAGAATTGTGCCGTCGAGGGCAGTTGCATAAAGGCATTTGCCATCCGGACTCCATGCCAGGTCGGAAATAGACTTGGCAGCCAGCTCTTGGGCCACCACGATAGGCCTCGGGTTACTGGTGATCCAGATGCTGAGTGACTTATCACCGCCCGCGCAAGCAATAACCGTGACGGAGTTGTGCACCACCTGGCCTTGGCTATCCACTGCCATTTTGGTGATCGGTTGGGGCGAGTACAACCGCGGAGAGAAAGCGCAGACCTCGACCGGTGCTTCATGCCCAATAAGATTGATGTCGCCATCCCACGAGCCCCGGTTGATGATCGCAACCGAGCTGACGGGGCCGTTTACCGCATTAGCCGCTGCGATGTGCATGCCATCTGGCGACCAGGAACACCGGCGGAAGTAGGCCGTCAAAGGGGAATTCGAAAACGGCGCGGAGATAGTCTGCTCAAGGACGAAGTTGTTCATTTGGTCATGAGCGCTGGAATTCGGCGCAGGAGATGTAAAGCGGAAGATCCGAACAGTGCGATCGTCGCTGGCCGTAGCAAAGTACTTATTCGCCGGATCAAATGTGATGCCCTTGACGTGACTCTGGTGAATAGAAAGGGTCTTGAGCTTCTCAAACGTAGTCCCCGACCACACGACAACCTTCGAATCCAGCCCAACCGAAACCAATATCGAAGAATCGTACGACCATCCCAGATCCTGAACATCATTATCATGACCGATCAATCTCCGAATCGTGCGCCAGTTCTCCACAGGAGGTGCCTCGTTCGACCCTAAACACGCAAAAACATCAGTCAACACCACCCCAAACCGTATCCACAACCAACAAGCCACTCGCATCACCTACCGAACGTCGACGCATGAGACGGCGGATTCGCATCCAATGTATAAATGCACACAATCTTATCATCCGCCCCCGAGGCAAGGTATTTCCCATTTGGCGAGAACCGCACCGTATGTATCGTTCCAGAGTGATTGCTCATCGACGCCAGCTGTTTCGGCTTACTGGCTTGTTCCGGGTCGTCGGTGTTGCAGATCGCCTCTGTCGACCATATCCGAACGTATCCATCTGTACCGTACATACAACTTTTGTCAATGAATGAATCCATAGCTTTCGAACCCGCAAACAATAGTAGGTAAAGGGGATGTGTAGTATGATCCGGAACTGACCTCCAGCAGCTGTCACCAAGCGACTCCCATCGGGGGATACATCACAACTATAGACTTCGAAATCCTTCCGTTCGCCTGTATAACAAGATAGAAAGGGAAGAGCGTTAGCGGATGGTTGAATTCTTGATTGTGAAAGTTAAGAAACAAGAGAAAGGGTTGCGTCAATGCCAGGACAATAACAAATAGGATACAATATCCTCGACAACACATCCATTCATCTGGCAGGGACCCAAAAGGGAGGAGAGAGAGGAAGGAAGAAAACATTACCCCCATGTGTCAGCCAAACGGGCTTAATGATATGCATGGCGGAGACACCGTCGATGCCCTGTGTTATAGATGATTCCTCCTCTTTCTATCCCTTTTGATGTCTGTGTGTGTCCGAGATCGGTGGGTTCGCTGGCGAAGTAGGTGTGGTATGTGCGTGCCTGATAATAGTGTAGTGTAGCGTAGTTGCAGGTGCTGATTCGAGGATTAACTTATTTGTACCATCGCAAAGAAGAAGCTTTGTCCTTCCTAGCTCATCGGGTAACGGGGCCCGTCCGATCGCGAGTGAATTAGTGAGACGCAGGAGAAGAGCTCGTGGGGAAGGCAGACGAGAAAAGGGATCGGGAGGGATTCAGCGCAAGGAAAACGGGCGATGAGAGGGCGCGCCTTGGTTTCAATGAATGAAAGTCGCGATCCCCAGGATGGGCGGCGCGGGAGGCGGTGGCCCGAGCTTCTGCCGCCGATCCCAGGGCTCTAAAGTTAAGGGTTAAAGTAGATGAAGAAAGTTGTTGACGGAAATTACCGTCGATAATCTCTACGCTGTCTACGATGGAGAATAGGGAAGGTCCCTTGAATCCACTTTTGTCTACTGTACATGATCCAGACAAAGACTGACACCCGTTTCGCCAACTGCTAGAAGTGATGCACGCGCTCAACACCCGGTAGTCGTAGCTCTCATTTGAGTAGAACTCCGGAAGCATCATGCATCAGTACCTGGCGGGGCACATAGGGCAATAGAGATACAAAATGGGTAGGATAATGGGCAATTCATCCAGAAGTTTCGTAATCGGCGATTATAATGAGGCAACCGCAAAGGGAGAATGGTCAATCATAGTCAAACAACAAGGCTAAGAAAAGCTAGAAGAACATGGATGCCGCTTTGTTCATTGGTGTTTCTGTTGGCTAACCTGGTCGAATCCTTCTAGAACATCCTGAACGGCATCAGGAGTCTTGTGTTCCTTCTCCGCGTCGACGTTGTCGTACTCTGGTGTCTGCTCCGACTTGGTGCTGGTGGAAGAGGTCTCCTTCTGGACCGGCTCCTGGACTCCCAAGGACTTCGCTGCGATGGTCTTGGCCTGGCTCTCATTGATCTTGCCGTACACAGCCATGGCATTGGCAATCATGCCACCCATGTCGCCAACGTTACCGGGAACAACCACGGCAGTACCCTCCTTGGCAAGGTTGGAGAAGGCATCAACGTACTTCTCAGCAACGCTGAGGCTGACAGCGCCGTAAGCATTGTCCTTACCAGCCTCAATCGCCTGAGCGACAGCGTCAATACCTCTGGCGGTCGCCTGGGCCTTCAGCAGGATGGCCTCGGCCTCACCCGCAGCACGGTTGATCTGTTCGGTCCGCATAGCCTCGGAAGCCAGGATGACGGACTGCTTCCGACCTTCAGCAATGTTGATTGCGCTCTGTCGCTGACCTTCGGACTCGAGAATCTCGGCGCGCTTCGATCGCTCTGCCGTAACCTGGCGGTGCATGGCCGCAACAACACCCTCCGGGGCGTGAATATCCCTGATCTCGTACCGCAGACACACAACACCCCAATCGCGCGCAGCCTCGTTGATGGCCTGTGTGATGTTGGTATTTAACGTAGCGCGCTCCTTCAAGACGTGATCCAGGGTAAGCTGTCCGATTTCCGAACGCATGGTCGTCTGCGCAAGCTGAGAAATGGCATACTCGGCATCCTCCACTCCGTAACTGAAGCCCGAAGAGTCGCATGGTCAGTTTTTATCCAACACTTGAAAGAGGATGGCCCTCTTCAGGAATATATGCACAACAACCCTGCCGCATCGTACTCACCTGGCTTTATACGCGTCAAAGACCCTCGTGTACAACACACCATCCAATTCCAAGGTGACATTGTCGGCCGTGATGGCATTCTGACTGGGTATCTCGATAGCCGACTCCTTCAAACTCTTAACATAGGCAATCCGGTCCAAGAATGGGATCAAGATCGCGAGACCGGGTTCTAGAATCCGATGGAACTTGCCCATCCGCTCGACGATCCATGCTGTCTGTTGGGGGACGAAGCGAACAACGGTGTTGACAGGAAGGGAAGTGCGATTGGAGAAGTAGGTAGGTGGTGCGCTGGATGAGGATCCAGATCCTAGGGGCAGAAATGAGGTTTCTGGGGCAAGTCTCCGAGGGGTGCTTGAAGCATTTCTCCGTCGAATGCGGTTGAGAGGGTATGTAGTCGGGAGAGCAGCGCCGGCAATGCGAGGGCTGGAGAGAAGGGATCGGTTATTTGAGGGCCGAATCAGCCTCATTGTCTGTCGAGAGGCCACATCCATTGTGGTAGACAGGAATCTGGGAGGGGGTAGAGAAGGATTAAACTGGCCTGATCGGAGACACTGGAGAAGCCCGGAGTGAAGCTCAAGCCGCTCGGGTGAAGCTGGCTGGCCGCTCCGGTTTTAGCCTCAGGCATTATTGCTGAATCAGCGACTTCAGGATGCGGACCCTGCAGCTCTACTCCATACTCCAGGAATAACTATCTACTGCCTAATTTATATTTAGAATGATTGCATTCACGTGTCTCATGCGGATTTAAGGTAGATGATAGTATAACTATATATATTAGAACTGCGTTCCGTAAGTTCACAAATTAGAACAAGACTCCTGAGCTATAATGCATTTGATCTTGTTTTTCTTTACCTCGGGCTACTCGTCACATCCCCAACCCAACTAATAGATTACCCATAATGTGATGTGCAAAACTCTCGTCAGATAAAGCCACCGGTATGAAAAAGCAAGGAAAGATGGAATGTCAGCAGGGCATCACCATCAAGGCGTCACCATCAAACCCAGGGTAACCAGGCCAAGTCAGCAGATACGCCTATATCAAGTCCTCATAGCAGTGCGAGCAAAACGTTCGTGTAGCTTGCCGAGCATCTTCCCCACCGTCTGGGGAAGGACCGTTCGGTTGATTTTGAGTGAAAAAGGTTGGAAATGAAGAAGAGAAAGGAGCTGTTTATCCTTTTTGGGTTTTCTGGTTTCATTCGTACTAAACATCGACACAAGAAGGGTAAACAATACCACGGTATTAAAAAGCAAATAACCCGGATGAACATTCTATGGTCGTGGAAAGAATTTCAGCCCGGCGTACCTCAAAGCAAGCATCAAGAGCAGATAAACACTGCCCAGTAAAACATGCCCGGACTCCAGAAATTTTCGAAACCTCCCATGACTGAAATAGGAAAATGCGAAGGAAACAAAGAAGATATGCCGAGACTTCCCATGTGCATGAAAGTTCCACTTCAATGGACACATGGCGGCGAAGAAAGAAGAAGATAAATGCAAGTCATGAGCAGAAAAAAAAAGCGACAATAGTAACATAGATGGTAGAGGAGACAGGGTGAGCGGAAATAGAAGAGTAATAGAACGAAAACAAACGACATAATTACTTTTCCAGCTCGGCTCTCAGGCTATCATCCCAGGTACGGTCTTTTGGTGCCCTTGGGTTCGGACAGGGACTTCACCATAGCGAACAGGGTCTGAGACAGCCTAAGCGTAGCTTGGGTATCAAGAGGATCGCTTTCGCTCAGTTCTTTGAAAACCGATAAGCTTTCCCAAACCCCCGTCGCTCGTCGAAAGTTGCCGCAAAAGGTGAAGACTGAAGAAGCCGCCGCTGACGTTTCGTGCAAAGAAATCATCAAACGCTAGACTCTTAAATTCATTGTACATTTGTGCATTGAAATTTTGGACCAAGAAACGTGACCAGATTTGGTACAGAACATCCATTCCACGGTCACCGTCTTGGGTTGCCGTTTCGAAAATCGCTTATTGAGTGCTCGTAATCGAAGCGTGTAGAAGTCGTCGAAAGTAAGGAAAGAGACAGATTAGTGAGATGTTCTTCTCGACCCGGATAATCTTGAGCTTTCGCAATCTGACATATGAGCAGCATATTGGTTCAGGCCTCGCATATTTCATGATTAGACTGCCGAGGAGTCAGTGAGGTTAACCGAAGATATCATTCCAGTCTTGCACACCTGAAAGAACAATTGTTGAGGTCCGGGGAACGAAGAAGAATTCAACAATGCACCAATTTATTCAGCCTGCTGTTCAAAGACGTTAACAGATGCCTCGTACAGATTTGAAACAGTATTGAAGGATGGCAACTGCCGGATGCGTTGTGCGAAAGTAGGCACAAACAGCACGGCCGTAGTCCATCAAAAGTAGCAAGGGGATAGAGTCGACCATCACCGGGGATTTCGTACATTTGTGATTTCAGTCTGGCCATTCTGGGTGCCGGCAGGAGAAAACTCCGGAGCAGTAGACGATAGCGACGTCTTGGCACCGTTGAATTCAGCGGTACCGTTGGGGACTTGTCCATTGACAGCCCCATCAACGTAGACATCTTCAGGCTTCACAGAACTGCTAGGAGAAGGGCCATCATTCTGGGCAGAAGGATCACGCTGGTCCATAGGGAGAACCCATTGCTCCCACTTGTCTCTCGGCCGCAGACGGTCCAGCCCATCTTCAGCTTGAACATACTCGACGCTCCTCAGCTGGCGAGCAACATGGCGCAAAAGCTCGAAGTCATCGGTCAAGCTCTTGACGCGCTTGAAGTTGGCAATGAAAGCCAGCCCAACGTAACCCTGGGAGTCCATGTGTTTGCGGAGGAAGAGATCCTTGCACAAGTTATCCACGGAGAAGTAGTACTCGACCTGCATCGAGATCATGCCAATCTGGGAGTAAGGGTCGTAGTACTGGCCGGCATAGGGGTATGCGGTCATCGGCCCAGCATGCATGGGCTGGTAGCCGTACATTGTGTTGATATCACCAGGGTAGGGGTAGACGCCGTACATGGCAGTGGAGTTCGGCAGGGAAGGCGACCTGATGTTCATTCTGTGGCCTCCGGAACCATTTACCTGGCCATGTTGTTGCGACCTCTGGCGATCGTTGAAGCCAAACTTGGGGTGCATGAAGTTGTGGTGCGACATGTGGTTGTTGGGGAAGTGGGCGTTCTGGGCACCATTGAAGCCAGCATGGCCTCCACGGCCTCCCCGATGTCCGCCACGTCCTCTCTCGGGACGCGACTCACGAGGGAAGTCCTTCTCTTTGCGCTCGCGGTCGGCGTGGAAGCTAGCAAAATCTGCCGACTTGGGGCCATTCTCGAAGCGACGGTCCTGGCGAGGACCGGCCTGGGCATCCACGGAAAGCTGAGGGTTACGAGACTCACCACCCTTGTGGCCTGCATCATGGCCCTTGGCGAACTGCTTGGCATGGTGGCGGGGGAAAGTGTCTGCCCCGTTAGCGTTTCTTCCGGCCGGTGCTCCATTTGCGTTCTCTCCCTTGGGTCCGCGGTTGCGGTCCGCTGCCTGGTGTTTACGCGCATCTGGCAGTCCAGCATCGGCGCTGTTGGAGCGTCTTGACTGGGCGGGAAGCGAGTTGGCGCGACCGGAGTTCTGCTCGTTTCTTCCTCTGTCAGCAGAGGTAGCCTGCTTTGCCGTAGAGCCCTGTGCAGCCTGGCCGGAAGCCTTATCAGCACCGGCTCCAGCGCCATGCGTTCCATTGCGGGAGTTTTCGCGTCCACCACGAGCAGCCCTTCCGCCTCTACGAGCAGAGGGGAGAGGGGTGTTGAACACAGCGGTGGGAACGTAAGGAACGGGCATCCACTTCTCCTTGCCGTGAGGGCGGATGACAGGGCTCTTCTCAGTCTTCTCCTGAGCCTTCTTCTTCTCTTCACCCTGAGCAACCTGGGGTGTAGGCCAGAGGCTCTCGTCTCCAACAGGAGGGATGCTAGCGCCATCATCACGTCCCTTACTTCCGTCAGCCTTCTTCCGGTCTTTGGCGCCCTCCGAAGGAACGTCAGATCCCTTCTTCTTGGAGGCCGGTTTCGACTCGGCTTGATGATCACCAGACACTGAGGAAGCGGCGGACGCAGTCTTTGAGGTGCCCTTGGAGGCAGGCTTCAATGCGGCAACGGCCTTGGCCTTGGCCTCCTGCGCCTCTTTCCGCTGCTGCCAGATGTTCACGGAAGGGAGCGGGGCAGCCTTCAGCTCCTTAGCAGGAACAGCCTTTTCCTTCTCAGCGTTCTTGTCCTTCGTGCTGTCTGCCCCAGTATTCGTCTTCTCGGTACCCGAGGCTTGGGACTTGTTGTCCCAGGTAGATTCCGAAGTACCGTTGGGGGTATCTGTTCCGTCTTCATCCTTGGGGACAGATGACGTGGAAGAGTTGCCATCACTTGATGCTTCAGAAGCGTTGGCCTTGGTAGCTGTAGATTCGACTTCCTTCTCGATAGTGTGGGTCACCTCGGTTTCCTGGGCTGTTTCGGCCTTGGAAGGCACGGCATCTGCATTCGTCTGCGAGCTAGAGTCCATACTCTGCTCCTCCGGCTTCGAACCCGCTTGGGTCTGTTCTTCCGGTGATGTCTTTGCGGGGGACTGCGCGGGAGCAATGCCCTTTGCTGCTTGAGCGTAAGAAAATGAAGCGGCCATTTTCGATACGTGAGAAATAAACGCGGTCTATGAAGCCCGTTCTAGTGAAGAAAAGAGGATAGCGAAGAAGTCAGTTCTGCCAGAGAACAGATACCTCCGCAATGAGCTGTCAACCGAGGTTTGGTTGGAATAACTCCAACAACGATGGCAATTAAGAAAGTCGCTGCCCTTGAGCAACCCCACCAAACGCAACTTCCAGTCACTGATTATTGAACCTATTCGGTAGCGGACGGCTGAACTGGCGTTTGTCCAATCGGTCAAAGACGCGGTCGATAATACGAAGTGTAGCGTAACAACCGATGTAGTCGGAAGATCCCTTAACTAATGTTGAAACCTAGCACACAAATCGCATCCAATATGCTCTCGCACGGCACAATTTGTGTCCAGATCCGCTAAACGGCGAACGAGGAAGGGCCAACAGGAGTCGATGTAGAAATCGTGAGACGAGATCGCTTCGGTAGGAAGGTGTCCAAAGGAGGTTTCTAACCGATTCGTTCGACGTGCTTGTTGTAAGACTGGCTACAATAAGCACTCGCGGTGTGCGGTTATGATATTCGGGCCGTCGGAGAATCCAACTGCGCTGCCTCTTGGCTTGATGTCGTATCGACGATCACGTAAAGAATCGATATACGCTGGTGTTTGCAAGAGAACTCGTTAACCTTGCACCTTCGAAAGCGTTAAAGCGTAAACGAGGCGCGACTTGCACGTGGCAACAACCGCTACAGAACTTGGTGGGTTTGAAGATTTGCCAGGTACGGAAGGGCAAGAGGGAAAAAAAAATGTAAGGAGCTGCGACGGAAAAAAGTTCGAGGCAGGACCCGTGCGGAGAAAACAAAAAATAGACTGAGCAAGAAGAAAGTGATCAACGATCAAATTAACTTGTCAATGAGGAGGGAAATGGGCAGGAAAAAGAAAAGTAAGGTAGACGGTGGTCCCGCTGAATACAAGGATACCTCTGTCTGTGTGTGAAGGAGGATCTCGGAGAACGGAAAAAAAGGCGCACTGCAGAAATGGAGCACCACCTCACTATAGCAACACGGGTCACGGGTAACCGACGGAGGGAACCACAGGGAGGGACAGAATCCCAAAATGTTGGAACAGTGAAGAGGGGAGGGGAGGGGGGAATAGAGAAGAGGGGGTTAAAGGGGAGAAGCAAGAAGGAAGAGAGAAGAGAGAGAGAGAGAGAGAGAGAGAGAGAGAGGAAGGGTAGAGACTGTGTGTGTAAGAGAACGAAAAATAATAATGGAATAAATCACTTACAGGCCGGAGGGACGTGGAAAAGCCGAAGAAGGCAGGCAAGAAAAGTAAGTACTAGTCAGAATTGTGGAATCCGCCAACAGAGGGTTAATAAAAAAAAAATTGCACAGGAGGTTTCTACTTTCAAGGTACAGTAAAGTAATCGAGTTTTCCGCATGTAATAACACTATTGTCTTGCTAAATAATACGGGTATCAATGGTACCTAGTTTGTACCATGATTCCTACAGTTCCGAACAGCAGGACGGGCTCTGCTCAACCAAGGGCAGAAAAGAGGTAAGGGCGTAGGAATTAAGTCTAAAAAATCACAGAAAAAAAGTGGTGAAAATTGTTATTCCTGCCATATACCCACATCGTCGTCTCAGGTTGTGGTTCGTGGACTCCAGGGTTTCTGTGGGTATGAACCGGCCTTTCACTTGTGCTGGAGGTAAATATTCCGGGTAAAGATCTGGAAGTTGTATGTAAGTACCAGCAGATGAGTTTGGATTGCTAATGGATTCTGCTGGATTTTGATGGGTGTTCTCATTAAACTCTTGAGATCGGAATTACGGCCATTGCAAATAAAGAAGAGGTGGAAATATTCAACATAGTATTTTCAAATCGAGTATTTGTACTGCTATCGGTATCCCTAGATATGAGTCCGCCCATAACTATCATGCGGGCCGTATTATTACCAACAACCAGTGTGGTGGTAAGAGTAGTATAACACACGCATTTCTGCCTCCGAACCAGTCTGTCTTAAAAGTCAAGGCTTATGAAATTGAAGGTCGGGAGAATGCGTGGGTGGCAGCTTACCTCCCCCAGCCAGTCATCCCACTCTTTGACTCCCAGCAAGTCAGTCAGTCAGTCCTTTCCAGCAACCCCTCACTTCCCCTCTATGCCCAAGCCCAAAAAAAACCCTTTGACTGGCGACTGTCCTAATTCGGATGTCCCAGCGGCACTAACCGTAATGGTCTCCGGTTTCAATTCGGCTCTCATAATACCCCATTTTCTCTATTACCAAATGTCATCCCAACCCTGAAGGAGGAAGTAGTTAACTCGTGATGCTTGACAGCTGGAAGTCTAATTAACATAACCAGGTCTTGTGAAGGCGGCAAATACCCTCCGTGGTTGTGGGTAAAGTGACACGACCACAATTCTAGTACCTCGCAGACTCCCCTCGTCTCCGATGCTAACCACTTTGGCTTAAGGTCTCATTTACCGAAAATGCAATGGACTGCAGGTGCGCACGACTTTGAACCGCGAACACACTCATGGCGGGGCTCGGAGGGGTTCTGTGATCCATGCATGGATGGGGCTGATGCCATCATCTGGTAGGCCTTTTTTTTCAGTGGCCCTGTCAGGGTTTACGGGCCACTCAATTTTGTCGACTTGATCCAACCGCGTTGAGAGGAATATAGAGGAGGAGCGAATAATAACACCCAGGAAACAAAACGGCACTCACAGTGGTTTAGGCAAGGTTTCAATTTGAACTATGCCCACTTCGCGTTTGGGCCACCTCGGGGCTACATAGGACGTGGGATGTCTTGGTCCTACAGAGCACAATATCTATAATCAAAATGCATAACAAGTGAGCATCCTGCTGCCTTCCTAATGCACTTGATAGATAAGGGCGTCGAATTTGGAAATTTCGATAAGGCGACTTATCGGTGCTAGAGTGCTAGAAATAGTCAGGTGACCTATCATCTACGTGCCTGATCCTGCATTGACTCCTTCGCATCTAAAAACCCAATAACGATGCGATCATCGTTTGTCGCTACAGTCTATGTTCCGATTCATTTCGTTGCTAGAATGTGTAGGATGGCTAGTTCACTCGCACTTCGAGCTCACGAGCAAGTAAAATATTCTTTTCCACACCGCCAGCAGCTCCTATCCCCTCATCGATGATGACCTCGCTCATAAATTCAATACATCAAATAAAAACCTGACTTCATATCAAGTGATAACTCCCGAAAAACGGAATGTGAAAATATTGCCATGATCCTTCTTGATTCTGGAGTATGTCATTCCCCACATAGGCCCCAAAAGTAACAGTCAATCTTCAAGGGCCATGTTTGATAGTATGCAATTCACTGCACTGCTATAGTCATGCGACTACTTCTCGAAGGCATACTAAACCTAATAATCCCAGCCAAGTGCGACCATAATAACCATACAGTTCACTAACACCAAGCTCCAGCGAGCCACACTTCCAAGTTCCAACCTGATCTACTTGTCAGTGCCCAGACCCACCAGTCTAGACCACAAAAGTAAGCAAAGAGAGCACTGAATCATGTCAGCTAAATCATACTACTAAATAAATCCATTGCAAAACAGGCATGTAAATCAATGACATTCTTGAGAAGACTCGGGCATCTAAGTAAGGTTATATCCCATGTCAACCCGTGTCAAACCAAGAACGTGCTCGCTATGCCAAGAATTAAATACCAGAGGACTAGTACTATCAATAGACACACGCATATGTGTCATGGAGCTATGAATGTTAGGATTCATAAAAGGGTTATGATCTTCCCACACTGCCTTCTAGATTCTCATATACATTCAAGCTTGACAATTCATTTGGATAGTATAGTACACTCAAAAGGGTATAAATCGACATACTAACTTATTCTAGTCAGTTTTGACCAAGTAAATAGACAACCGCAAATCTCCGAGTTTCCTTCCTTCCATACCGTATCAACATCAAACACCACTCTAACCTAATCGAGTCAAGTGTACTTAAACTTCAATACAAATGCGAAGTTAGTTAGATCATGCAGCCGGTGAAGGAATGAATCGACAACACCAATTTTTTCTCCCAGGCAGTAGTACAGTAGTAAGAAGGACCCTCGAAGTTAATCAATCTTATTAACAACCCCTAAGACAATCAATCAATCATTTACTGAATTTTCTTCTCCCGATATACCTACCCAGTAGTCACATATCTAGCTGGAAAGCAATACTAAGTACTCTGGGGACAATCCATCTATAATAAATCCCATTAATAGGCCGGGAACGGAGTAAAATGCAGGGGCATTCCATACCAACCAACCCAACAAGGTACGGAGTTTATTGATGGATTGATCTCCTTCTTTCCCTTCCCTAATAAGCCAGTCAGTCAGCCAGTCAGCCAGTCAGCCAGCCAGTCAAATTTAAGCCATTCATCCATCCATCCACCCATACGGAATTACAATAATGTCCTTTATCCCATGCATGATCCCGCAGCAGCAGCAGCAGCAGCAGCAGCCACACCGTCCTTCTTCAATGAGTGAGGAATAACTACTAACATTTATCCACCCAGCGCCCTCGGAATCATTGAATATACTATCCAATCATAATACCGATTAATCACTTTACAGAACACAAACCTACTTATGCCACAAGTACTAACTACAATAGTCACATTCCTCTAAGTACGTAAGCGGAAGCCTAACAACCAACCTAACTTACTTAACCTCGGATACGCCCGGCGCAACCGGACAATTTATGCAAACCAACCAATTTCAATAATGGTAAGTAACCAACTACTAACAAACTATCGCTTAGCAAGTGCCCCAGCCCCGGGCAGCGGTTCACACGACGATTAGGGCTGAGACGCGCGCGCGTGAGACAACAATAACTAGTCTACTTAGTTATCTGTTTTTGGTCCCGTGGAAGGGCTATTAATTTTTCTTTTTTCGGAATTCCTCGGAGGGTCTAAAGTAGAATGAATGGATCCGAGCCGAAACAATCATCGCAAACCATAGGCCGAGATATTTCCTGTTTCCGACGGCGGCGGAGAGTCTTGCATGGTTTTGGTTGCGTTGACGAGGAACACTAGTTGGGTTTGTGTTAGTTGCGCTAAATGTCTTAGTGCTTCCGTTCCGTCCGTCCGTCCGTGTGCCGGGGTGTCACGTGTGATTATGCTGGATTGGGTGGCTTTTCTATAAGTTATTGTTTATTATATTGAATTGTCTTATATGTGAATGAGTGTAGTTGCATATTATGCTTATATTATAGTTTGATCATATTTGTCGGCCATAAATCATAAATCGTCTTCTACCAATGTCGGACACTAACCAGGACTTGTTCTCTCGGATCCAATTGGATGGATGACTGCTGTCCTGTCACTAATCCGAGGCGCGTGAGGATCTGCCATACTAGCTTGCGCTTCAGGTTCTCTCGGACGGGAATCTTCTCGAGCGCGTCATACCCGTTGAAGTATTTGATAAAGGTCGGCCAGTACTTCTTGAGGGATGTTCGAAGCCCCGCGTATTCAAGGTCCCCATCGGGGACTTCGCCTTGAAGGTCGGGGAATCGTGCCATGAGCTCGCCTAACCATCGGGACTCCAGTGGTGATGCACGGTGCGGATACAGAATAAGCGACGATGTCTTCAAGGACGTATTTTGGTCAAGTAAAGAATGGGAGAGGTCGAGCTCGTTGTTCCGTTTGTACCGGCCTGGCATTGGCGTCTCATCACCGCTTCCGTTGCTGTCCAGTGATGATGACGAAGAGGAACTGGCATCGTCAAGGTCCTCCTTTGTCTCGGTATCTGACGCTGATCCCCTCTTGCTCAAGTATTTGTCAACTTCTTCCTGTCGAAGGGCCGTCTCCACAGCCATCTTGATTTCAGGGCTTATTTTGACTCTTGCAAAAGCCCGCAATTGAGTGACCCAGCCACCTCGTAATAGCCACGCTAAAATGGCGAAGTATGTGTCTTTATGGTCTTTGCTTGGGATGAAGCTTCCGTACGGTCTGGGCGTTCCGCTCATCGCTGATAGCATCTTGGGGAGACTTGGGAGGGTCGGGAACGCTGCTTGATAAGCTGCCGTGGCTACCTCAAGCTTGCTCAGATCGCAGTTTGGTGATACGACATAAGTGTCCCTTTGATGGAGCGGAGGGATTGCTCGCGCTCTTCTCCAATACACAAGATGGCTAGCCAGCATTTGGATTGTGGAAAGTGGTATGCCAGAGGACACAGATATCTGCGCAAATGACTTCGTCGGCTTCGAGCATCGGATATAATGGGCAAGCGCAGGAGCCAGAGCGCCCCCGGATGCTTCAACGTCTTTGAGAATTGATGCCTCATTGTCCAGCAATAAGAGCGCGAAATGTTTAGCAAGCACTTGATGGGGGGCGGTGTTCTCGTCCGCAGTGGGATCATCGACCGGAGTGACACTGTCCGCCGTTGTAAGCCAGAGACCCGGATATGCCTTGTCAGTGGGCCCAGGAAGCCATGGCGTCGAAGTTAGAGGTGGTATCTGGAGCGAGATGGACACGTCTGGACTCAGGGACACCGACGCAATCTTTGATGCCGATATGCTGGTGAACACAGTGCAGATAGCCCTCGCAAGTGAGGACTGGCTGATTAGCTCCGAATAGAGGCCATTCACGGACATTCCTGCTCATCACTGGGTCAGCAACCATTTTCATTCCAAATCGACAGGACCACATACGCTTCTCTTTAGCCTTCTCCTTGATATGTGAGATATGCTGCGCCTCCTTCCAAACATAATCCGTCCTAGCCTGCTCCCACTTCAACGCCTTGGAGAACTTCTTAATAATGTTATCGTAAATCTCCCTCAGCCGCATGGAATACTCCAACAACGGCGGATCCAAAACAAACACGACATTAAACATAGTCATGCAATCCTTATCATCCGGATCCAGCGCCTCACTCAACGTCCTGAACGACCTAACACTAATCATCGAGGTCCGCTGATAATCCGTACTAGCCATCTGCTTCGGACTCAACGTCTCCGTCGAAGCAGCAATAAGATCCGTACCCCGATCAGGGCTATCATCCTCAGCCTCGGCCTCATCACCCCCATCCCCATCCCCAGGTGCCTCATTATGTCCTAGTTCCGCTCCCTCCCAAGTCGCACGAGGTTTCCTCTTCTTCCTCCTCTGCTTCCTCCACGTCCCATCCTCACGCACAAAAACCGGCCACCCCACAAACGCCAAATCATTAATCCCGACCTCAAACCGCCGCTTATGCCACGACCGCGACGGACTCAATAACTTCTCCCACACATCCGCAGGGAGCCCCAGTAACGACTCCCAGGGGGGCCGAAACGGCCCGGCCTCATCCTCCTGTCTATCCGACGCAGCGCCCGCATCCTCCTCCGCATCGGAATTCGTCCCTCGTTTCCGCATCATCAGCCCCCTCCCGGACCCTACTGAGCCTGCACGCTGGGACTCTCCGCCCGGCGAGCCGGATATAACTCCATCGTCGACGACGCCGAAGTTACTCGATCGTCTTCCTGCGACGGGATGACTGCCTGCGATGTGCGAGGCGTTCTGGGTGGGATTGGCTGGCTGCGTCGCAGTCCCTGTGGTTGTGGGAGCTGCTGCAGTTACAGTTATTGGTGTTTCGTCTTCATCTTCGCTGGAGGTGGAGCTGCTGTCTTCGCTGGAGCTGGAATCGTTGCTCTTGGAATTCTTCCGTGACGGTCGTCGCGCTTTGGGCGCCCCTCGGAGTCCGTTCTCGCTGAGCGGGTTGGGTGGGTAGTGGAAGACGAAGCGCGGACCGGCTCGTGAGCGCACTATTAGAATGATTGCTACCAGGCAGGGGTCTGGTGGCCGTGCAATGGACGACATCGGTCGTGGGTGGGTGTTGGGAGTTGGATTGCTGGGAGCAATTGGGTGACTTCGATGGGACGGGCGGAGAGTGATTTGATCGTTTTGGGGTTGGTGTTCTGGCGGGTCGGCTTCCCCGCATGACATTGCATGGTTACGTTGTTTTTCCTTCGACGTTATGGAGCAGGCAATTTGTCAAGAATTGTACATATATTTCTTTCTCAACATTTATCTAGGTATACTTCAATTGAATGCACATCAAAGTCAAGTATGATACACAAGCTATTTACAGAACCGCAATCCCAACGCCGGAGAAATGGAGAAGTATCTATCCATCCATCATCAATCATCGAACACAAAAGCACCCTATTTATACAGAGGCCATGCCCTCCCACAATATCATACAGCTCCCCCAAGCTATCTAGTATAAAATTCCGGCAGGAGAAAACTACGCCTTCTTCTCCGCACCCTCAGCACCCGCACTCGATGTAGCCTTATCCTTCTCGAAAACCAACCCGAGGTTCTTGAAGTCGTCCGGCGCCATAAGATTGCTAGAGATGGATCGCAAGTAATTAGCCATGACTCCTTCAATAGCGTATATGCAGTCCAAGAACATACTGGTCCATCCGACAAGACAGATACGACTTGGCCAGTTTCCGGCACTCGTCGTCATTCACACCTCGTCTCGATTTCAGGCACTTGAGGTAGTCGGTGATAAGGTGCTTGCATTCGCCTGTTCCAGCAGTAGAAGAGTAATGTGTCAGTTATATGTTTGTGTCGAATGGGTAGATAGAGAAAGGGTTCGCGCGAAGGCTCAATGCTGCCGATGAGGCGGGATAGGCTGGTCTGCAAAATAGGCGCGAATCCAAGGAGGTGTACCATCGTGATCAAGAGGGAAGCTGCCACGCTCGGGACTAGATCATTGGGAGATTATTAGCTCAGTCTGTTTCTTCTGGGACTGTTCACTGTCTATAGGCATATTCCAAAGCCGGGAAGGGTATAACTCACGGCGTAGGCTTCATGGGGGCGGCACCGCCACCGGGAGCTCCGAAACCCATGATGACAGAATTGTATGTATATCTCGAAGCTGAGCAATTAACTGATAATGACTGAGTAATTGACTGGCTCAATATGTTGTCCTCTGTATCTGACAAATGCCGGACTCGATAGTTGCTGAAAAACGGCACGGCGAGCGGTCCGATAAGAACAAACAAGACAATCGTGACAAACATGTAGACAAACAGAGCAAACACCTGCTGATGTATGAAGTGTCATGCAACGAGACAGCGCAGAGATAATGAGCTCGTGACGCTAAACTCTCTATAGTACTGTGCCAGTATATTCTATTAAGTACCAACTATGTCCTCATTCTATACCATTATGGAAGTTTCTCTAGTTGTACTGGAATAGCAAAATGCGGGGTACCCAACCGCAAAACGATGCAACAACAACATGCAGAGGTGGAAAATGATAGACCAATGGATAAAGAGTAAGCGACGATAGCTGCATGTTATCCAGTGCTATCCGAGCGTCGCGGCGAATCCAAGTTTGCATGTGCGGAGTCATTGACCCAGCCCCTCATGGATCCAGACAATCCGAGTTTGCATGATAGGTCTCTTATATACCAATGACGTTGTTGCATTCGAGGCCGTTCCGGACACGGTCCTGGTATATAAGTAGATAGTCGCAATCCTTTGTCCTGTCGAAAAAGATTCGATTACTATCAGTAGTTACAAGTCACGCTTCGCACTTGACAATACTATACTATTCTCCCGAATACGTACTTGACCACTTCACCAATATGCCGATGTAGGTCCCCGCTATACTGATGAACTCTCGTGTACACGACACAGACTTGATACGAGCAGTATTTGTCGAATAGATACTAACAAAGAAGAACAGGAAACTTGAAGGCAGCTGCCAGTGTGGCAGCATTGAGTTCACGCTCGAATCCTCAACCCCAGTGCCCTATCAACTATGTGCCTGTAGCATTTGCCGGAAGGTCGGCGGATACAGTGGCAGTGTCAATCTGGGCGGTATTGCCGATAGTCTGGAGATCAAGAAGGGAAAGGACTTGATCAAGTATGTCATGCCAGTCTTCTGTTGAAATATGCGGTCTCTTGCCTGCTTTTGAATATTCTATGCGACTGTTGAAGATGGCAGTTTAGAGCTGACCGATTTAGGAAATATTCCGCCGTCATGGCGAGAGGCACACCGGATGAGAAGATCTGTGCGTCGGAGCGGAATTTCTGTTCCAATTGCAGCACCATGCTTTGGCTGTGGGATCACCATTGGCCGGAGCTCATTCATCCTTTTGCTTCAGCCATTGACACGGAACTGCCGGTCCCTGATGAGATGGTCTGCATCATGGAGAGCTCTAAGCCCGCTTGGGTGCGATGGCCAGAGGGCAAGAAGCAGGTATTTGATGGTTACCCGGAGCATAGCTTGGAAGACTGGCACAAGAAGCACGGATTGTTCTTCGAGTAGATGACACTTCAGGTGACGATGATACGAAGTTTTACGAGATGGGGACTATGTTTTACAGAAAAGTGGTAGCATTGTTTGGAGACTTGAACTCAATATCATTATCATTATCATTAAAGTAGCTATCCATAGGCGAGTAACCTGCACAATGCAATGTTAGCAGCTGTATAAACAGACACTGATGCATAAATGTGTATGGGTGAGAAGTTCAGGTCTCCAAGGTGAATCTTTGTTGTTTCGTCAAGGTGGTTCGGTAAGAACACAGCGATTTAAGAATTCATCATGCAATAATGAAGAAAACACGACAGGGAACACTCACACTTTGGAAGCTTAAAGAAAAATCTACAAGATGTTCCCTATTACTTTTCGACAAAGTTAGCATCACATGCAAGACATAGCATGAGTGACACAAGCATTGAGATGTCAACGAAGTCAGGCTATGGAACAGGTTAGCAAAGGCACATTATTACCAGGGGTATTGTCACTACCAACCTCATTAAATCAGATTTTTTTGTAACATGTTCATTTCCAAACACATGGCGTGCAGGATCAAACAGTGTGAATAACAAGATTCATCATGTAATGTTGACTTTGGGTATATGGGCATATGGAGAGGTTGTTGAAGAGTGACAGTACCTGTCATGACTTGTTAGTATGACCGGATCGAAATTTTCTGGTAATCGCAGAACGATCGATGAAAGCTCAGGTGACGAGTTCTCAACAATGTGTACACTTCCCCAACACCCGCAAAGTTTGTACGCTTTGCTTTTGATGGATGCGGGTCAATGCACACGTTCTGTCCGCCCGTTCGTTCAAAGTATCTTCATCGACGGCCAATAATGGCATAGAGATGGAATGGTTGGTATTTACCTATCACCAGCAAGTTAGCAATGGTCACAAACAGGCTGAGTGAAGCAATGAAGTTATTTTGGAGTTGTCAGACAAGGCTGAAACTTGAGTTAAAACACGAATTCCACATAGTGATTAAGTTTGAGGAATGCCTTAAAGCGTGTCATAGGGTCATCATACAAGGGGAGGAGGAACATAAAGAAACAAGTTGCGCTCGCATACCTTTTAGAATACGCAATCGTGCATCATGTTGTCAATCATCATTGACTGTATTGAGCATTCCAGTAAACCAACTTGAGCAAGTTGGGTTGTCGACTAGTGCATCTTGTTGATGCGGTTGCAAGCTTGGGCAAGTTGAGAAAAAAATTATTGTGGGTTGCGCCGCGGTTTTATAGGTGGGCAGTTAACACCACGGCTAGCGAGTATCACCAAGAGCGTTGTTTGACCGGAAAACAAACACTTCAATGTCGAGGACCCACCCAACTAGTACCATTACTGCTACATCTCTTACTGTCTAGAAAAAGCGCATCTACAAGCTTTCAAAAGCTATAAGAGTTGGCAGAATTGAAGCAATCAGTCATTAATTGGTATTGACTGGGTCGCCCAATGATGGCTTGCTCGATCCCGTAGGGTAATGCCTCATGAACTCTACGCTTTCCTACATCAAACCCGCTGGTCCTAGCGGAGGACTTGATTAGTTCTGGTCTCGTCGCTGAAAAGGCTAGGGATAGGGGTGTCAAATTGGTGGAAACCGTACAATACTTGGAGATTTACTCATGGGCTGGGTACCAGATTTAGCCTCTATTCCAAGCTGATTATATTGCCTAAACACTTCAACGGACCCTTTAACACAATATTCTCCTTATCACTATCTACTGTTACCAAGCTGCAATGATTGAGCTAGTCTTCCAGATCATTAAGACCAAGATGATGGGACAGTAGCACGTCAAAGTTTTGAACTATCGCATATATGTCGCCGTGGATGCTAAATCCCCAACTAGATACACCGAAGTCTACCCAGAGGTGATGAGAGGCCTGCTTCAGATGGCAATTAGTCGGATATCGACCAAATCCGACGAAGTATACCGCATTGTTGATGTTTTCAGTGCTGTTCCTTTCTACCTGACTCGTGGGAGGGCTTCGTGATGATGTGATGCGTTCCATGCAAGGCATGCTTCATTCTTACACTCACCTACAGTGTCTAGACCGATCGCACGTATCCACTTCTATAAAGTACCTGCGTGCAAAAGACCGTGCCAAAGGTGGAGGTATAGAGAGATTGGCAAGACGTCAAAGCGAAAATGGCAAAAGTCCAACAGATGACCACAAGATAGATCGGGCTCAAGGACCTAGCGAAAGCTGAAACTGTCTTGAGTGAGCTAACAGAAGAGAAGGGTTGGGGCAAAGACCGGTCAGCAAGGCATCCTACATGGCTCAATAACTCACTGATAGGACCGACCATCCATGGATTGTTGTCATGCCTACTAAGCCTTATGGTTGATGCCCCGAAGCGGACGCCATGTCAACTAGCCACTGATTTGCAGTTTTCAATCATTCCACTATGATCGATTTGCTCTACTTCAAAGAGAACAGAAAGCTGTCAAAGCTTTCATGGGCCTGTCCCAAGAGCATATACACCCAATCGTTTTCGGCCATCGTGGCTCACAAAGAGTGGGATGTTGGCCATAGTATCAAACTTCGAAGGAAAACATCGTATGGCAACAGGTAATACACCGAGAGACCGTCTTAGTAAGTTTCTGCAGCTATCTAGTACTTACCCAACGCTTTGCCTGTCTGGATTTGCTGTGTACAGAGCGACCCAACATCAGGATATATTGACTAGACCCACAGTGGATGATTGGTACCTGCTTGGTAACACAATGAGGTAAACCCCGTCGAGCACGCCTTTGGCGCAAAGTATGTCGGACTTCGAATCGTCCAGAAACGCTCGAGTAATGCTCCCTGATTGCGATTTGTTGAAACATTAGTTGTGTAAGCTCCGCTGAGGGCCAGTCTGGATCGGAGCTTTAGTGGGTCCGTCTCAAAACGTCATCGGCCCTCTCCCGACAGAAACCCAAAGTTCTATCTGCGTCAATTTGACGTCGATCCATGTTTATGATGCTGCATTCACCAGGATTTTGTAATGTCATTATGCGCTGGGAGATGGCCATAAATGGGGCCTTCTTCCCGGCCAGCCATTGTTCACCAGCACATAATACCAATACCCATTGACTCAACCATACTTCAATTGACGCATACTACTCAAAATGACGACCACATTCAAGCTCAACACCGGCGCTCAAATCCCCGCCGTTGGTTTTGGAACCTGGCAAGACGCAGAGGCACAGGAGCAAGCTGTCCTTGAAGCCATCAAGGCGGGCTACCGCCACATTGACACTGCTAGAATGTGAGTTCTCATGCTCAATTCATCGAATTAATCGGTATGCTGACATAATTTTGCAGTTATGGAACAGAAGAGGCCGTAGGCAAAGCTATCAAGAAGTCTGGCGTGCCTCGTGACCAGCTTTTCATCACTACCAAGCTCTGGAACAACAAGCATCACCCCGACGATGTAGCGCAGGCGCTTCAGGACTCGTTGAACGACCTCGACTTGGAATATGTCGATCTATTCTTGATGCATTGGCCTGTGGCCTTCAAGAGAGGAACTGAAAAGTTCCCCAAGAACGAGAGTGGCAAGCCAGCTGTGGTGGATACTGACTACGTCGATGTATGTATTTCATCCCCATACACAACACCAACTATGCCCGATGAATGCGCTAACTTACCATCTCTGGTAGACATACAAAGCCATGGAGAAGCTCCTTTCAACCGGAAAGGTGAAAGCCATTGGCGTCTCCAACTTCTCCAAGTCAGAGATGGAACGTCTCCTTCAGAACAGCTCCGTCGTCCCTGCAGTCCACCAGCTCGAAAGCCACCCATGGCTGCAACAGCGTAGCTTCGCCGACTGGCACAAGTCCAAGGGCATCCACGTCACCCACTACTCTCCCTTCGGAAACCAGAACGAGCTATACTCCCGCGAGGGCACAATTGGCAAGCTGATTGATGATCCCGTGCTGGTCGAAATCGGAAAGAAGTACAACAAGAGCTCTGCGCAAGTAGCACTTGGTAGGTCCCCATCGCCTCTTTTCGCAAAGAAAGAAGCTAACGCTCTGTAGCCTGGGGCATCAACGAAGGACACTCAGTACTTCCCAAGTCAAAGACTCCATCTCGCATCAGAGACAACCTCCAAGGCGACTTCAAGTTAGACGCCGAGGATCTCCAGAAGATCCGGGGCATTGACCGTAAGCTGCGCTTCAACGACAGCAGCGCCGACTTTGGCCGAGAATTCTTCGGCGACTTGGACGGCAAGCAGAAATAAATTGGTCTCTTGCACCTTACATGTCTATTAATTCTAAATGAGGAAACGAAATGCAACGAATACAATATTACTCATATGCTCTCTCCACTTAACACCCCCACGAACCTCGTGTTCACCATCCCTCGTAAATATAGCGTAGATCAGCAAGGTAGCAAAATTAAAGTTCAATGAACGATGCCGTACCACTATCCCAACGATTTGGGGTCAGAAATGCCTAGCCTCGTAGCCTTTGTTATTCTCATCTGGTCGGGTCACCTGCCATACACATAGTTACTTCCATGCGAGCCGAGTAGCTACCTAAGCTAGCTACTTATGCTTCTCAACTCCGCAATAATTCCACCCCGTCATATCCAATCACCCAGCTCCCTCATAACTATATACCGACACCAATAATAAGAAACATCTAATAAAATACCATATATACTAAGCAACAATGCCACCCTCCAAATCAGAAGATACCCCACCCCCCACACCCCATCGTCATCAACTCTCCTACCGAGACTTCTCTAAGCGCCTAATCCTCTCCTACGTACTCGACTGGATCCTCATAATGTACGTCCACCCCAAACCAGCCACCCCAAAAACCAGACACTGCTAACCGAACAATACTACCTCAGCGGAGTCGCCCTCATCGGCTACGGCTTCAACCAAACAACCCCCAATCACCGACCCTTCTCCCTCACCGACCCGAGCATCTCCTTCCCCCACAGGGAAAAGGATACCGTCTCAACGGGCGTGCTAGCCGTGGTTGCGGTAGTAGCTCCAGCTGTGATCATCATCGTCGTTTCCATTCTCTTCATCAATCCTGCTACTACCAGCATAGCTGGTACTAGTGTTCAAAATGCTCGAATAGAAGCTCTAAGAAGGAAGTTTATGGTCAAGTTTTGGGAATGGCATGCAGGATGGATGGGATTAGGAGTTGCTCTTGCGGGAACGTTCATGGCTACGGAGGGACTTAAGGATCTATATGGGAAGCCGAGGCCGGATATGCTGGCTAGGTGTGACCCGGATTTATCTGCGGTTAATGACTATGCGGTTTCGGGGTTGGGAGGGAGAATTGCGGGTGCGCCTACGATGGTGACGTGGGAGATATGTCGGAATAAAGGGGATGAGATGTTGAAGGTGGATGGTTTTGCTAGTTTTCCGAGTGGGCATTCTTCTAGTAAGTTTTATTTCATTATCAAGTTGGGATCTGATCTGACATGGGAATTTTCTAGTGTCGTTCGCGGGACTGATGTATCTCGCTCTTTGGCTCAGTGCTAAATTCTCCATTGGCTTCCCGTTCCTGGCGTATTCGCCGCTAAGCCAGGATCTGCAAAGACAGGACCGTGGGAAGATTCGAAACCAAGGTGCCGCTCCTCCTGTCTATATGCTCATCGTTGCATTAGTGCCCATTGCGGTGGCCTTCTTCATTTCTGCATCGCGTTGGTTTGATTATCGCCATCATGGTTTCGACATCATATTCGGATCGGTCATGGGAATGGTCTTCGCGTGGATTGGTTTCCGACTATATCAGCTGCCCATTATTCGCGGTGCGGGCTGGTCGTGGGGAGCTAGGAGTCGCAAACATGCTTTCTTCATGGGAGTCGGACAGCCGAGCCACGTTTCTGCCGATAATTGGGTCATGATGAGCGACAAACGCGATGCTGCAGAGAGCAGCCCACACAACGTTGATCTGGAAAGCGGTCGACCGGGCCCGGATGAGCGATGAGCAATCGCCCTCCGCACTGTGGTTAGAGCTTGACATAACATTCACTTTGTCGGCTTCAGTAGACTTTGTCTCCTTCATCTCCATCGCGTTCAGTGGTATGAATTTATGCAGAGAATGGGCCAGGTGATGCCATAGTCGAACCGTGACCTCGATCAAAGCCGGTAACTTCATCACCTCCATCAAGTTGCCAAACCAACATGAACATCACCTCCACCCACCAACCCTCCCCTCATCCCATCTAGCTTTGGCCTCTCTCCTAGCCGCCAACTTGGCCGATTCCGCTCTGACCCGTCTAATCCAATCGCCGACCTCCTTCTCAGTCGCCCGTCCATGATGTTCCTCCTCCAAAAAGCTCTCCTCGACTGCCTGACAGACTGCCTCCTGCTCCGCAATCGAAGCAGCCAGCCGCTGATACAAAGCCTTAGGTGACCACGGCGCCAGCGCAGCATCCATCTCAGACTGCTTTTTCCGCCAGGAGACCTCAAGCGACTGATGCGTCAGAAGAAGAGTTTCGGTAGAAGAGCGTAGTTCTCCGACATGAGACTGCAGCTCCAGCAAGCGGTTCGCAAGGTCTTTATTGTATTTCAGAAGAGTCTGTAGGTTATCCTGATGCGCCGTATACGAAGGATGGTTACTGGAGAAGGCGGAGATAAGTATAGGATCTTGAAGGATAGTCTGGAGATCGACAGTCCTGTCATCACAAAAAAAGTATCTATTAGCCCATACCCGAGCACCACAGCAAGGAATAGAAGTAGAACGTACGATTTCTCCTTCACACCAGCAGGCAACCAACCCTCCTCCACCGTCGGCGGCTTAGGTAGCGCATTCAGCGAGGCAGCGGGGTCAAATGTCGCCGGAGAAGAAGAGTATCTCTGTCCCTGCATATTCAAGCGGTCCTGCGCATAATGTCCTTCCTGGTACTGTTGTGGTGTTCCGGGATGCGACGGGGTGCCCCTTCGACTGGCTTCGTGGCTGCTGGGTTTCGGGGGAGGCGGGGGAGGAGTGTCCGGGTTGAGTGCTGGGTTCATGGCGAATGGAAGGGACCTCTAGGAGGTAGTGACTAGTAAGCTGACAGCTGGAAAGTACCTGAATAGGTGGGCAGACAGAGTGAGGACAGGCAGCAATTGGAGGGATTGGTCGAAGCCAAGAGCAGCACTGGCTGTGACGCCCGAAATGCGGGGAAGGCCGATCATCACGTGAGTGGGTGGAGGGTGTTTACAAGGCTACGAATAGGTACTAGTACAGTGTGTGGAAATGGATGTGGGGGTTGTAAACGGATTAAGGTATAATTCTTGGTCACATAAGGTAGTATGCTGCCTCTCTCAGCTGCCCGTCATGCTCTGCTCGCGTGCTTTGGGCGCATTATAGGGCCCTTGTTCATGCAGTGCCGCCTGGCCGAGACACCACTGCTCCAAGTACCAGGTTATAAGTCAAAAGACCTTACCTCCTGCTAGGCTCGAAGTCACACCAGGCGCGGTGAAATAGGCTTGTTCGAGCTGCAGGTCCAAGGCCCGAGGCGCCAATTGATGCGAGACGTGAACGGCCTCTCCGGAAGACCTCCGAAACCTCTAAGCAGGAAACTGGGTATCCAGTGTTGTCAGAGGGCCGCAGTATACCGGCAATCTGCTATATTATGCTGCTTAATCCGTCCTGCGGCGCACCTCACGCTCCTGGGTGTTGATACCGGAGCCCGAAATAGCATCCATGACCAACTGGCGCAGTTGGCTCTGCGTAGCTTCGCTGTGGAAATCCTCACGCGCGGCCAGCTCATCAATGCGCCGCTTGAACTCGGGATCCACCTCGTCCATTCCCGCACTAGCCTCCTGTTCCGACACTGTGCCCAGGTTCATTTGAATGTTCGGGGGAAGCGGCGGAGCCGGGTTTAGTGCGTCGCCAGCCGAGTCGGCCTCGGGCTCAGGCACGCCTGCGACTTGCCGCAGATAAGCAGCAATTTGCGGGAAAGAGCCATCGCTCTCAATAGTCTCATAGGCTGCGAGGCCCTCATCGTTTCTCTTGTTGTAGTCCACACCCAGTTCTTCAACCAGGCATTTCGCAATGTCGAGGCTTTCCGTCACAAACAGGCAGGTTTCACCATCCTCGTCGAGCAGGTTGACGTCCACGTTGTAGTCCTTCACCAGAGCGCGTAGCAGGTCGATGTGTCCGTAAGAAGCCGCAGCATGGAGTAATGAATATCCGTGCTCATCCTGGTTCGAGGCGATGGAGGGGTTGGACTGCAATAGAGTCAGGACGGCGCCCGGATTATCGGCGGCCAGAACGTAAGGGTTGGGTTGAGTCATAGCGCCGGTTTCACTGGTCGGAGAGGAAATATGAGTCAGTCCTGATAGTGTCTGGTGGATTAGACAGGTAATGCCATACCTTGAGTCACACAATAATTTCAGAGGAAGAGGTAATGGACAAGTGAAGGCAGGATGTGTTCAGTGAATCGAGATGGGCGGATGAAAGTGGCGCGGGCGGAAAAAAGCGCTTTTTCAAAAAAAGGATCGCTGCCCCGCATCTTCGATAAGAAACTCCTACTTTGGGACCCCGATCGAGGCTGACGGTGACTCAACTGTTTACTCTCATTTTTTCGTCGTGCGAGGCTGTATCTTAGCTCGGGATAAGCTTCAGATTGGGAAGGTCGAGCTTGCTCTATTAAAACATAAGGCGATTCCTCCCTGGCCTTGTCGACAACACACCGCGCGTGCCTTCTGCCTTCTCCCCCACCTCCTCCCGCATCCCGACCCTTGATTCCTTCGTTTCTAGCGAGTGCACCGCACGAATTGCGTGATTTTCTAGATTTGATACGCGCGAATCCGAGAGATCACAATGGTGCAGCAGGACGAGCGGGAAGTCGCCGAGCTGGTCACCAGCCTGGAGGCCGCCAGCAGGAAAGGCACAGCTCACGGGAAGAAGTCGGGGTTCAAGTGCAAGAAATCTACCTTTGACGTCGAAAAGGCAGACAAAATCAAGGTGCATTCGTGGAAATTTATGGACTGGGATTACAAACGCGACGATCTGCCGACCTATGCGCGAGGACTGTTCACCACCCAGAGGAAGGATGGCACCCAGGAGATTGCGGTTCGCGGATACGACAAGTTCTTTAATGTGGATGAGGTGAATGACACAAAGTGGAGGAACATTGAGATGAACACTAGGGGTCCCTACGAGCTCAGTGTGAAGGAGAACGGGTGCATTATATTCATCTCTGGTCTTGAGGACGGCACTTTGTTGGTCTGCAGCAAGCATTCTACGGGTGTTCGTTCCGATACAAACCTTAGCCATGCTCAAGCTGGTGAACGCTGGGTCGAGCGACATGTCAGTTCGGTTGGAAGGAGTGTAAAGGACTTGGCACGAGAGCTGCGCAGACTGAATGTCACCGCAGTAGGCGAGCTCTGTGACGACAGCTTCGAGGAGCATGTCCTCGCCTACGACGAAAGCGCTTCGGGTATCTATCTACATGGACTCAATTTCAACGTGCCTCAATTTGCCACGCAGCCTAGCTCAGAAGTACACAAGTTCGCCGATGCGTGGGGCTTCAAGAAAGCCAACTTCGTTGTGTATGAAGACCTCGATCAGGTCAAGAAATTCCTCGACAACTGCGCTGAAACAGGCACCTGGGATGGCCGCGAGACCGAAGGATTTGTGGTCCGATGCCACATGGGCGATAAAGGACGGGCACCATACCGGGATTGGTTCTTCAAGTACAAGTTCGAAGAGCCTTACTTGATGTACAGACAGTGGCGCGAGTGCACAAAGGCAGTCATTGCAGGAAAGGTTCCTAACATCAAGAAGCACAAGAAGATCACTGAGGAGTACCTCCACTACGCGCGGAGACAGCTCGCAAAAACGCCTGGTCTCGCACAGCAGTACCAGCAGAACCACGGCATCATCTCTTTGAGAGAGGGTTTCTTGCAAGAGAGAGGCCTCAACGGATCTGAAATTATCCAAATGGAGTCTGACGAATCCGGCGATGTGACGCACGACGTGATTCTTGTCCCCGTTGCTTCACTGGGCTGCGGCAAGACGACGGTGGCTTTGGCACTCTGCAAGTTGTTTGGATGGGGACAGGTGCAGAACGATAACATTCCGAAGCAGAAGAACAAGCCAAAGAAATTCTCCTTGGACATTACCAATCTTCTGGCTCAACATCCTGTGGTAATAGCAGACCGGAACAACCACATGCGACGCGAACGACAGCAACTCATAGAAGATGTGTCGGCTGTGATCCACAAAGCTCGCTATGTCGCGCTCCAGTACGTCCACGAGCCCAAAGGACAATTGCTTCCTGGCATCCGCGAAGTAACGCGGAGACGAGTCCTTGACCGGGGAGACAACCACCAAACCATCCGAGCGGGAAGCAAGAATCCAGAGGAGGTCATTGGAATCATGGAAGGTTTCCTGAACCGGTTCGAGGCTGTCGACACCGATCGTGAGCCAGACTGCTACTTCGACCAAGTAATTGACCTGGATGTCGGTGCTTCTTCGCGTGAGAATCTGGAGATAGTGGTGAAAGCGCTACACTCGTTCTATCCCAAGCTCGTGAAAGAGATTCCAACGGCCGAGCAACTGGATGATGCTATCTACTGGTCGATGAACGAATACCAAGTGCAGCTGGACTGGAGCCATCAATATGGATCCCAGAAACCAAAGAACAAGAACAAGAATCAGAACCAGAACCCCGGCAGCCCTGCACCCACAGCCGGTCCCACTCCCGAAGATCTGGCCAAGAAGATCGAGTACTTCAACATCTCCCTACCTCCTGCAGAGGTGAAAAATATCCTCGAGTCTCTGTTTCCCCCGTCTACAGCTCCCGAACAAGCACGTCTTTACAGACAGCTCATGAACAGCAGACGTGTACAGCCCACCTTCCACGTGACATTGATCCACCGCGCCTCGAAGAAAGAACATCCCGGCATTTGGGACGAATACGTCCGCCAGTACATTGAAAAGATGAAGAGCAAGCCCGAGTCTGATCCCACCATCACCCCGACGCTGGCTCCGGCTCGCGTACGTCTTGAGCGTCTCATCTGGGACAACCGTCTCATGGCATTCGTAGCGCGGATATTCCCACCAGAGGACCAGAACCTGGCGGAATGGCCGTGCGCGAATGAGATACCCCACGTCACTGTGGGAACTGTGTCGCCGGATGTGAAGCCCAAAGAGAGCAATGATCTGTTGAAGTGGTGGCATGAAGTTGGCTCGGGAGGAGAAACCGGGCTTTGGGAGGCTGAGATCCCAGGCGTGAGGGTTGTAGAGGGAACAGTAGGCGTGGTGATGAGTCGGGGCAAATAAGTTAATGACTGATGACGACGAGTCATGAGTGATGATTGCAAGAGAAAAGTACATATTTAGTTACTATAGACATGAAATCGCCTGGTTTGGCATGCAGTATCTATTATTTGCTCTACTGGACAGAGTAGTAGAGTATCATGTTGAATAACTAGTCGACAGAAATCCCTGTGGAAGTGGTAAAAAGCAGACGAAGAATCAAGGGCTAAATAAACCATGGTTATCTCTTCACACTTGAGTTGTCTTGGATGTGTGTTCTATCTTCAAGAAGCTAGGTTCTTACTCTCACATATAATCTTGTTGAAGTCTAAGAAAAACCACCAATTCAGTGAGTGAAAGGATAATGACTTATTAGTAGTTTATATTATATTAGTCCAGTATTTATTCCTTCACTTTTCGTTTCTTTTTTCCTTCTCTCCCGGATGTAGTGAATACTGTATATTATCGAGATATTTATCACCCCATTCGCCCCGACTAACCAGCGCGGATATTCATATTCTGACCTACTTTACAAGCCCGATTCTTCAACACAACATCTCATTTCCCTCCTCTCTAGCCGCGCGTAGAATCTCCTTCATCCGCTCATACAACCCCAGATCTTCCACCGTCCATCTATGTCCATTAAAAAAGACCACCGTTGACGCACGAAACAAGAGGCTTATAATACTGCGTGAAGTACTTACCAGCCCACCGGAGAAAATCCTCATCATTAAACACGAAGCCCTGTTTCATATCAGCCAGATCACCTGTATCGACAAAGTTCCATCTGTCGACTAAAGCAACGGCCCTTCTTCCCTTACTACCCGGGGCTTCATAGTGGACGCATAATCAAAAGATCACCCAGAAGAATGATTCGAGATCATGCATGAATGACTGTTTCTCGCCCATGAGTGCACCGATTGCCATGAAGGGTCTCGTGCCGGTTTTCTTACTACCGTCTGCCACTGGGGCAGGAATATCTTTTTGCTCTCTGATCTTGCCGTGTAGATTGGCTTGCCGTAATCGCGTAGTATGACACGGCGGTGGATACGGTTTGGTAGCTTTTTGAATGTATTGTTAGGTGATGATAGGTGTGGGCGCTTTGTAGGCGGCAAGAAGGCACTGTCTTGTACGCATCCAAAAGACACCGAGTGAAATTGCGGGATTCCAACATACAAAGATCCAATCTCAGCCTTGAGAATTCGATCAATATATTAGCGGTGCTCGGAGAGGGTTGCAGAGCTACTTGTATTGTGGATCCGTTGGATTTGTTGGGAGGAGGTGTGGGTGTATTCAGTTACTGCGTCGTTGACATATTCCCAGATATCGTTTGCTGGACTGCAAGTAATAGCTGAAGCCAATATAGGCTTTACGCGGGAGTTGTTGAACCCTTCGGACGGTATTGTAGACTTCTATTTCTGGATATTGTGCAGGGCAGCGGCACGGCTATATCTGGGCGTTAACTCGCAAATCGCAGTGTTCTAGGTCCAGCAACAGTTGAAGGGTGAGGTTTTGGATATCTGTGTGTAGTTTATAATAGAACTTGGGCCTCTCTTTACCTGTTCGTGGAAGATGATTGAGCGCATCAGACGTGCAGAAGAGGTCGTTTGCTTCAAAGATAGAATAAACGGTCTGGCGAAGTTCCTATTAGAAGCATTCTGGATGGTACTCTCGTCCACTATTTTAACGCTGGCGTCGTCAGCCATGTTAGAACAAATCCTGATGCTGCAGGTCCCCCATATCTCTCAGTCTGCTCTTCTGATATTCTTTGGCATTTGGAAAAGAAAGAGGAAGAGAGAGGCAACGTGGGCAGCAGAAGTGGCTTTTAAATAATTCATTCAGGTGAACTCAAAGATAAGTCTAGTGAGGGGAATCGATCCTGAATATAGATATGAGTGGTAGGGGGTGTAATAACACATAGAGGCAGGATATTTGAATACTATCAATCGTTAAGACATTCACTGTAGCCAGGCACTAGTATCTGATCTCTTGACCACCTCTTCCTCCTATGTGGCTTGACCTTACTTACCGGCGCCAACTGATGTCTTGAGATCCGGCTCGATAATATATAAGCTAGGACACTTCTTCTGTCAGGGAAATTCATTTGCGTCAAGGAGCAGCCATGCTAGTAAACTATGCGAACAGCGCCGATAATAAAGTATCAAACCATATTCAGGAAGAGGAAGACTCGCTCCCCTCTCTATAAACTCTTTTTGGCTTCCCAGGAATCAACATATAGCTGTGGTTACCCATCTTGACCATCCGCGACAAAATACGCGCCTGCTGTACACCCGTAGACGTTGCAATCAGATCGAGTATCTGCATGATCCATTCCTTCGTGTGAGGCGATATACCCGCACAGTCCGAGGCAAGATACAAAGGCCAAGGTAACCGAGCGACGGCTCCCAGGGCAGCGTCGCCTGAAGTGAAAAAATACGGGACGCTAGCGCAAATGTCCTCTGCCAGTTGTTTATTGATGGAGACCGACTCCTGCATGAGTTGAGGTGATTCAGGAATTTCTTGATGGAGACACATTGCTTGGATCATCTCGTGGAGAATGATCCGCGCTTGACGATAGTGGTTCCAGTACACTGCGTTGTCGATGTTTGGATATACGTGATATTCCGTGTCGTGGCTACGGAAGTGTGAGAATGCCAGTGGGGTGTTGATGGTCGTATACTGCCAGGTTGGGCTTAAAGAAGTCGCCCATGAGACTAGGTCGGCGTCAAGGTCGAGGGCTGCTTGGATTAAAGGTGCGATGTTTCCGCGGAAGCCAGTCGTGTTATATATTTCCTTTATTGTTATGGAGAGATCGTTGTATGCGACTAAGATGTTGTAAAAGTCTTCCATTGTCTGAGAATCCGCATCACCAATGGATTTTGCATATTTTGATAATGCGGCTATCGTTGGCGAGCGATGACAACTCGTTCTGAAGAATATGTTGATCATAGCCTAGGTATGACATGTTAGCACTCCGAGATCAGTGCCTAAGATGTGACTGAGGAATAGCTAACAATCTGTAGGCGTGTGCTGGCGAAGAGGCGCCGCCCAGCCGCTGATTCGAATTGCTGCATTCCTCGTAGCTCAAGGAGCTTCAACGCTCCTCGGGCGTGATTTAGCCAAGCGTCCATCATCTGTGATTGGCCTGAGATAATCTGTTTACTAGGGATTAACAACCCACCTACAAGCACCGATTTTAGCCAGACACATTACCTCGTACATGCTCAGCGTGACCACAGCCCCCAAAGTGGAGTCCGAAGTAGCTAATACTGCATCCTGAAGACTCGTATTGGTGGCCCGCAAGGCTTTGCTGTACTCCCCTGCAGCCGATCGTGCCAATTCAGGCCGGTGGTAGATCCTCGACATGCATGCCAGTCCTATGGCTTTCATGGTGGCTTGAAGTGCATCCGAGGGGTCAGTGCGCAGCAAATTCGGCAAATAGCAGAGAATGCCGGGGTTTTGACTAGTGCCGACATAGTACTTGAAGATGTGAGACATGGCTTGTTCCTGAATGTGGGTGGTGGGCCCTTCAATCAACGGCGGTGTCTTCGAACTCTCTGCAGTGTCTGCAGAGGGGGATCGAGCGGCCTTGCGGGTACTGGCAGCCCGGGCCAAGGCCTTGGTGGTGACAGCGGCCGTTTGATCAAAGAAGCGAAGAGCTTGGAGGTCTTGGTACCCGGGGCATTCTTTACCTATCCGCAGACATTGGGAGCATGCAGGTCTCTCCTGGTCGCACTACTACAGGGTCAACAGTCAATCATCCAGGTGTGGTGCATCGACGTACTTTTAGGCGCCGCTTCCGGCATAGAGCACACCCTGGGCTGGGCTTTCCTCTGTAAACCATGGTCGCCTGAAGGGGTATGTGGTTCGGAAGGTGTAGCAAACACTTGAGATCATCCCCGCTTTAAAGGCCCATGCTGAGTTGTCGGGGTCGGAGCTTGTTACGAAAAGGAGACTAGAAGCAGAGCAGTTCCGTCTTCAGCCTCGCTTCAGCCGCGTGGCATCAGGGCTAGATTGGTTCCACCGAGCCTCCATAGCTGGACGAAGCGTATACTCCAATCAGCTAGCCACTCATAGGTGTCAGATTGAGCTTAGCAATGTTGGCGTCGGCTCGAAGAAGCTTGTTCCTGAACCAGTGAGAGGGGAGTCATGCTGTATCATGAGTGGCTCGTTAACCAATTCCGAAGAGTCTTGTTTGTTTATTAACTCAGGAGATGTGGCTTCAACCGGCAATGGGGAATGGTTACCGCCAGAGTGATGAGTCTCTCGCTTGTAACTGACCTAATTGACCACCCCCACTTTCCCCTCTGTTCGAGCTTGTCCTAATGCAGTAACCAGTTCGGTACTTACGGTGTATCCTGAAGTAGCGTTGAGGCCACAATGACCCTAGCTACTCTCCAATCGACATGTGTCTTTCTTAAGCACGAAACGTCTGCGATAGTCCCGGCTATTCCTCTTGCAACGACTATTTCTAGGGCTAATGCCCATGTGTCATTATTCTGAGAGGCGCATCTTAATAGAGACCATTTGAAAGGATCTTTTGAAGTGCTATTGTCTTCTTTAGCCCTCTGCTTGCTATGTCTGGAAGTTGATATATACTAGTATAGAATCCCAAGGAGCGTCACTGGCAGTGAAAAAGCCCAGTAGGTAAGTAGTGATATACACTTTTACGACCCTATTATAGCTAGTCATATACACTATAGCATACACATTCCAAATTTCCGCCCAATATGATCAACCAGTAAACACCCCTCAAATCTCTGCCACAGGAGTCCCAATCCCACCAGATGCGAGTACAGTGGAGGTAAGATTCGCACTTGCATGCAGCTTCGCATTCAACTGCGCACTGTAGCGAGTATCCACCTCCTCGGGCCTGATCAACCTTACCCTCGCGACCGTCGCCTTCTGATCCGTATCACAGGTGCCATTGGCACAACAAGCGGGACTGTCATCCGTGCAGCCATCCTCATTGCAGCTGCATTCGGCCTTGACACTGTGGCCGTACAGCAACCACTGCACACATCCGCCCTTGTTGGTTCGAATGACCATTCCACCGCCGTACATGTCTGCGTGGTCGTCTCCGCATCCTGAGCTGATCTTTTGGAAGGTTTCCACGCACTGTGTGAGTATGTCATGTTAGCAAAATTGCTAATAGCAGAAAGGTCGAAGAGATAGTAAGTTCATCACTGAGAAAATGAAGTTGATATATACGTACTGAATCACCAGAAAATTTGAATGTCTTCTCGTCTTTGCAGCCTGATTGATCGTCTGCCCATTCGATAGACGCTACTACATTGGTTCCGTAGGGGTCGGAGTAGACGGTGGTGTATGGCGGGCCGTCGGGGGCGAGGGAGTTGCCCGAGTCGCATAGGGAGGTTGCTACGGATTTAAGTTCTTCTGCGTCGAACGTGGCGTATGAGCTGTCGTGATGATCTTTGAAGCAGTAATACTTTCGCGTATCCGACTCGCCGCTGGTGGGTAGGGGTAGTGATGTTGTATGGGAGGGTTCAGAAGTGGTGCTGGAAGAGGAGGAGGTTGTGCTAGTTGTGCTGGTAGTACTAGTAGTTGTTGTTGGAGGCTCTGTTGTTGATGCCTCACTGCTGGCAGTGTATTTGTTATCCGTACCAAGAGTTGGAATTGGTCCGTTAGGATCCCAAGTCCCCACTGTGCCTACATACGTAGACAATGGACATAGATTTGTCGTCGTTTCCGTAGTGGTTGTTGTGCCCTGGGCCTCGCATCCTAGAACAGTCGAACATTGCGTAGTGAAGCATGTTGTCGCGCGTGATGTGTCACCGTAGTTCGTGACGGAGCATCCCACTGCACAGTCGGTGATGGTTGTGCTTGTTGTACAGCTGGTAGGGCTTGGAGTAGTGGATGGACTCGTATCTGTCCCTCCGACACAAATGCCTTCAGGGTCGAAGCACTCGCAGCCATTGCCACTGCAGCTGCTGCAGCCGCCAGGATCCGTACAGCCACAGCTTTCCCCGAAACAACCGCATGTAAGGCCAGTACATCCACTGCATCCGGCTGAGGAGCAGGTACAGAATAGAGCTGAAAGACCGGAGCAGCCGCATCCAAGTCCGAGACATGCCGTGCAGTGTGCGCCCTTGCAGCCACAGTGTCCGTTGGAGCAGGCGCAGTCTGTCCCCACGCAGGCACTACACTGCGAACCGGTGCATTGACCAGAACTTGTATCACAGTCTCTTCCAGTGCAGCTTCGACAATCGTCTCCGACACACCGTCCAGAATGGCAATCCTTCCCTGTGCATCCATTACAGTCGTTGCCTGTGCACTTGCCATTGTTGCAATCTTGACCCGCACAACTACTGCAGCTATCGCCTGAGCAATTGCTCCCTCCAGCAGTAGAGCAATCACTGCCCGTGCAACCGTCATAGCTAGTACAAGTGTTGCCTGCGCAGAGACCTGATGCACAGTCGGCACCACCGCAAGTTCCCTCCCAGCAGTTCGGACCGTTACAAACGCCGTCACTACCACAGTCAGGTCCAGAACAGCCCAAGGCAATGCAGTTGTCTCCGTTACACTTGCCATTACTGCCACAGTCAGGGCCCACACAGCCGGATGTCACGCAGCCTGTGGCGACGCAGACTCCGTCTTTACATCCTGGACCGATGCACCCGCGGACGGTACAATCCGTTGGGCCTGTGCACATGCCGTTGAGACAGCCCGTCCCACTGCAGCCGAATGAGGCACACATGAGTCCTGTGCATTGCCCATTCTTGCAATCAGGTCCCTCACAATGACCATTTGTGACGACTGGCCACGTCTGGTCTCCGGTAGGGACAGACGTGGAAGAACTTGTCGTGCTGCTGCCAGTGCCACTCCCGCCGCCGCCGGTGCCGGTGCCGCTACCGCCGCCGCCGGCGCTTCCGCCGTTAGGACACCACGCGGGCGGGGATGGGCAGTACTGACCGGCACCTCCACTGGCAGTGGGAGAAGGTGCCACGACACATGATCCAGTGGGGGATTCCAAATACCCGTTGAAAGCACTAACACACCATTCATAGTTCCAAGTGCCCGGGAACAAGAAATACTGATCACTACAGGTGGTCTCCACCGTCGCATTCTGTGCCGTTAACACGCTGCCAGGGTCGTTGACATTCCGCGACCACAAACGGTATCCTGCCGCGTCGGCCGACTTGCTCCAGGTCATATGGACGGTGGTCGGGTCATTCGCCACGATCGTAAGATCAGTGGGCGTGGAAGGCGTGCCAGCACCAGGAACTACGCCCGTGACCACTTCGGGGAAACCTTCGCCTGCTGCATTCCAAGTCTCAATAGCCAAAAAGTAGTAATGGCCTGGCGTGAGGTTGTCGATGTGCCCGGAGGTGCCCGTGAAAGCGCCCCCAGTGATGTAAGAACAGTCCTCTGACTTGTCCCAGTAGAGCACATTGTATTCGATGATCGAGTCTGTGTAAGCTCCTGTTGGAGGATCCCAGGAGATGTCGAACCCGCTGCTGGTGGGTTTGACCACCACGTTACGAGGAGCGGCCGCTGTCTGCGGGTGTGCCGTCGCGGACAGGACCGAAGTCCAGTCGCCCTTAATGTTGTCACCCGCACTGGCGCGGACCTTGACTTCGTAGACCCAGCCGTCTTCTGGCCAAGTTGAATCCCAACGAGCTGCACTAACACTTCCTGCCGAGAAGTCGGTGATGCCGCCTTGAATTCGCGACCAGACATCGTAGCTATATGCTCCGTATACTACCGACGTGGAGGAAAAACATCAGTTACTCAACGGTCAGATCGGCTTGGAGGGGAATTACTTACTTACCAGCGTCCCATGTTGCCGTGACTCCCGTAGCACTGCTGAACACCTGGAAGTTGGACGGCACGGGGAGAGGTCTTGCGGGGATGCTATCCGGAATAGATAATGGCGAGCTTCCAATCTTGAAATCATTCACCAAAGTGAGACTGAAAGCGCGAGCTATCTGATACTCGCCCGCGGCATCTGGATGAAGCCCATCATAGCCCACGGGGCACGCACTCGGCTCACACTCGTAGTTCTCTTGCAGCTCCACCAGGTGAATGGGGGAATCCGTCGTACTCCATTCCGGGATCGCATCTCGCAGTAGCGCATTGTAGATATTGGTACTGATGGGCAGATCCTCGCGGCCCCCAATAAAGCTGCGCTGCGGGACATTGGCGATGGCGAACTTAAGATTCGGATTGACGGCGCGGGCATTGCTGATCAGGGTTTGGATGCTGTCCAGGGTGCCAGGGGCATCACTATAGAACCAACCCATGTCATTGAACCCCAGCATCAACAGCATCAAGTCAGCTGGATGGGCACCGAGGACATCGCGAATCAAGCCCTTGTCGACAGCCGCCGCACGGCCCCAGACGGCGAAATGATGGCGATCGAAGTCGGCCGCCACGTCCGCCGCGTACCCGCCGCTGGTCTTGGGCTGGTCGGAGGCGGTCTCTTCCCCGTAGAGCGGCGGCGGAGTGGGGCGGTTCGGCAGGATCCGGCTGCACGGTCCCTGTGTAGGGCCCCACAAAGGTGACGGCAATGTCTTGCGCCCGGAACCACTCCCAGATCCGATACCTCCACGGTGTCCTGGGGTTGAAGGCCACCAGGGCTGGCTAGTCTTGGAGCCAGGCATCTTGAATTTTTGTTTTATCCTTCTTTTGTAATGGAGCTCGATTTGTGTAGACGGTGGCGATGCTCGACCCTTATGTATTCAGCCGTGCTACTACGGATGACTATACCCGCAAGCTTTACAGCCGTATGCACTAAACCAAGTCACCCAAATATCTCTGTAGATAATATTTTCTCATGTGTAAATCGAATCCCGCGCCAAGATGAGAAATGTCGGTGACTGATAGTCCGTTGGCATTGAGCGAGGAACGTGCTGGGATATTGGGTTCCTATCCACCCGCTGTAACATCGCGACCATCTAGTGTGTCGCTTAATTCAGGGGCCTGGAATTCCTACTGTTTAGCGTGCTAGTACGATAGGTGTTCAAGCGGAGCCACTAAATCAAGGGCTCAGATGCAGTAGGTGTGCCGTGGATGGATATACTAACTCCCAGCTAGTAACGGAAGGACGCTACGAGCCCATAGATAGCCGTTATCATAGATTGTCTGTATTGCCAAGCCCACGCCATATGAGCCAGTTCGTCCGAATTCAAGCTAAGAGTAAGCTAAGTGACCGCGGCGCAGGCCGAGGCTGATACGCACCTCATATGACCCGTGTAGTCACACCTTTTAATAAAATCTCTGGTCATTTGCGATAATGAGTGTCTCACATTCCCAGCCAATCATCCACGTTTGGCAAAAGCTTGATATCTCAGGCCCGAGCGTCAGTGATCCCGCCGGAGCGACATATACCACCAGCTCTGATGTGTTTGCCAAGAGTCACTAGCCTGGCCCTTCAGAGAACCATACTTAATCCCGCTAGGAGCCTACTAGGATCTTTCAACCCAGGACCCTTTTCATTTTCCCCAACTAAGAAAGGTCAGCGCTAACTTTCTCTACGGTCATGGTGTCCCTGACTTTCGAAAGCCTTCCGGTGGAGTTAGTCGAAGAAGTTGTTAGTCGGCTAGACCTCCACGATCTCTGTGCACTGCGCCTGACTGGACGCACTGTCTCTTCAAAATCATCCAATGCTACCTTTCGGAACTATTTCCTTTCCAAGAAGTTGGAAATCGCAGAAGCCCCGCTTGAAAACTTCGCTCTCGTTACCAAACCAGGACGTTTCGGCCTCTGGATCCAGCATCTCACTCTGTATGCAATCACTAAAGATGATGATACCGGAGGAATATCCCTCGCCAGTCCCAGGGTGATCGAGTTACTAGCGCAAGGCTTCCTGAACATACGCGATAATTCTCCGCATGGTGGACCCTTGTCTATCACTCTCAAGATAATTGGGGACGGCTATATGAGGGATTTTGCTGCTCCAGTGTTCAATGTGACCCTGTCAGCCCTCAGGGGTACTGGACTACCCATTAGATCATTGGATGCGTTTGCGGAAGGTTATTCCCACAACCACGGGGGTTTCTGTAGTATCCCTTTCAGCGAGATCACGGGGGCATTTTCCGGCGCCGGCGCGGCAGACCTACACAGCCTTGCGAAGACCTTCCAGCCGTGCACGAAATTATGCCTAAGCTTGGCGCACCATATACATACAATCGACTCCGATAGTATCCGAGAACTACATAACGACAATGAAGACGAAGATTTCGAATTGCCACCGAGTTACGAGGAAGCCAGAGTAAATACCCAGAAACTTTGTGACCTTGTGGGCCTATGCCCCACTCTCCAAGAGCTGTATTTGGTGTGGGAGTATGATGACTTCGAAGAGACAGCCGGGGTCAGGGAAGAATTGTACTTCTTCTCTCGGTTAGCAGAATCATGCCAATTCCCGAGCTTGAGGCAGTGTACATTGCACAATATCCGAATGTCCGAGGAAGCGCTTCTAACCTTCTTTCGTCAACTTACTCGGCTGGTGTATTTGAGGTTGGAATATGTATCTGTTGAAGGTGAATTCGACGACCTATTCAGACTTTTGTCCACTTCAATGCCGGAATTGAATTACTTGCATCTCCGAGGCCTTTATTCTTCGTCTGGGACCCTTCGCTTCTTGAACGAACACCCCGAGAATAGACTGAGACATCCAACCGGTCGTGCACCACCTGGTATAATTCGGAGAGGGTCCGACGCTAGGCGGCTGGTCGTAGCCAGGGCAAGGTAGAAGGACATGGATCCTCTATAGATACGAAGAGATGTGTACATAACCCCCAAGGAATAGTGGAATGATCCTTCGCGTGTAATTAGAACCCCCTCTTCCAAGAAAAGAGAACAAGCACTAATACAGAAAGGGCATCGGGTTAGACTCGTAATATAAAGCATGCTATCAACAAGATTCTCACCCCCGCCCCTAGTCAGCAGCTAAAGTAGTTGATGTAACTTCGGTTCCAGCGAAGGTTCTGATGTACATGAGCCTGTTCCCCCTTTTTCTTTGCTCTAGTTTGAAAAGGTCAATGGTGTGAGAAAGACTAATATCCCCACCGTATTTCAAGCCGGCCCTTCCCCATGACTACCACCACAGTAAGCAGTCTCATGCTTTACAAAGACCATGTTGCATCTTGCGAAGGGGCTACTTTGCCTCACGTTGGTGCCCTCATGGGCACTTATTGGCGCTAAGGTACTCCCCACTGACGCCCCAGTCGATGATATCCGGGCCGTGCCATTTGGACTGGAGAACAACAAGAACCGTGCTTGGTACCCTAGAGCGTAAGCGCCATACCATTTGATCTCAGTATCCACCCTTCCATATAGCTAATCACTCATGTCCTAGCGATCCTCAGTGCGATGTTAACTGGGATGACGACCCTGATGTCCCCAAATGCCGGATCTTATGCGCCCCTACACAGAGTGATTGCTCGAATAGCCTTACCACACGCAATTATAGGATTCGTCTCAACCACACAGCAAGTGATGGTATTAATGATGACCGTGATCACGTTTTCACAGGACTCTATGATACTGAAAAGACGAGTCACAGTAAGCGAGCCTTTCAAGCCTTGACCCTTGCGGAGATACGCGAGTACGTTGAAAAACAAACGGACCCGGATACAGCGGACCGATATTTTGGCGACTTAATTGGGCTCGTGGAATTCGATGATGATAACCTTTCATTGGATTCCTCTGTCGCCCAGCAAATAACATTTGGAAATGCCCCTTTCCAAGTCGGCACGACTGGTCTCGAAGGGTGTACTGTGGTGACTGTTGTATCCAAGCGAGCCGTCTACATGGTAAGTATTCATCAAATTAACATGGCTTAATGTTAGTGTGTGTTATAGTTTACCACTGGCTGACGAACTCCGTGATAGGCGCACTACTGGGAACGCAAAAGTTGGACTAGCTCGTACTGGTTCCCAAGACGCATCATCAACTTTATCGCTGGCCGGAATCCAAATCAGGGAGTTGGTCCTGCCCTCAACCCGGCACTATTCAACCGCCCTACCGACGACACGCGGATCTATATCATGCACCCCCGCAAGGGTGGGAAAAAGGCGACGTACACTTCGCCAAATTACACAAAGAAGTTTAAACAATTGAGAAGCTTGCTCAACGAAGAGCTTCTTCCCGGCGTACCCACAGCGACTTGGTTCTATATCCCTGTCGCCAACCCGGGGGACGTGCCCGATCCCATTGCTGATCAGCCCTGGAGACGACACGCCGTCTTCCAATATGACCCGCAAGCGCATGGTACAAGAAGCAAAGGATGGAGACTCTTCTACGAGGATCATTATTTCGATGATACAAACCCCCCTCCTGGCACTGAATCTGCCAATGGAATTCCGGATATCCCATGAGCAAGATCTGTCTACCCGCGAAGCGATACTAGAGCCGCGCTGTGGGTGTGGGTACTTGACAATATACCACAGTGTAATGAGCGGAATTGTCTTCATAGCTTCTATTAGCGAGTGGTAGAGTGTTTAACCATCTATATAAACAGAAAAACAGAAGTTTTGCCTCCTTCTGTTGTCTCAATCTTCCATTGTTTTAAGGCCATGTGATTCCTGTTGAAAATAATTAAAGGATTCCCAATAAGGGTATTTCGGACGATCATAAGGAACAAAATTATGTAGATGAAGTATTTGCATAAAATCTGAGGCGAACATCTTCAGGACCTTCACTCAAGGTCTTATAGTTACTACATGCATTTTGCCTTCATGGAAGAAGATGCCGAGTATAGTGGTAGTGATGCTACTGACCAGGGTAGTCAGATTTTGTCATAGCAGTATTGCTGGAGGTTCTCTGCCATGAGACTAGCCCATTCAAGTGTATTGAGAAACACGGTACTTATTGCATAATTTAACGTTGTCGAAGTCATAGGTAAGAGGGGGAAAAAAAGAAGAAGAGAGAGAGAGACTTCGCTTCTGCTCTGCAAAGGTCTTGTTCCACCAGCCGGACATGGAATATCGAAAATACCATCTCGATAAACGCACACAAACAGTGCTCTTATCGAAGCATCCGCCGGAGTTTGGTAAGCTGACAGGACCTGCAGTCAAGCAGCCTTAGTGTATCCTAGAATCATCTATGCTTCCGAAACCCACCTCCCCCATACAAAGAAATGAAAAAGGAAAAGAAAAAAGAAGCCAACGATTATGCAGTTTTTTGTGCCAGTATCTTGACAGGAGACCAGTTGTATACAGTTTCCTTGCGTTCATCACAAAGACTCTGCAGTTCCGCCTCAAGCTTGGTCACCAGAGGTACAATCTCTTCTGCGCATGTCAGCTTGGTACCGCGCAATATCTCACCGAGGGCAAGAAGATATGTGTCCGTGCATTTCTGAACAAGGAAGTCTTTGAATGATTCTGTCTATGATTCAAGAATCTCCAGATGTGCTTCTTCCAGATCGCGAGGAAGTCTTGTTGCCCAGCTGCAATATTATCAATTAGCCTCATATATTTTCACACTGAAAGCTACTAGGATAGATGAACGATGAGAGTAGGTCTTACCTGTAGTCCAACCCGACCTTCTGAAATAAACTTGGTATCCGTTGTGCAAGCTCAAGGGCCTTGCGCCCTTGCACAGATTGATGAATGAGGTCGGCCTCCTCCCACTGGATATAGCCTCCTGGCCCTAGTATGTATTAGCTTGAAACAAGGAAATTGTAGTTAGAGATGGGGATACTCACTCAGCAACTGTTGCAAATGGGAAATTAGCGGCCGGGTGTTGCCATCTCGTATATTACTCGCCCACATCCGGACATGGACAACATCATATTGACCGACAAGTGTGGGAGGGACATTCTTGAAGGCGTCCAACAGCTCTAGTTTGACGTTCCGTGGCCACATATGCTTCGGAGGATATTGAGCCTCCGAGATATCGAAGCCATGCAGTTGCACAAAAGGTGGCATCGACGGGGCTAAGTCAAAGAGCCAGATCCTGTACTTGATTAGTGGATATTCCTATGCTGGGCCAGACATGCAACGGAACCCGAACAGGATCATCTATGCCCTCGAATAAGAAAAAGACCGTGAACTGTATTACCCATTGCCAGTACCAACTTCCGCTATCTTCATGTCTGGGGTGATAGGAATGTGGGGGTGAAGTGTATATCCAGTGTGAAGCTTCCATAGCAGATGCTGGGCATCCAATCTAGAAACATCATGAGCAGGAGATTGCGGTGTCAACACTATCTCGCATGGAGATCTTACCGGACTGAATCCGACAGTCCTCTTCCAAGAGGATATAGATCCGAGTCAGCCATTGCCGTCCAAGTAAGTAGTGTTTCTGGGTTTCACTTTCTCTAACTGAGTGTTGAACCTAAGCATACCAGAAACTGAAGATGGACGAACTGACCGGTATATATGTCCATCGACATTCCTTCTATGCAAATCTAAGGATCCTCAAACTAGGCATACACCGTCACGTGGACCAACTTTACTCATGTCATCTTCAAGTTCCATGCCGCGCTTAGGGAAATTGTATCAGACCAATCATATATCAGTCCCCTTGCGTGGATGACGACAACGCCTTGGGGTACCCCTACTTAATGATCAACCTTATTGTGAAGAAGTACTCATCATGGTCCAACATGCTAGAGAAACTTGATCGCACCTGCGAAGGTTTCCCGTAGCTCTAGCATTGTCCGTCTCTTCCGTGTGTCTCCAATTTGGATAACACCATCCTACGGTTCGATATAGAAGTACCGGTACTTTCGTCGGCGATTTCAAGAGGGATTAATTCATGCTATCGACAATCATGACTACCCGGTGTACCACTCATCACACTGGAAGGGATCCAAATCTACCGCTCCTAAGCTCTGGATCGAGGTTACACAGATCTCGAGCACGTTGCTACCTGCGGCAAAATGGCCGCTACTACGCCTCTATGTCATTGCATATTCTAATCGTCGTACTATGCGCGTCTTCCAGGCCAGTTTCCAACTACCTCTAGCTGCTTTACGTTTTACAGATACTTGGAGCATCCTGCCTGATCTCTAGCAAAACTGCCTTTCCGTCTCATGCCTGTGTCCTCAACATGGAAGTTGGAAGAATATCATTTGGCCCAATAGAGTAAGTTGACGTCAATGAAAAGCATATTATATTCTTCCTCGGTCCAAGGAACAATGCAGCTAGTATCAGCAGTATGTCACACAGCCTTAGGAATTCTGCTCGCTAACAGCCTTTAATGAGCGGTCGCGTTAGATCTGAGTGGCTGCTCCGTTCTGGCGTAACGGCTCTAATTCTAAGCAAGCGATAACAGAGAAAGAAGATGGATGCAAGGCAGATAGTTGTTTTATTGTTCGTTACTACTAAGGATGCTTTCTAAATAGGTAGAAGAAAGGAGAGGGCACTACCCGATTGGGTAGGCACGTTGCAGTGGCGATCAGCCCGTAACCTTCCCCTATAGTATCAACCAACGGATTAAGCACATGAAACTACGACATATCCTGATAGTGGCATACCATTCCCTGTCCGAGTACTAACTAGGGATCAGGCGTCTTCATTTTGAACAAATGGCTCGTTTCTTCCTCTGCAGCAGCCCGATATGGTCGCAGCAAACCAGGGATATCCTGCAAGTTGACTTATCTGCATCTGATACCAGATCATTCATGAGTTCATTGCGCGTTTTCTACCAAGCAATTGGTGGGATAGAGGCCGATCTGAACAGATGACCCCAACAACTTCTATCACTTGACGGCCCTTCTTGTCTATCCTGATGATGTGGTGAAGGAGTATATGAAGTCATATCTGCTTATAAAACTGCATAATGTTGCGCATTCATATGCGGTTTACAAAAGCCCTATCCCTGCGTTAGTATCGTGAGCTTGAGCCTAACTGCCGACACGAGAAGGATACAAATATCCTCGCTGGTTTGTTATTGTTCTTTACAATATAGTCCCACAGTTTTACCATCATACCCAACAGCTGCAGCAAGCGTGACAACATCAACCGACCCACAATGTCATCCACTCGAATATCAATCACACTCACCTCTCCCTCTAGTGACTTGCTCAAACCAGTCATATCTGTCCTAGAAAGACATAGTGGCTCAGAGTACTACGTCTACGAACGCAAAGACTGCTGGCATATTGGTCTCGGATCCTACAGATCATTGATAATCGACTCCAGCGGATCGAACATAACAATCTCAGTAGCTGGAGAACCGAGCCATCACTGCCCAGTGAAGAAGCCACTACCTGATATAGCGAGAGAATTCCTCCATGAGTATTGGAACCACACAACCAAAGTATACGGACACGTTGGGTTCCAACTATGCAGCCCATATTCGGGGCCTGGAATACACACCCGGCAAATGGCCCTTACTAGCATTGATGATACCTCGCATGGAAGTACTCATCGACCCAGATAACATTACAATCACCGGGGATGACACCAAGGAGGTCCTGGAACTATGCGCTCTGCTGAAAGAGACATGTCGATGTCGCAACGCACCACTTCCCGGCGCTCATGATATTCCACACGTTGACGTAAATGAGAATTCCAGCCAATACAAAATCCTAGTGGAGAAAGCTCTATCACAAATCCAGCAGAACCACTACTCCAAGATAATCTTATCTCGACCCGTCAACCTTCAACACCGAGTGGACATGCCATCAACACTCCACTGTGGTCGTCAATCCAACACACCCTCTCGCAGCTTCTCCCTCCGCCATGGCAACTACCAAGCCACTGGATTCAGCCCCGAACTAGTCATGTCTCTGGACAAAGGGGTAGTAACCACCGAGCCTCTAGCGGGTACACGCTCCTGCAAAGGCACAGAAGCCGAAATCCAAAGACTCCGACATGAACTAGAAAACGACAGCAAAGAGATAGTCGAGCACGTCATCTCCGTCAAAGAAGCCGTGCACGAAATTAGCCAGCTCTCCGACAAGCCTATGGTGGAGGACTTCATGTCAGTACGGGTACGAGGCAGCGTACAACACCTCGGTTCTCGGGTCTGCGGACGTCTCTCCCCAGATAAAGATATGTGGGATGCGTTCAATGTTCTTTTCCCATCGATTACTGCGTCGGGTATTCCGAAAAAGGCTGCGATTGATGCTATTTCTCGTCTTGAGTCGCAGCCTAGAGAGCTCTATTCGGGCGCTATTTTGATGATCGAGGATGAGAATACCATGGAAGCTGCGCTTGTGCTTCGCTCTGTTTTCCAGGATCGTGATCGTCAGTGGATCCAGGCTGGTGCTGGCGTTATCGCGGAATCGGACCCTTCCAGGGAGTTGACTGAGACTTGTGAGAAACTTGCCAGTATTGCGCCTTTTGTTGTGAGGGAGGCGAAGGGATTGGAGGATAGGATTAATGGGTATCATTGATGGCAGATCTCATATCTTCATTGTAGTGATGCTTGCAAATTGTATGTTAGATTGTCTTACCTACATCCAATAAATCTTTTCCTATTTAATGACCCTCTCATTCCTCTCTTTCCAGTATGAGAGAGAAGTCTAGCCAGAACGCATGCACCATTTCGTCAACCTAATGAACTTGAGTATAACAAGTTTGAGAGCATGATCGAACTACTCCCTACACTGACTCTGATGTATGGAAGTAGAACATCATTTACTTACATAAGTACATATATATATATATATATCATCGAGAGTATGCTACAACACAAACCCACATGCCACCTGCTGCAGCTGTAATCAAGTAGTACTAACAATTCATACTACTATTGAATGGCCCTATGGAAGATTTTATATAACTAAAACAAACCATTGGTCTAGATATAGTAGTAGTAGTAGTAGTAGTAGAATCACAGGGGACTGACTGGAGGATGATCTGAGGAATATACCAATCGCTTTCATGTTCTCTTGCTTAGTAGTAAGAGCAATGAATATATAATACCACCCACGCTTTCAGAGACATCACCTTTACTTGATAAACGAACCAGTTGTAAGATCGCACCAACAAGTCAATATTACACACTCATAGGAGGAGAAATTGCTTATTGTCATTGTAACAAGAGTATTTAGGAACCCAGTTTACGTCCCTGTCTGTCTCTCGTGCGGTCAATATAGACAGCTCAATATTTATTATACAACGTATATAAAGCTAAACTACTGACTAATGTATTCGCTGTCTGGTATATATTAAAGAAGAAAGAAGGTAAGAGCTGTACAAGCAAGCGTATACCGGCCGTTGAACCCATGTCTATCGTGATGAGCATGCGATCAAATAAAAAAGTATACAATGTATGCGCGTCCCAGAAGGAGGCGCAGGCTAGAGCAAGATAGTCCGGTCTCCGGTGGTAGCAAGGCTTCAACAGTATCAGCTGGTCATCCACGAAGTGACACGCTGAGCTCCGAATCTTCCCATAAACTGCAGTCCAGTACTACCCATCGGGAAGTAGCTGACAAGGTACCAGAGCAGGGCAGCCAGCTGAAACACCGACGAGATGAGCGTCAACAGGGTTGAATGAAGCTAGAGGAGAAAAGACGATTAGCAACCGGTATTCCCACTGGTGTTCTTGGTGTGCACGGGCTCGACTGGGGTCTACAGTAGCGCATGCACATCCAACCTGCTACTGTTGCAGGACGATGTGAGAGATCATATTCACGACCGGGGTGGCGGTGCATTATGATGTCATATCGTCGGCTGAAGGCTCCGAGTGTACGCGCACGACCCAGGTATGCAAGATCCTCGAAATCGACAGGTTGGTATGCGATCGCAGAGGCGTACGCTCAGATAGTACAGGCATACACAACATGGTCCGGCAGGGAAGATCCTGGGAAATGTAGCTAGAGCCAAACAAACAGGGGTACTTACTCCGATAGCAAAGTACAAAGTCATGGCGATCGAGCCGAAATAGGCCGCCGTGAAGGGCAGACGTGATCCCGAGACCAGATGTTTCGCGTAGACCAGGGGTCCCATGAGGACTGCCCATGATAGGAGAAAGAGTAAGGATCCAACCGACCACCTAGTTCAAGAGGTAAAACCGGTTCGATCAGCCACAGATTTACAGGAAGTTCCTTGGCAAACAGTATGTGTGGGGCGTGATGGAGGGTTCAGCACGGACGCTGGAATGTAGTCGGATCGGAGACGCGTGGTGCATAGTCCCCAGCGAGGAGGGCATGACAAGCACTCCACCGCCTCGTGCCCTCCCCCCGGTGGGTGGGCGAAGTAGGGGATGTATTGGGGTTCGATAAAGATCAACGGGGGATCTGTAAAGCAACTTACAGGATGGCAAATTTGCGGGGTTTCAGTGATAGAACCGGGAATAGGAAAAAGCAAAGGAGGAAGCAGACGGCGGCACCAAGGTTGCATGCGATGAAAATGAGCATCCGATCCCATCGACTTACTGTAAAGGGAATGTATGATTAGCATTAGCCAAAAGTTAAAAGGGGAGGAGGTAGGGCGGCAAGAAGAAAAATAGAAAATGCGTAGAAGCGCAGAAAAAAGGAAAAAAGAACGAAAAATGGAAAATAGGAAAATTAAACGGTGGATGACAAAGTATAGTCCCATAGGTAAATAGAGAGTAGAGTACATCACCCAGCTTTTCCTAGGGCTTCCGTGGAACCCAGACAGATGCAGGAACTGAGTCTCTGTCACCTGGACTGGGCAGTGCAGCAAATCAAGGAAGAGAGCATCTTTACGGAAAATCGGTCATGCGTTCGGAGGACTTACAGGCAAAGAAAGTATCTTCCTCCTCTCGGCGACTTGCGGCGGGTAGGGGAGCTCCTGGAGCTTCATGAGTGGGCAGTTGCAAATAGCCCTCCCCTTGACCAAATGGATTCCAAGACTGTAACCGTGAGAGGATAGGCGTATTCGACGAGTTATTGCGGGTGGAGAGATCTGGGTCTCGTCGCGACCAACCCAGGGAGTTGACCGAATCGCGGAATGAATTGGTAGCCATGATTGCTATTCGCTTCTGTGCCGGGCCTAGTTACGCCCTGGTGGAAGAGGGGTAGGGTGAACGAAATGAAAGCAAGATATTTGCCTTCGGACAATGTTGCTACCGGGGTTGGTGTACACTGCCAGTCGACCACTGGAAGAGCGACACTGCGGTGACAAGGTGAGAAAGGCTCTGCAGGGACTATGCACGACGGAAACCAATATGTGCGTGCAGATGATCTGCAGATATCAATTATGGAGGGGGGGGGAAAGACGACGGCGAGAGAGTAACCGGCGGTGATAGGATCGAACTAAAGCGGGCCAGATGACTGTTGCGCAACCGGACTAGACTCCCGAGGAGCTTGGGCACGGGACAAACCTAGCGTCCGCTAATAGAAACTTCGGACGTTGGTGGTCCACTGGTGTCTTCTCAGAGTGAAGCTGATAAGCTTGTGATCGCCCTCCTGCCCGATTCGTAAAAGTCGTGTTATCGATAGTAACCTGTCACCAAAGGGGACTGCGCCTCCTGGAGGTAGTCGGCCTATTCTTAGAGGAGGAAATTGCGAGTGCTCCTAGCAGTAGCGCAGACTGAAACAGTATCTCCGAACGGCCGATGTAACAGTTCTAATAACCCAGTGTCCCACGAGCTGTAAATCGGGGGTTTAGTCTCCCACCCCGGCGCAAGGAATGCAGAGATCGAACGGCCAATTACCCAGCCGGGAGAGGAGCTGCGCCGACCGGAGAATGAGAGGGAGGGTGGAGGAAGCTGCAAGATGATGACGATGACGATGACGATAATGGGGGTAGAGAGAGCGAGGACGGTAGCTGGCGTAACGCTGGGGCCACCCTAAATTCAAGACAGAGATCGGCTCTACACAGGCTGCAAGATTAGCCAGTCGTCATCTGACTTGGGAGGATAAAAGGAGGAGGAGGAGGAGGAGGAGGAGGTCGAGCAAAAGACGAGAGGGGAAGTCAAAGGAGGGGGGGAGGATATGTGGGTGTGGGTGTGTGTGTGTGTGTGTGTGTGGGTGGGCGTTGAGCAGGTGGTCGCGATGAGTGTAGGCAGAACAAGGCACGTAGCCAGAACACCACCACTACCACCACCACCATTACCAGTAAGAGAGATAGAAAGAATACGGTCACATACCAAAGCTCGCAGAAACTGATACTATCTCCGAAACGCAAAAGGATGATTGAGTGTGGTTGTCAACAATGGGGGAGCCTCTTTACCCACGGGTGTCGCGATAATTATCGGGGGATGATTGCTTTCCAGCAGCAGCACCGCCCATAATCGCCGTCGCAGTTGGAATGGGAGTTCGTCCCTTTCCTGCAAAGCTGGGGTGGGTTACCCCAACAGCCAATCAGCAACCTCATTTACAGAGACGGTGTCCCGGTGACGGATCTAAACCCAAAACGAGCTGGTGACCCCAGCTGAGCAGTTGCTCGACCAATCACCGCTTGAAATGGCGCCATGGCGGACAGGCTCGATACAATTCATTGGCTGGTTTGAAGACCATGGGAGAGTTCGGCCACACCGCCCATGGGGGGTTAAAACCGTTTGGCGCCTGTTCCGCTGACCAGGTCGCGTCCTTACCATACCGAAACATACTTCCTTCCCTGGACTGCTACTACCAGTACTAGCGCTACTAGTAGATACAGACAGTACTATCAGTAGGTGTCGGTAGCCTACCTACTACTTACTTGCCTTGGTACATTTCGTCGCCTAGGTCAAAACCGTGCCCACCCACTAACTACATGACTAGTCATCTGTAATTGGTGCCTATCTTCAAGAGCAACCAAAAAACCTGTTCAGGATTGTGAAGGTGCATTGCTCCCTCATGGTTGGCTTCTCAGCTCATCGAATGAGAAGCCGAGAGACTGTGGTTAGACGAGTGGCGCCCTGGAACCCCTTCCGGCTGGCTTCTTTCCTAGTCCAGTCGATCCTGGTTAGAGCAGCCGGGGATGCAGAAGCCTACTTGGACCTCAGTACAATCTCCTCCTATCCATGGTGTGTCTGCATTAGAATGCTTATCACGGCCGATAGCTTCTTAGTTGGGTTGCATCAGGCAACTCCAGGGAGAGACATGTTACGTACATTCGCTGCGTAAAACTGGCTAAAGTCAAAAAACCAGACGCGAATGATTTACCTTTGCGCAGTCCCGTAAATCTCCCATATGCGAGCTTTTGTCTCTTTTAGGCGATAGTAAACTAGCGTCGAGATCAAACGGAACGGTGTTGCCCGCCGGATAATTAACCCCTCCAGAGTCTGAATATTTTCCTGTTGCTACTTTAGAGGAATTCCTCAGCTTGAATTGAAATTCCTGTATCTTTTGCTCCCTCTGTCTCTCTGATATTGAAACTTGAATTCCTGGCCGGGTAGGAAGCTGCTCTGATCCCCATTAGCGTCACAAGTTACTGGATGGATGGATGAAATCTCTCGCCTGCATATCATACGCAGCTAGTAGCTACTGCATTCTAATAGCACCTGCACGTACAAGAGAGTCGGCGGCCAAGCATAGGGGCCGACCAACTCTTGTCATCGCCATGACCAACCATCAGATACATACGTAGTGAGAACTCCCTTGCAGTAACCGTGGATATCGGCCATGCCCTCCGAACCTTGACGGGACGGGACGGGCACGATTTGCGGGAACCAATGCTATTCCTTCATTAGGCTTCCACTTCTGGTGCTGTACCGGGCTTATCTGTTGATTCCGCATTCGGCAGAATCGACCGGACTTGTGGTCTGATACTGGTCATCCATTATCATCATTCCACCAGCAGCTATATGTACGATGGTGTCATCGTTGGGAATGGCGGCGCCAGGTCGCATACCAGATTATTGTCCGCTGGGGGGGAAGTCTACTACATAACGATCGGTGCAGGAATTCAGGTCAGTGGGCGTGGTTCATGGTGTAGTAGCTGGTCGGGTCGTGACATACCACCTATCGTGTCTGCGGCACTTCGAACCAGGGTTGACAGGCTAATCTCTGCTGGTGGCTTCTTTCGGGCTATCAGGACTCCCCGATTGATTTGATGCTGCAAGGTGATTGGCAATTTACTTTTGACAGCATTCCAGACGCAGCTCAATTGTTTTCCCACTCGCCGGATCATAAGGCTCCCCACATTCCTGGTGGCTTGTATTTCAAATCATCGAGCATGAAAAGCCAAAAGGCAAATAGTGGAATGAATGGAATTAAATCTTGTCGCGACGCGCGGGTGCGCATAGAGAAGCGCTTTTTCTGAAGACTGCTCGGGATAATGCGAGAAGAATGAAGCCCTTACCCCAAGTGCAGGAAAAAGGAGAAAACAATAGGAAATTAAACCAGCTCCCGCGCTTGGGACACCGTCGCATTGCACCAACCCCACCCCATAATTCAAAGTAGAAGCCTATCAGATGGCACAAGCGGGCGCACTCTTTCTCGGGAGGCGACAGGATGCACGGTGTCACGGACCGCCTTCTGTGTCAGCCCCAACCTGGAGACGCTCGGACGCCGAGGTGTCTCTTCTGGAAGCCTGACTGCTTCTTCCTGAGGTTCCCAAGGAGGCGGTTCCATGCTCATCTTCGTACTCGAAGTGGACGTGCGCAAATAAGATGAGAAGGAGGGTCTCGATATGCGAAGGAAGCCGACCTTACTAGCCTGACGATACCGTATCCCGGGCAGGTGCCCGGTGTGTGTCTCTTTCCCCAAGATAATGGTGGATGTATACCTCCTAGATACGAGCGGTATGTATGCCTGGAGCTAAACCTAGTGCGATGGACATCGTATTGTGTTCCATGGTAAAGGCAGTGTTTTGTGCCGCTCGTCGGTCCTATTAGCGTGCAGCGATCTTGAACATGATCATCCAGAAGCCTGGGTAGTAAGTAATAGTAGTAGTGATGAACAGAGGTAACCTGGACAGATATCGAATGTGCTGAACAGAAGGAGATCGTTTCCCTCAGTTTCCTTACCACATGGTACGCCACGATCATTCATCCCTTCCCCGATACCCGCCATGAAGCACTCCGGCGGAGAGCCTGGGGAATTAATGATTAAAACTAAAATTACCGACAATCTATTTTGAAACAATTAATCCATCCTGAGGAACCCCTCAGTACATCAGCAGTAGACTATGATGTCATCGTTCCTTTTTCAAAATTAAAATTGAAAATGCAAAACCATGATTTTCCAAATCTCACGCTCCATGGTCATTAGTCCGCCCGTCAGGATGAATGATCTGGTATGCTTGGGGCTTGCCCAGCCTGGCATCTGATACATTCCCGAGTGGGTTCCTAAAATCGAGGGTAAGGAAGTATAGCAGGTTGGCTGCTCCTATAGTAGGCGTCGGGGTTGTAAGTCCGACGGCGATAATGATTGCTGTTTTAGCGCCCTTTTTGGTTTTAATACGATGGAAGTATATGGCGCAACGAGATACTTTGTAAGAAATAGCAACCAACCAAAATCCAACCTGGGATAAGATGAGTGATAATAAACCGGATAACTAACATCTTGCCATGGGGATAGCACCCCTCCCCCTCCCAAAGGCTGACCTCGAGTGAGTCATTCTAGTCTCTCTCTTTTTATTTTTCTTCTTATTATTTTATTTTACCTGGCAAAAAAGGGACAGGTGACAAATATAGTAGTACCTGGATGCTCATGGGATTGAGAGGGGAGGTTAACCTCCCCCATCCGGACGGTGCTACCCTCCTTGATGGATGCTTTTCTGACCGTCTCTCCCACACTTACTTTACCCTACTACTTACTTACAGTACACCCCCCCCCTCCTGCCCACCAACCACACGCCCCCCTTTCTTCTGCTTGTATTGGTCTCATCCCCCTCCATCTTCACATACTTAGCTTCGCACGCCTTAGCTTCATCGCCACCAAGACTTGCCTTTCCCTTCCCTCCTTTTCATTAATTAATAAATTGTATTCATTCTTCTTGTAATTTTGTTTTGCCCGCTATTTTAGTGTTGCTTCCCGTTATGATTATTTCTTTTTCTGTTTTTTAAAAATAAATGATATTAATTTAATTCCACACCCTCTACACCAAGCTGAAGAACCGGTTTACGCATGTAATCCCCGTAGATGCTTTGTTAAGCCTCGTCGATTGAGGATCGACGCCCTGCATGACCTTGACCGTGATATATCAAATGAGAGGCTGTGAAGAACGCCGCGAGAGTCTTTTAAAGTCCCCCTCATCCCCTCGTCTCTTCAAGCCTGGGTGTTCTGTTTCTTTTTGATCTTATCTGGAATACTACGACTACTACTACTACCACCGATCATACCATCTACCACCTTGAATCTTGGAATCCCGTCGATAGAAGCTGGGACTTCTTCATTTGATGATTGTTGCGTCGCCCGGCTGCGCCGCATTGACTCTCCCGCGAATTGCCTGTTTACGGTCACCGTCGCTCAAGGGTAGTTCCCAGTAACTTGACAGTACAGTCTCTCAGAGTCGCTGAGCACGAACCCCTCACTGTTGCGACATCTCACACCCAACAGGGCACAAGTAAGTAATCACAGCTAAATACCTTGTCGTTTCCTTTGCCCCGGTCCCCTTCCATACTTTTTTCGCATATAAGCCCCTCCTGCCGCTGAGATAAGGCGGCTGGCTTCATAAGCGCTTTCATTGTTACTCCCTTCTCTTGTTTGCTTTTTCATTTCTGCCTGGTCTCTGGACGCCTTGAGCCTCACCTCTGTCTACCTCTGTTATTCTTCCTCTTTCTTTTCATCACTTACCTCCGCGTGGCCATCCCTTCTACTATCACACTGTGCGTCTATGACTGTTGCGCCATCAACTGCATTATTTCTGTCACTGCAACCTGAAGGATATGACTAATATTAATACCTCTTGTGCAGGTCTGTGAAGAACATCGCTCATACCTGACCCCAGACACATCTAAACCTAGTAAGTTAGTTTCTCTACAATTTCGCATATCGTTCTTGATTTCTCGATTATTTTTGCCCTGCATCATGTTCCTTTGAAGCCTGGTCGCACTGGGGATTGAGGATCCCGCTTGGAGAAGATGCAAGCAAGCCTGAACACACTCTACATCCGATGACGGAGGAAGCAAAGCCAAAAAAAAGGAGGGGTATGGGTTACTCCTCATTCCTCCAGGATGTGATATCCGGCAGAGATATTGCCGGGGTTGTCATGCCTTCAACTGAGCTGTGGTCTGGGAAGAGCAACAAGCGACGGTTACAGCACAGCGCCGTTGGGCTTCAACCCCTGCATGCTCTCTCGGCGGGGGGAGGGTAATACCCACTGATCGCGGGTCGGAGGTCGAACAGTTCGCGGGAAGATAGTGAGCAGGCGCCTATGAGATGCTCCAATTTGCTCCGACATCCCCAAGGGGTTGAGTTACCGCGGGGCAACCTTGGAAGGCTCATTCTTGTCTCACGGACCCCGAGTCGGAGAGCGCTTCCCGGTTGGACTAAAGCGGGGAGGCGGTAATCGGCGAGAAAAGAAAAAGAGGGGAGAGGGGGAAGAGGAGAGACATTCTGCATCATCGTCGTGATTATTGTCACACACAGTCACATACGCCATGTTCATGTCTCGCTTAACAACAACCCCAGGGCACGCCGAGAGGAAAGGGGAACCACGGGGAGACCGAGGGGGTGGGATCGCAGCGGGTGGCAGATTTCCGGGGCAAATCGATGGCATCTCCACACTTTCACACTTTCCACTGCCACGCCCGCATACTGCCACTACTGACCGCTTGCCCCCAGCAGTCCCACCGCCCGGGGAATGCTCAACACGATCGGTTTTGCCTCTCTTTCTCCTCCCTCTTTAGTTGCCCCCCCCACGGTGCCTGTTTCACTTTCAGCCCATCAAAGTGCATCCATCCATCCACATTCATCTCTCGCCTCCTCCACTCCCTTCCCCTCTTCCCATCCCAGATTCTCCCAGCTTCTGTCGCATATACCCCAGACCCAACTCGCATCATCATCATCAAAACAGTAATTCTCAAGAAGCGCGCTTTCCACCCCCACACTCTCAACCTCCCCCCGGTGTGCAAGTACAAGGCTCCATCTCATCTCATCTCATCTTGTTCGTTCCCGTGGATCTTCCTCACTCTCAACTGTGACCGGCTCCGACTGCTCTTATCGCTTCCCTTTTCCCTTACCCTTTTTGCCCTTTTCCCCTCCCCCATTGTTCCAGCCCATCGCCTCCGCGGCCCCATCTGGCCGCCTTTTCACGCTTTCACTCTCTCTTTCTGTCTCCCCTTTATTTTACCTCGCTTATGGCCACGCAATTCTGTTTCCCTCTTTGACCTCTTTTTCCTACTTTCTATTTTCTTATTTCCCTAGCTGCTACTTTCCCCATTTCCCGGTCGCTTACCACAGACCTCATTGCGCAGTCTGATCTTCCTCTGTGCGGTTCGCAATCAACGAGGCAGCCTATTGGGTTTCGGACTCCGCCCACGATAGTGGCATTTTCCGAGGCGTCCGCTTTCGAATCTTACCTTTCCGCCACAACTTCGCCCACCGCGACCAGTCAAATCCGATCGCGAACTACCCCTCGCATTCGCCTTGAACCCATCCCGGGTTCAGCACCAATCGTATCTTTGCCTCATCCAGAAAGCGTCTACCGCGCAGTTTCTTGCTCGTCAAGTACACATTCCCACTCTTCTGGTTGGTAACTCCGTACCTTCCCTGTTTTGTGGTGGTCTGAGCCACCTCCTGTCTCTCTTCTCCCTGAAATCAGATCGTGGCTCATTGTAGTGTCGCCTTCTCCCTCTGCTTGATTGAGCGCTAACGGGCACTTATCCGATCTGTCAGATTTTCTCCTCGCCACCCTCGCAACTTGCCCGAACTCGTTGATGAGTTTAACTCACCGCTTCTATCACCGGACCTCTTGACTATTTTGCGAAGAGGCTAAACCTTCACACGAGGAGCATTTTTCGCTCCAAATTCAGCTTGGGGTTTACTGTGCTCGAACCCCCTAGTCCCACAAGCATCAGCGAGTTCGATCTTGAACTGTAAGACTCCCCTGGAAGACGCAGTCGGCTTTCTGCCTTGAGTGCTTGCTTAGGCTTGCTGTAAACTGGCGGAAGCGAGCGTTTCCATCAAGAACAAACCTGACAAACGCAGCAGTGATCAGTATTTCTTCATGATGTCACAGTCGAACTATATGTCCAATCAGTTTGGCAACCCCAACGAGGGGGTTGACCCGTCGGAGCTTAGTATGCAAAACGGTGGATTCATGTCCTACCCATTTACGTCGCAGCAGAACTTCAACTTTGGAAACTCGGGTATTGATACAGATGAGTTGTTGGACCTGGAAATCAACGGACAGAATGGCATGCAGCAGAACTTTCTCCAGGACCAGCATTCGGGTGCCGGAATTTCCATGAGTCATCCGGGTCAGATGTCTCAGATGTACTCCAACACGCCGGATGGAGCTCCCATGAACAGCCCGTTCATGCACAGTTTTAACTATGACCACTTTCGTTCCATGAACCAAAACGGCCAGCCCGGCTCTCATCTGCAAAGTGGATCCCAGTTCGAACAGAGCTATCTGGCTTCTAAAGGCCGCCCGAGTTTGCAGGCAGTGGACCGCGCTTCACTCGATGCGCGCAGTCCGATGACTCCGAAGACCCCGGCCCTTGGTGCATTGACCCTGGGAACCCCAGAATCTGGAAGTTTTCCTACACAGCCCATCCGGACTGGCCTGCAGCATCGCCACCAGAAGACCCTGTCCAACCAATGGGACGGTACGCCAGGTAGTGCCCATTCTTTCGTGGAGTCCCCAATCTCATCCCCCGGCCACCCCCACCACGCGGGAATCTCGGAGATCCTCAAGTCTGGTAAACATGCTTCCTTGCCGGCCAAGGTTGATACGCACATGCCAGGCAGTGCCCAGGACCTAGAATCCCAAGAAGCCAAGCGACGCCGTCGGCGGGCCTCCCATAACCTGGTTGAGCGCCGGCGACGGGACAACATCAACGAGCGCATCCAAGATCTTTCCCACCTCGTTCCCCAACATCGCTTGGAGGATGACAAAGTCCGGAAGCAGCTTGTCAACAACACAGCAATGTCTGCCACTGGAGCCACCCCCAATGCCGCAACATCTTTGCTGGCTGGAGGCAATGGCCGCCGGGCCACTGCGGGTAACATTACGATGGGTCTGCCGATCGAGGAGAAGGAGAAGGGCCCGAACAAGGGCGACATTCTGAACGGTGCTGTAGGCTGGATGCGTGACCTAATGTGGGCCCTACATGTTAAGCTCCAGCAGGAATCGGAGCTGGCTGAAATCATCAGCAACTTGGGTGGAACTTGGCCATTCGAGCAGACCGAAGAAGAGAAGCGGATGAGAACGGAGATTCTCGATGCTTTGGAGAAGAACGACCCTAGTTCGTTCACTTATAGCAGGGCACCCGGAAGCGGGCTGCGAGTACCGAAACATACGAACATGGCAGGGGACTCTGTGGCTGGCAATGGGGCTTTGAGCCCCCAGAGCCTGAGCCCCCCGTTCAACGGCAACGGCGGTAGCAACGGAGGCTCCGGGCAGGCTCAGTACTGGAGCAGCTCGGGTCATGCGGGCATGAGCTTCAAGGAGGAAGACGAGTATGCGATGGAGATGAACTAGATACATTTCCGCTAACTATCGCTCGAGCTCTCATTTCTTCAAACGAACGCATGTCATGAGCTATTGCATACAAGGGCGTCAAACGGACGGGTAGTTGACCGGCGTACACGGAAGCCTTATCATGCCATCGAGGCTAAAGGGCCAGTTGAACTTTCTTTTCGTCAGTTGTTTGATACTTCTCGCGTGTGGTTCTCGCTATACTTGCCTGGGATTGGCTGTCTCGGATTCTTATTGTCTTTATCTTTATTCATTGTTTAATTTCTGGTGGGCTTTACTTGTTGAGTTGAGTGTCTATGTGCTTGTCTTGTGAATTTCCAGCTAGCTATCTTGGGTTGCACGTTTCTTGTTGTTCTTTTGCGCATAATGGTGAGCAAGGTCGGAACACGACATGTCTTGCATCATTTGGCTTCTTTCCCTTTTACATCGATACCCTTTTCCCATTGTCCCGGTTTCACAGTTTTCGACGTTCCTACTTCATCCTTAATATCCTTTTGGCTATTTTGACCCCATTTCGGATGTCATTTACGGCTGCTATCTATTTTCGATTTAAATTACATAGCATGATTCATTGATACAATGGTGCATTCGGTGCATGCAACTTTACTCTCTACTCAATGCTCATTTTCCTATGATTTACAATGGAAGTTACTACAATCATTGGCCCTGTCACAGGCAATAGAAACCTAGGCCTCAGCAGTAAATGGATCAACACGTGTCCTGCACGCTATCGAACAGGCACATGGAGTGTTCTAGACCCCATTCCCTAAGAATCTAACCAGCAAATGATAGTAGTCCAAGGGTATCTGATGTTTATCGTAGCGCCCGCCATCATGCAGTTCCCCGGGGACGATGATTGCCCGACTACTGTAGGTACCAATCCTGATGAAGACCAGGATGGACCCATTCCATGGGTCCACACATACATACATTAGACAGACATATCACATGCATTTCTTTCTGTTCCTCATTCCTTATTGCTTATTCTCACGGCGTGCATACAGCTAGCCACTGTTGCAGGGTACCTACATACATAGTACATGAATAGTACGGATCTAGTAGCATTCAATCAATATATGCCAGTATCTACAGTACTATCTCAAAAAGCAAATATTGCAAAGGAAAGGGGAAAGGAAAAAAGGGGGAATACTTTCAAATTCAACATGAAATGAACAACAACAAACAGACTCTTCATACCCTCACTCTCTCTTTTTCTCTGTCCCGTCTATTTCTATTCCTATCCCCCTATCTCTAGTAAAGTAGAAATATAGAAACTCAACAAGAAAGAATTCATTCCAAACAAAAGGGGGTAAGGAGGAGGATCTTACTCGCCCCTCATATTCCTAAAGAAGTCCATGACTCCCGTAAACACAACAAGAAGGATACCACCACCAGGACCCAATCTCAGCACCTTGGGCAAGAATCCCTTATACAAAGCAGCGAATCCTTCCTCCTTCATGACAGTTCCAACGGCCGGCCAAGCCCAGTTGTACTTGGGCACTTGACCGGGAACCTTCGAGGTGTTTTGAATACGGGACTTGACGACGTCCATGGGCGTGTTGAGAATAGTACCGGCCGTACCACCGATCGTACCCGCGATCAAGTCATTGCGTGTCTGCTGGCTCTTGTTGCCCGGCTCAGCGGCAGGGAGCTGCGCGCGCACCTGGAAGATACAGCCGAAGTAACCCGAGTTCCAGAGAATGTGGCGCCACAGGGTGGATTCCAGACCGTTGTACATGGCGAGGGGTCCCTCCGCGGCGACGATCTTCTTCACGACGTCCAGCATGCCGTTGTATTTACCGGCCGAGGCGCGGTCCTGCAGACGGATCTTGACCAGCTCGAAGGGCACGACGACGAACGACTCGGTCGCTCCCGCCGTCGCTCCGGTCAGGATCGCCAGTGACTGTGTTTGCTTCTCGGCGCCGAACAGGTTGCGGTAGAAGGCGCCCCAGCTGTCGTTGGCGGCGAATTTGGTCGCACGCTTGGGCGCTTCCATCAGGATGGGGGCGGAGATACCGCGGTACAGGCGGGAGAAGCTGTTATGGGGGGGAGGTGGGTTAGTTTGGTTGTGAGGGGGTGGTTGGGGGGGAGGAAGTTGGTTGGCGTACCCCTCGTTCTTGACGATCTTGCGCAGACAGTCGAACATGCCATTGTAGTATTCCTCACCGGCGACCGCGGTACCCTTCTGGAGTTGACTGTAGGTTGAATTGGGTTAGTGGGTGGTTGCAATTGGGGAGAGATAAGAGAGGTAGAGCTTACACTCGAGTCTTGACCACGTCCAAGGGGTACCTGGGGGGAAAGGGATTAGTATTGGCTGGTTGGATTGCGTCGATTGAGGGTGGGAAATGCGCACATAACCAGAATCTATGGCAGAGTTAGTCGCGTGCTCCGGTGAACTGGCAGCGGGATCACACCATAACGTACCTCGGACACACCGGCGACGGCACCGGCAATGAATTGGTAGCCGAAGGGCAAGGGCTTCTGGGTGTCGTTGTTCGACATGGTGATGAATTGGCCAAAAGTAGGCGTGCAGACGAAACAACAGACGGGGAAGACGAGTCGGGAGAGGGGAAGAAAGGAAGAAGAAAGAGGGAAGAAGTGATGGAGAATGAGATTATCGAGGGAGGAGGCCGCAGTCGGAGAGGGTCGGGGACTCACCGGGACGTCGCCCGATCGGGTAAAATGCCGCCCCACGTGCCGCCCCACGGGGCTTTTTGACGCTTACTTATACCTGCCACCGCATTCATCGGTTAGTTAAGTATCATTGTCATTGTTATTGTCATTGTCATTATCATTTCGCTATGCATGCTCTCATAATCTACATGTCAAATCATTTCTATCATAACGCCAGGGCCACCATCATAGCCATGCCCATCACCCCCCACTGCTGCCGCAATTGATCACTCCCACTAGTGGCCTGCTCTTTGGCCACGGTCTCCGTCGCCGTTGACACTGCCGTACAGCTGGTCCCGCACTGGTATCCCGACGGACAACAACCTCCCCCGACGGATTGGGCGCAGCTGAACCAGCCAGTTGCGCATCGCCCGGGCGTGCTTGTTGTTGTCGTGGATGCCGTCGTCGTGGCCACAGGGACTACAATTGTTACTCCGTCGCTGGTGAAGGTCGTCGAGGGCGTTACCGGGCAGGACGTCGTATCGCAATCGCGGCCGGTTCGACAGCATCCTCCATGGTAGACGGCAGAGCAGGCGTAGAACCCGGTTGGACAGACCGATGCCGTACTGGTCGTCGTGGTCGTCTTGGAGTTCGTGGAGGTAGACACAGTGGTAGGTCGAGAAGGAGGTACCAAATCACCCGTGGTTTGCGTCGCAGTGGTTTTAGGGATGGTGTGTGTGGATGTCGATAGCATCACGGTTGAGCTTACTGTGACCGTGATTGTGAAGACACGCATACCTGAGCCGTTAGCATCAATAGCGACACAAAGTAGGGAAATCCTCAGCTGATACAGGTTACTTACATCCCCCGGTGACACATTCGTACCCTGGGATACAGCATCCGCCACCCAGAGACGACGAACAGCTAGAGTATCCGTCCTGGCACGATCCAATTGTCCCCGAGCACGTCTCTCCCTTCGGACAACAGCCTACGTCACCAGATCCTGTGTCGTTAACCAGAACGCACGTGTCGCTTGTACTGCAGCAGCTTTCGGGCCGATCTATCGAGGAGCATCCGTAGGTGCCGGAAGGACATTTGAATTCTCGCCGAAGAAGCGGTGAGAAGTGCTCACTCCACCCACGCCTTTCGACTTCGAGGTCGCTCGGGTAGGAGGGTCGAAAGGGATATGAGCGAGGTTGAAAGTCGACCTTCTCAGTTGTGTCGAGATTGTAAGGTTGTACTTGCGACAAAGAATCATTGGTGTTTGATGTGTTGCCTGCTGTATAGGCTTCGTCGAAGAGCCAGTAGTCGAGGAAGAATTTCTCGCCTTCATCGTCGGTCATCTTATGAACTCCGCGAACAGGCTTCTGAGATAGGTATGACTCGATAAGAGCATTGTGTTGGACGATCGAATCCGTATCCTGGGAGTCGTTGGGAATAGATACATTGCTTGCGAAGGCTTGTCCTGCGATTGATGGGCCGAGGATGCAGGCCAGCAAAGGTATTGACAACATGAGGTCGTAGTTTCTAGGACTGAGTTATAGTCAGCGCACGAAACATTTCCAGGAATGAAGTCGCACCTACATAAGTAGTATATATTATCGTCTCCCGAAAGGACGTTATCGGAAGAGCTCCGCGATAAGTCGACCGACAAGGTGACAAAATGTAAACGACCGGGATCAACTGCAGATCATACCGGCACTAAATACACGAAGCACTAAGCATGAAACTAACAGTCGGGGGGCAACCGACTCTCTCCTCTCTGCCCAAAGACAGTGTGGCTGGGAAAGAGTGGGAACAACAATTAACAAGGCGCCGGGGGGGCCTCCACCGGTCCCGATCGGGAAATAATGCCAATAAGGTGACAATAAATGGATACCTGATTGTGCCGGCAGTATTCTGCATTCACCGCTTTGCGTCATGGCGGTGGGCCCCTCCGTTCCATGGGAATCAAGAAAGTGGAGAGAGAGAGTCTCAGCTCTATTCCATCTTGACAGCTGCCCGTCCACGGATCAGCTTATCATTGGATGATGAAATGTTGACTGTTGGAAATTGGAGAATGCAACTGTTGGCCGACCTAACTATAGAAAGGAGTGAGGAGGGCTGAGAAGGTGCGCGGGTAATGGCGAGCAATATAGATCCAACATAACCCATGTTACTCCCTGCACAGCGCCATCTACTGGCGTCCCGATTAGTGGGAGGGCGCTTGCTGCTCACAATGGCAGGGATTGCTACCCCCCATCTCATCCCAGCAATGGTTCTTTTAACGCGGCCTGTCCCCCTCGACTTTTTTCTCTCATTTCATCTTCTCTCTCATCATCTCTCTCATTCTCAATCATGGAAGATTCATCGTTTGAATACCCCAGCGACATTCTCTACACCCAGGAGCCTCTCTCGGGATACAAGTTTGGCGGATATCATCCCGTCCGTATCGGTGATACTTTCAAAGATAACCGCTACACTATACATCACAAACTCACGTGGGGAGGTTTCTCCACCGTCTGGCTCGCCCATGACAATCTGTGCGTCACAAATGCCCATCTGTCCCATCCCACATGAATTATCACTGATAACTTCAATAGGCGACACCGATGGGTCTCCTTGAAGATCAAAACCGCGGACACATCGTACAGTTCTCAAGAACTCCAAAACCTCCAGCAGCTGGAGAAGATTGCCGCTCCGGACGATCTCTCGTCCAAGTACATTCTCCACCTGCTGGACGCTTTCATCCAGCCCGGCCCCAACGGCATTCACCAGTGCCTGGTCTTTGAGCTGATCGGTCCTACTATCGATCGCATCATCACTGACTACCGTGAGCTTTCGGATTCTCTTGATCCACAGACCATTCTCCGCTTGTCGAGGCAGCTCCTCAAAGCTATCGAATTGGTCCATAATGCGGGGGTGGGGCAGATAGGTAAGCTCCTACTTTTAATCATGCCTTGAGTGTCCTCTAAACTAAGTCGAACCAGATATCAGCGGCAGAAATATCGTCTTCAGCGGTAGGAATTTGTCCTATGCATCGGAGAAGATCATCTTTGCGGTCTTTGGCTCGCCCGAGCACGAACCAGTGACCCACCTCGATGGCACCCCGCTGCACAAAGGCTTCCCAGCGGCTCTTTTCGGACCGGTGAGTTGGGAAGACTGGCTAGAGGAGTTTGCCGAGGAGCTTCGCATCTTCGACCTAGGAGAGGGCTTTGCACAGGAAGAGAAGTCGAGAATACTCGCGCAACCGGGTCCTTCGCGGGCTCCAGAGCTGATTTTCACGGGGAGGTCTGATCACAGGACTGATCTATGGCATACGGGCTGCATGGTATGTGGATCATCAAGACAATATCCCGAAGAAGTGATACTGACAAGATTGCAGCTGTTCTTCTTTGTGTTCGGGACATACCCCTTTGACTCCGATGTAGAAGATATGGTAGTGGTCGAGCAGATGATTGACCTTCTGGGGGAGTTACCCCAGGAATGGCAACCTATCTGGGACCGCATGCGAGCAGAAGCCGGAGACATGATGGATTTCCAAGGTGAGATACTAGAACCACTGCTTATGAATGCACCTGTTCATCAGCATGCTGATCTCCAAATACTAGGCGACGAGGTCTTCACTCTGGAGGACCGCTTCGATAAGGAAGTGGCCGAGCCAGAGCTTGCTCCTCTGATCCCGATCATCCGAGCATTGCTGGAGTTTCGGCCTTCGGAGCGCATTACAGCTCCGCAAGCCCTTGGTCTTTTGGGAACTCAGGGACAGTGAACGAAGTCATGAATATGAGCTAGCTAGTCAATTTAGCATTTGCTGTAGAGAAGAGAATATATATACGTTTTTGTAGTTTCTACAGCGATTAGTAGTAAGAAAATATGACCAAGAAGAGTATTGCCAGTAGCACCCATCTGCAGTACCAACCCATCCTTCTAAGAATTAGGTGGCTCTCTCAGCAAGATGAACTTTCACCACCGTCCCATCAATAGGCTTCGCGGTGACCTGCATAGTCTAGAAAATCAAAAAGTAAGCCACCCTTCTACCAACTCGGGGAAAAAGAAACCAACAAAAGAAAAAAAAACTTACATTAAATAATTCCGTCTCCACCTCATACTGCCCAGCAGCATCCAAGATAGGCGCCCCAGTCGCATCCCGCGCAAGTGCTCCCACCCCCACCTTCTCGAAATCGAAGCGCCGAACCGTACACGCCAGGATTACCCGGGCCTCGAGGTTGGCTAGCTCTTGACCAATACAGTTGCGCGGGCCGCGCTCGAACGGTCTCCACGCGCTGGCGGGAACATGGGCGCTTGCGACCGAACCATCCCCACCCCCCTGATTCTCCGCGCCATCCGGGATCAGTCCTAGACCGGTATCTGTGTTTCCCAGCCACCGCTCTGGGATGAATTCATCTTTTGTCGGTCCGTACACTTTCTCCTCACGATGGACGAGCGTCGCGTTGAGGTAGATGACCACTCCGTCTAGGCAGAGCGTCTTACCGTCTGGTAATTGCACGTTGAAGCCTGAGCCTGGGGGCATGTATCTCGCGGATCCGGATGGTGGATACAGTCGCAGAATCTCCTTGATCACAGCAGAGGTATAGGACATTCGCTTCAGGAGTTCTTCTCCGCCCGGGGCAAGGAGCTTCTCTTGCACGGCTGCGGGGGATGGATCGGGGCCGAAGAGGTCGTCTAGTTCGCGGCGAACTTTATCCAGCACGCGTGGGGTGCGACTGAGGATATAGAAGGTCCACTGCAGTACGATACTGGTGGTGTCGTGACCGGCGAAAAGGAAGCTTTTGAGCTGGTCGCATGTTTCCTGGATGACTTGGGTATTTAGTTGGTCGATGTCCTGTAGACTTAGGGAGAGAACACTCCGGGAGCGCTTCTCCGTCGATTTGGACTTGAGCTCAGCAAACTTCGATTTGATGTGTTCGGCTATCAGCTGATCAATGCGTCGAGACAGAGTTCGACGCCGCCAGTTTAGGCGGGGGTCCAGCCAGTCCCATTGCACGCTGCTGCCTCTACGGTATGTGGTCGTCAGCTCACGGTAGAGACGGACGAGCTCATCCTGTTTGCTGCGGTCTAGTTGGGCATGAAAGTCTTTGTCCATGGTAACTGCGCCTGGGGGCTAGTTAGAACGAAAAGCGAGCCAGTTATAAGTAAATGTGTGGCCTACCGATGATATCAAAGGTAAGGCTGACGCATCGCTCGTCGAGGGATAATTCCTCTCCACTACGAGCGTACCCGTCAAGAATATCAGTGAACTGTATCGCCTTGTCCAGGATGCATGGCAGCAAAGTAACGAGGTGCTGAGGCGCAAATCCCGGGTTGAACCGCTTGCGTAGACCCTTCCAGTGCTCTCCCTAGTGACATAGGTTATCTTAAAAAAATGTATACAATCCAGAATACGAGTTAAGGCCTACCTGCTGCGTGATGATGGAATACGGTCCCAACAAAGGCTCCAGCGCGCCCATCGTGGGTGACTTCTTCATACTGTACGGAAAGCTCTTGGAGCTCCGGGCAATTTGTTCTGCGACCTCATGACTCCCAACCACACATAGTCGAAACTCTACAGGCCGGAGATCGTAGAGAACGAGAGGGGGATTTCCCAGATGTTCCTGGATCTCTTGAAATACGATGTCTGATTGAGAACGTTTGTAATTGTCAACTATACCCATCCTTTTCATGAGGACGACGAGGGTTTTGATTCTTTCATACCGATGTGCCTTTTCTCCTCGCCTCGGGAAATAAACTCGTGGAGCGCTTTCATGTGGCCCCAGATGAGGGAGGGAGGGAGTTGCGGCCAGTCAGCATACTTCTGGAAGCGGGAGTAGCGGATCCGTTTGATGAAGTAAGAAACCACCAGAGGCAGGAGGATCAGAAGGATAGTTTGGACGAACATGATGGTTGTTTCATGCTAGTCCAGTGAAAGGTGTATTTTCAAGATGTCTAGATCGACATGAGGGAAAATGGGAGTAAGATGGGGAAATGAGTTCGGGAACGAGAATTTTTCTTGCTTCTGTAAGAAGTTCCACTTGCCCATGGGGTTTGTTTGTCCCGTGCCCGAGTTTAGTTGGTGGATGAACAACAATTCCGATAAGCTTATCGCTTCTAGCTAGTTCTTACTAGTGTTCCAGCATTACTACACTGGATTACAACCTGGCTTAATACAATGCATTTTATTGGGCTTATGTGAGTAACTTCGATATATGGCACCCGCGGTGGCAACAAATAGTATTATTGGAGGTTCGCATGATTCCGCTCAAGTTGCATCGGGATTTGAATCTTGCATGAGGCCGCTGCAAGCGCCCGCCACGTGGTCGTCTTCAATTGACTAGGAATAAGAGCATTCGGCATAATCTGGCATATTATCATAATGGGCAGAAAAAGGTTCATGCAAGTAGATGGACTGAAAGATGCGGGAGTGTGTAACTACTCAGATACAACCTCATCTTATTCTCCGGGCCAACACCTACTTGGCCTTGGGCCTACTAGGCAGATATCTCATTCATACTCTACATTGTCATCATGACAGAATATCGACATCATAGAGTGACAACCTGATGGCTCCATTGAAAGGTGTGGAGTTAGGTTGTGGCACACGACGATAGTGATTGTATAGTAGTATCATATAGTCCACAATACGGTCCTTAGCCAAACTATAGGATATCGAAGGACTCCCAAAGGGCAACTCCAAGCAGAAACTAGGGTACTCTTCAGATAAGTTCCTTGATAAGACGTGTCAGTGCTATACAAAGAGATGGCCCAGCCGTATTTCTTGTATTTAGAATACTATATAGTACCTCTAGTGTTTATATTACCCCCAACAGTACCGTCAACGTTACTATGAAATGGGTGTATAGGTCCCCAGGTCGCCAGGTCGTACGTATTTTTGGTTCTTACCAGTATGGGACCTGGTTATTACTAGTACTGACTATCGGAAAAATTAAGTTGTAAAAATATACTGTCTTACCAGGTGGTAAACCTGGCAAGGTCTTATATTATACAAAATTTTAATTAAATTTTATTAAAAGATTTAATAATTACTAGTTAGGATTAAAAAAATCCAACCTGGGGAGTTTTAGTTATAAATTACTGTATAAGTATCAGAATTTATTAATTCCATAAATATATTATAATAATTTAAATTATATTAGATTTATAATATAAATTTATTAATATCTACTAGAAATAATTAGATATAATCAGGAATTTTATCTTATAATTTAAT